AAATGGAGGATGAGATGGAGGATGAGATGGAGGATGAGATATGGAGGAGAGAAACAGAAGATGAGAAGATGAAGGAGGAAAAGATGGAGGAGAGAAATAGAAGATGCGTAGCTTGTGTGTTGAGTGCAAGGCCGAAGGAAGTTGGCGGGAGAAAAGAGATTTTGGCCAGGTGAGCTCGTAGCGAGTATTTGAAGGAGCAGCAACGGTTGCTTTTCGAAGGAGATGGAAAGGTGATGGGAGAGCAGACAGGAGAGAGAAGTAGTGGATGTGCAGCTTGTGTGTTGAGTGCAAAGCCGAAGGAATCTGGCGGCAGGAGAGTCCTCGGGTGCAAGGGAGGAGTATGAGCTGGAAATTTCCATCGGTGTCCGGAGAGATGGCCGAGAGAAGTGGAGGGTGAAAGGATTGAGAGCTTTGTCGAAAGGGTAGGGGGTTCCACTCCAGGTAGCCTTTCAAGAATTCCGTAGGAAGGGAGGAGTATGAGAAGATGGAGTAGGAAGGGAGGAGAATGAGAAGATGGAGAATGAGAAGATGGAGTAGGAAAAGATGGAGTAGGAAAAGATGGAGGAGAGGAATAGAAGGTGAGAAGATGGAGGGGGAAAAGAGGGAGGAGGAAAAGAGGGAGGAGAGAAATAGAAGATTTGTAGCTTGTGTGTTGAGTGCAAAGCCGAAGGAATCATGTTGGCAAAAAGTTGTCGTCGGGTGGAAGGGGAGGAGAATAGCAGGTGAAAGTATTCGTCGGCTTCACGAGAGATGGCCGAGAGAAGTGAAGGATAAAAGGATTGAGAGCTTCGTCGAAAGGGTAGGGGGTTCCACTCCAGGTATCCGGACAAGAAGTCCGTAGGAAGTGGCGGGAGAAGAGAGATTTTTGCCAGGTGATCTGGTTCCGAGTAATTGAAGGAGCAGCAACGGTCGCTTTCGAAAGAGATGAGAAGGAGATGGGATAGTAGATGGAAGAGAAGTAGTGGATGATGGAAAGGATGGGAGAGAGGATGGGAGAGAGGATGAGGGGGAGAAGTAGTGGATGTGTAACTTGTGTGTTGAGTGCAAAGCCGAAGGAATCGGGTAGGCAGGAAGTTATCGTTTGGTGTAATAGGAGGTGTTTGGGATGATTGAAGTATCCGTCGGTGACTGGAGAGATGGCCGAGATATTTACAGCTTCGGTCTGCAAGTCTGAGCGGGACAGAGGAGTGGAGTATGCATAGCTTGTGTGTTTAGTGCAAGACCGAAAGATGTAGAGGTAGGAGAGAGAAAGATGAGAAGGATGTAGGAGAGAGAAGGAAGTGCGAGAGAGGAGGGGGGGAGGAGGGGGTTTATATAGCAGGTGAAAGGCAGTGACGTGATTTGATCTCGCTGGGCTTACACCTGCAGCCGGACAGCAGTGAAGGGGCTACGACGCTGAGGCCTGGTGTTTGTTTTGATGCCGTTATTGTCGAGGTGGTGTGAGCGAGAGAAAGAGAGAGGACCCAGATAGCTGCACCCGAAAAAAATAAAAACAAAAATAAAACCGGACAGGCAGGGGGGGTGTGAGTCGCCCTACCTTTGCATGACCATCCCCGCTTGCTCGCAATGTACAGAATGCTACTCTGAGTGTACGAGAAGGCTCCATATTACGGTATGAGACGGACTGGAGCATGTGCGGAAGTTATAAGGTTCTTCATGAATCATGATTCGGACTCTATGATGGCGGATTTCGCGGTGAAAAATTGTTTGTCATAGCCGAGTAACCTGGGGAAATAATTTCTGCGATATCATCGTTATTCCAAACGCTTCTGAGGCCATTCTGATAGTGGTGTCTGGAGATATCGGGTGGCGGACTCTGCCAGCTTCGCACGGCCGGTACACTTTTCCTGTTCCACCTAGGTGTCAACACTCACTCGGGGACGCTTCATCTGATTATTATTTTTTGAATACGAAGCGGTATAGGATAATAATAATAATAACGGGCACGTCGTCCCCACATCTCATTCTGCCATTTTCATGTATGCACATATGTGCTGAGCCATCACCTGCAAAGGAGCCTGACCCTACAGGTCCTGCTCGTTGTTGCAGCCCTACCTGTCGGGTCATAGCTAGGGCTTCAAGCTTCGAGCCCTGTCATCAAGGTCTAATGGAGGTTGGGCGGCTGTAGTCAAGCCATTACAACAGTGACACAAGCAAGACTTCACGTGCAATGTAGACGCCGATCCCAGATACTCAAACCATTTTCAGCCGATCGGAGGGTCAGTAGGGGAGAAGCCGGCAGTCAGTACCGAGTCACTGGCAGGAATTCCCTCGTCAACGGGCTGAAGAAGGCTTGACATGCAGGGCGGTAATCGGGTGGGAAGGGATAGGTGGTGCGGCAGCGGCAGCAGCGAGGGATCTTTTAGTCAATCGGGGAACTCAACCTCATCTGCATCGATCGGGACAAAGCAAACTCAGACCCGGTATTTTCCTGCTCGACTAATTCCTGCTCGACTACCCCTGGTCAGACTAGTTGTCATTTTTTAGCCGACTTCACCCCACCGTTCCACTTGACATCAACCCGAACTGTCGCTTCTGCTGAGTGGGCGGGGGTGTCGAGGCTCCTCTGTGTTCGATGCCGCAGATCCACGTGAGCTAGCGTTATGGCGGCTGTGACCATACTCAAACCCGGCGGATGCGGCGGGTCTGTCGGATTGTTTTTCTATTTTATTTTTCTCTGTCCCTGTCTATACTGTCTGTTCGTCCGGTCCGTCCTTGTCCGGAACACACATATCACATACTGTAGACCATAGACCGTAGACCACCCACCCCGAATAATCCATCGCAGCTCTTTTTTTTTGTCTCGTCCCGTTGATGGGTCTCTCACCATCCACCTGCGGTCCGGTCCCTCCGCCCCTCGTTTTTTTTATATCTTTTTTTTTATCTCGTCCCGTTCAGAGGATGGGTCTCTCGCCGTTGGGTACCTTCGATCCTGCCCCTCCGCCACCGGCGTCGTAGCTCAAGCGCATGAAAACAAGCAAAAGGACGGCCGCGGTGGGCCGGACGAGTCCTTCTGGCCAACTGTAAGGTAAACAATGACGCCTTGATCGATAAGCAGTGATCATACTGTGTAGGCACAGCAGGACCGGCACGGGATACCTAGGAAGAAGTAAACAAAACAAACTCTTTTGTTCACGCAGGCAGACAGTGACTTGTGCCTTGTCGCTGCTGGACGAAGCCTTCGCCGGTCGAGCACTCTCGGACCTAGGTGGAGGGTGACAGCCTGAAAGGTTTCCGGACGAGTGACAGTCACCGCCGTTGGGAAAGGACTACATCATACCTACGTCTACGCCTATACCTACGCATCTGCGTACGGTGGATATTGAATGGCTGCAGTGTTCTTGCGCGGAGAGGTATGTGTTTGCTGTAGAGCTACAGTGCGATGGATTTTTTTTCTCTCAGCTGTTCTTGTCTGTCCGTCCGGTCCGTCATTGTCCGGAACACACATCACGTACTGTAGACCAGTGCAGGCAACAGCCCAGCCCAATCAAAGCCAGCTCGCAGCCCGGCGCGTGTAGCCCAGCCCGGGCTGTGGGCTGCAACGAGTGAGTTATTGTGATGCGTCTCACTGCTACTCTTCGTTGACCAACTTTTTTCCTATCTATTGTCGTAGAGTTACCCTACCAACTCTGGGATCCAACCCGCCCAGCCCAACTGATAGCCCGGGCTGGGCTGCCAGCCCCAGCCCAGCCCATGGGCTTTTCGGGCTGTTGCCTGCACTGCTGTAGACCGTAGACCGTAGATCATAGACCACCGACACCGAATAATTCATCGCACCTCGTTCTTTCCTTCTTTTTTTTGTCTCGTCCCGTTGACAGGTCTCTCACCATATGGCACACACTTGTTCCTCCACCCCTCGGTTTTTGTCTTCTTCCTTTTTTTTGTTCTTCTTTTGTCTCGTCCCGTTGACGGGTCTCTCACCACATGGACATTGGCACCCATCTGTCCCTCCGCCCCCGGCCCCTCGGTGTCGTAGCTCGAGCGCATGAAAACAAGCAAAGGGACAGCCGCGGTGAGCCGGACGAGTCCTTCTCGCCGACTGTAAGGTAAACAATGACGCCTTTGTCGACGATGAGCAGTGATCATGCTATGATGTAGGTACAGCAGGAGCGGCACGGGCTGCCTAGGAAGAAGTAAACAAAACAAGCCCTTTTGTGCCCGCAGCCTGCGGGCAGACAGTGCCTTGTCACTGCTGGGCGAAGCCTTCGCCGGTCGAGCACTCTCGGACCTACATGGTAGAGGGTGACAGCCTGACAGGTTTCCGGGTGAGTAACAGTCACCGCCGCTGGGAAAGGACAGGTCAGTGCCGTGAAAAGGACTACATCATACCTACGTCTACGCCTCTGCCTACGGTAGATACCGTATCGAATGGCCGTTCTTGCGCGGGGAGGTAGGCACTTGCTGTAGAGCTACAGCATGAGTATACGATACTGCGAGTGTGGACTTCTTCGTGATGTGAGCAGTGTTCTCCATCGTCCGGTCCGTCCAACATCCGTCCTGGGCCTCGGACGAAGACGGACGGCGTGCCTCCCGTCCGTCCGAGCCTATGATGCTGTACTGGCCAAAGGTAGTTGATCCCCACACAAAAGATATCATTTTATCTCACTCGCGTGACTGCAAACGGCTAGTGTATGCCGTTATTGCGACGAGTGATGAGAATATCATCACGTGATATGGACAGCCCGTCCTCCACCGTCGGACGGGGACCGACCCGTCCGTCCCAGGCTCGGACCGTCCGGACGATGGAGAACACTGGATGTGAGGATACGCTGGCAACTACATTGAGGCCTCTCAAGGCGCTTCGAGAGATATTCCCCGTTACGATGGCCTCCCTCCTATGAAACCTAGCCGGAGACATGTAATTAAACACCTCCTACATGTCGAAGCACCAGAAGTGTGCGTCCTCTATATAGCTATTCTCCTGTAACCCCGCCATATATATCGCCACCAGAAGACAGTGGTCTTTCTATTCCTCCAACAATGCCCAAGTCCCCGTCTCCCTATTTCTTCCCCTTCCCCTTCTTCTTCCCCTCCTTCTCCTCCAACTTCCCCTTCTTCCCCTCCTTCTCCTCCACGAAACCCCCAAGCACCAACGCCTCCCTCGCGGCAGTATTGATAAGCCTAAACCTATCGGGGCCCAACTTAACGCCGCCATACCACCTACTAACAACAACACACACATCCTTGACATCCATGACCTGGAGCAGATGGGCGAGCCTGCTCCCGGCTGCAGTCTCTCCATCATCGTCATTATCCTGGACCACGACCCCATTCTCGCGCACGATCCGGAACGCGCTGATGTTGTGCGTCGCCTTCTGGATCTTCTTGTCGCCGGAGATCAGCGCCGACACGAGCCCGTGTGCTTCGGCCGCGGAGCTAACGTGGATGCTCCGCGCGATGAAGACGGACTTCTTCTCGGTGATAGGCGGCCCCACCGTCCATGGGTCGGCAGCGCGGTCTGGTACTGCGCTTAGTGTGGGCTCTGCGAGGGTGGGTGGGGAGGGGGAGCGCGGCGGCGGTGTCGGCGTTTCGGGCTCAGGCTCGGGTGCGCGTGTGCGCGCGTGGACTTCCTCCTCCCTCCCCGCCTCTTCCGCCTCCTCCTCCTCACCGCCTAGTACCTCGCGCAGCCCCTCCACCAGATCGTACAGACACACCTCTCCTTGCCTGAACACGTTGTCGAGGACCTCTTGAGCCAGAGCGGCGCCCGTGGAGCCATTCGCTATTATCGTCGGCGGGGAGGCCGGGTAGTCCAGCGGGATGTGCAGGCGCAGGCGCAGCGCTGGAGAAACGACGGATGCTGGCGGCTGCAGGATGTACTCCCCCGCCGACGAGCCGCAAATAAGACATGAGAAGCTGTAGATCGCGTTTAGGGCTGCCGTCTCGTCGCTGAGGTCATCGTTCATGGTGGGATGAGGGGGGACGCTCAACGGCTAGCTGGCTAGGTGCCGACGTACCGTGTGGATGGTGCGAACGGGTCTCGGTGCGGTCGGAACTTCGGCAAAAGGCTGGGCGCTGGGCTGAACCCGCGACTGTGGAGGTGGCGCTAGCTCCCCAACCAAAGTCGCGTGGCTCCCTCCACAACCGGTCCTGCCGGGGATGAGCCGATGCGCCTAAAGACGGAGGTTTATTTTTCCTGCAGCGATGCGGTGCCAGTGGGGTGCAATTACGGCGGCAGACGGGGGTGGTGCCGGTGGTGCCGCTGAAGCCGATGGGGACGGAGCCCAATGCACTGGACTGGTAACGCGGGCAGGCTGAGGAAAGGGTGTTGGACAGAGCTGTGCTGTGCTGTGCTGTGGCTCGCGCGATACTTGATTACCTCTCTTCATAGCTGGTGGGCTCGAGATAGATACCTAGAATCTAGATAGCTATTCCCTGATGATTGTCGCTGAAGAATCGGCAAGCACAAAATACCAGTATGGTGCAACGTGCTTCGCGACGCCCTGCCAATTTCTACATACTTCACAGCTTCGGATGGTAGCGTTTGCTTCCAGTGGCCGGCCGCCCTGTTGGATCCCGTTGCTGGTCTTTGTTCGTTGACGGTTGCGTTGCACCGCTTCAGCCGCATAGGACGCCTACTCTACATACCGGTAGCGTTGCCCGCCTCCAGCTCTTCAGCTTCTCCACCTTCTCCGCGTCTGTTTCCTACGGGACAGTCGACAGTCGATGGCGAAGAGCTGTCATTTATCAGCTACTCTACTTATCTAGCATCTACATAGCCGGCCCAGCCCGACAGCAGCCCCAGCAAGTGGCAACCCAACCAACCAACCAACCAACCAACCAGCCTTACCGTAGCGAAGAATGTTCAGGAAGTCGCGGCCCCGCCTCCACCACGGTCCACCACAACCAGGCCACCTCGGTAAATAAAGTGTACCCGCGCGCACGCTGGGTAGCAAGAGGCATCGACAGCGAACCCCACCACCACCACTACCACCACCACCTTCTCGGTAGCTTCCGTCAATAAAGCCCATAGAAAGAAAGCTCTCTATTTAACTTCAACAACGTGGTCGTGGTCGTCCGTCTTTGATACCTAGTAGTTGTTATCCCAAGGAATTCTTTCTCCTCCGTCGAGCTCTCCCTCCTTTCACACACCCACGCACACACACACTCCCACCCTACTAGAATCAGCTCGTGTAACCCCTATTGTCTTAATCGCAGCCGCAATCTCGATCCCAATCGACAAAAAACATGGCATCACAGGCCGAACTCAACACCGAGGCGGCGGCCGAATACGAGATGCCACGAGAGCTCTGGAGACACCCGGATCCGAAGTCGACGAATATGGAGGTGTTCCGGAAACAGACGAATGCGAGACATGGCGTGGACCTGCAGGTGTGTGGCACTCCCGGCGTCGGAGAGCGTGAGAAGGGTGCTGATCTGGGTCCGTGAAACAGACGTCCGATGATATTCACAAGTGGTCCGTCGATAATCTGGCCGCGTTCTGGGGCGATATATGGGAGAACGTTGGGATGATCCATGAGGGGGCGTGGACAAGTGTGCGTACCCGTCCGTCCGTCCGGATGAGGGGTGGTGGAGCTGGAAGGAGCTTGGAGTGTCAATGCTGATGTTGATGTGTCTAGGTCGTCGATGAAACCGCGCGGATCGACAGCATACCCGACTGGTTCCCGGGCGTCAAACTCAACTTCACCGAGCTGGTGCGTACCCTCATGATGGCCTACTTGCATCCCCGTTGTGGTCGGCCACTGACATCCCGCTAGCTCCTGTTCACCAAGGGCCCCAAAGGCCCACTGGACATCACCACCATCGGCAAGGAGGATGACAAGGTCGCACTGACATCTGTGCGCGAGGGCGGCACGGAAATGTACAAAGTAACGTGGGGGCAGCTGCGGCAGCAAGTTGGCCACCTCACGCAGGCACTGCGGGCCCACGGCGTGCGCAAGGGCGACCGCGTGGCCGGCGTGGTGTCGAACTCGGTGGATGCGCTGGCGGTGTTCCTGGCGACGGTGGCGATCGGCGCGATATACTCCAGCTCGGCGACGGATATGGGCGCCAAGGGTGTCCTCGACCGCATGCTGCAGATTGAGCCAATGTACATCTTCATGGACGACTATGCTGTCTACAACAGGAAGAAGACGGATCTGAGGCCCAAGATGACGGAGATTGTCGAGGGGATGGAGTCGGTGAAGGAGTTCAAGGGCATGATTTCGCTTCCCCGGTTTGCTGAGCCTGTCGATATCAGCGCGGTTCCGAGATGGTAAGATCAAACCTGGAGGCGAGTGAATGATTGCTGACAGCGAGATGCAGTCAGACATTGGCCACCTTTATGGAGAAGGCTACAGCCAAGGAGTTGATCTTGGAGCGTGTCCCTTTCCGACACCCGTTCTTCATCGCATACTCGTCGGGCACTACTGGAAAGCCCAAATGCATCGTGCACTGTGGAGGTGTAAGTTGCGCATTACCCCCATCTCGAGGAGCAGTAGAACTAAACTCCAGTAGGGTTCAGCATTAAACATGAGGAAAGAACAATGGCTCCACCACCGTGTCGACAGTGACAGCACCTACCTTCAGTACACCACCACTGGCTGGATTATGTACCTAGTACAGGTCAACACCCTTCTCGTCGGTGCTCATGTCGTCCTCTATGACGGCTCGCCCTTCCAGCCCGGACCGGAAGCCTTCATCCGCCTTATGGGAGATCTCAAGGTCACCCACCTCGGTAGCTCTCCAAAGTACTTCCAAGAGCTACAGCTCCGTGGGTTCGCTCCTCGAGAGCTTGCGGACCTCTCCAACCTTCGCGTGGTCACCAGCACCGGAATGGTGCTCTCGACCTCGTTGTTCGAATGGTTCTACGACGTTGGATTCCCTCCCACCGCTCAGCTCTCCAATATCACCGGCGGAACCGACATCAACGGCGCCCTTGCAATCGCCAACACATTTTCGCCCCTGTATGCCGGCGGGTGCCATGGATTGAACGCAGGTATAGCGACGGAAGTGTACGCGCTCGTCGACAGCATCGAGGGACAGGTGGTCCGCGGTCGACGCTGCGCCTCCGGTGAGCCCGGCGAGCTGGTGGTGACTAAACCCTTCCCCACTATGCCGGTCATGTTCTGGGGCAAAGAAGGAGCAAAGCAGTACTTCAACAGCTACTTCGCGAAATACGACAGTGAGCATCCCTCCGCTTTTTCTCCCTCCCACTCCGATACTAACAGTCGCACCAGATGTCTGGACCCAAGGCGACTTCGCCATGATCCACCCCCGCTCGAACGCGCTGGTAATGCTCGGCCGCGCCGACGGCGTGCTCAACCCCTCGGGCGTGCGCTTCGGCTCGTCGGAGCTGTACTCCGTACTCGACGCGCAGTTCTCGTCCGAGATCGCCGACTCGATCGCGGTGGGCCAGCGGCGGCCCAAAGACCTCGACGAGCAGGTGGTGCTGTTCCTGCTGATGAAGCCGGGGCAGAAGTTTACGCCCAGCCTGGTCAAGCGCATCAAGGCGGCTATCGGAAAGGGCCTCAGCAAGAGACACGTCCCGAGATATATCTTTGAGACCCCGGATATCCCTACCACTATCAACTTCAAGAAGGTCGAGCTCCCCGTAAAACAGATCCTCTGCGGAAAGAGGGTTGTCCCCAGCGCTACACTGAGGAATCCGGAGAGTCTCGAGTACTACTATCAGTTTGTCGATATTGAGAGGGCCGCGACGCAGGGTATGGCCAGGCTGTAGGTACTCGAAAAGTGGGGGAGGGAGAGGATGGGATGGGATGTGTAGATAGACGGGGTTTTCGTTTTTCGTTTCGGTCATTTCGTTGGGTTTTTTTGGGCAGGGAGAGATGAATGCAAATTCTCGGGAAGCAGAAGGAGCAGGTTGCTCATAATTGCGGGTTGTGTTGCGGGTTGTGTTGCGGGTTGTGGATTGCAGGTTGCGGGGTGGGGGACAGTAGATGTACGTAGGATTTGGCGTAATATTTTTGCCTAACGTCTCGGCCGAGAAACTCGTGTCACAATCATCATCGCGTGCTGCAGCGTGGAGAATCCCGCAGACCCCGCCCGACGCCCGTACCGTAGGCGAGGTGATGGCAATCCTTGTTTTTTATTTTATATTCCGCATGATACGATAACATGTAAGGCGTATGGAAAAATGTAGAAAATGCGAGGCGGGTGCGGAGACGGGGATAACTACGGTAGGGCTGGACTTGGGCTTGGACTTGGAGGTTCGGTCATAGGTCTCACTCGGTCGGCGGAAATAGCACAGTTCCTGTAAGAAGTTTTTTTTTGGAGAGTGATGGGAGTTATCGTTATCAGATACGAAGCAAGAAGTAGTAAAATCGCACATGAACTGTACGAGACGAATCCGAGTTCGTGTCCTATATTTCCTACCCATCTTGACTATGATGTGTTAAACGTAGCAACCCGCGGTTCAGGGAGGCACCAATCCGCCGACCCGTGATTGTGCACGGGCCAGCGTTTGCACCGTGCTTGCGGGGCGGTGTAGCGCTGCCCACCGCGGCGGGCTGTTACCGTAGTTACCTGCGATCTTACCGCCTCATCGATTGGCCGCCTAGTCGTAGGCGATGCCTCATTCGGGAGAAATAATGTATGCACGGAGCCCAAACCCGACGGAAAGTTTGTAGAGGAAGCCCTATACAGGATTCGGCATCAGGTGACAGGGTTTAGGGCTTTACGTAGGGTTTCCTTTCGGTGCGGTGCACGGACTAGTTCCGTGCGATGAGTGACGATGCGTGCATGTGTTTGCTACGACAATAGCAAGACCACAACAATGAATCTGTCTTTCCATCCTTCCACGTAGCTTCCCTTGTGATACTTCGAGGGAACCACCCACATCACCTGCTTCTTTCCATCCAACCATCCATCCTCATACCATCTCTTCTCTGCTCATACTCTGAGAGCTCGACCATCACACCCGCTTCTTTCCATCCTTCCACACCCCTTCTCTTCTAATACTTTGAGAGCTCGACCATCACACCAGCTTCTATCCATCCCACCACATACCTACTCTTCTCCTCTGATACTCTGAAAGCTCGACCCACCCCACCCGCTATACTCACAGAACCCAGAACACCCCACGACACAAAAACGATCACGACCCACAGCCTCGAACGCACCAGAAGCCACAATGGGTGCCGTACAGACCGGGCGCATCATTGAGATACAGGAGGAGATCTTCGAGGGTGGTCAGCAAGCTGCTCTCGAGGGTGGTCAGCAAGCTGCTCTCGAGGATCGTCGGCAAGCTGCTCTCGCCGACTACCTGAGCAGAAGAACACATCACCGACACAGATCTGCTCACCGCCGCTACCATGAAAATCGTCTAATTCAGGAGAATAACGTCGAGAACGAGAATAACTACTATTCCTACGAGTACCGCCCACGGTACAATTACGTGCCGCGTCAGGTTAGTTACGGTGAACCCCCCCAGTTTATTCCCCACTCATCGCCCCTCAACAGCCAGCGCTCCCCGCTCCTCCCTCAGCGCCGGCCTTGCCGCCTCCTCCGACTTCGCTCTCGATCCCGATCGTCGTTTGCTCGCCCCAGGCACCGCCCGCTCAGCCCGCACCGCCTGTCCAGCCCTCGCCGCGCATCATCTCGACACCGTCAGGAAACGCGCTGAGGATGCCGGTGATCACCTCCGCCCGAGCACCCCAGACCGGCAGCTCGACGTGCGCAGCCCACGACGGTCCATACCTCACCATGACGTACCTCCCCGCCGATACCGCCAGCTCTCCCACTACTCTCGGACCCATGCAGACGAACACGCTCTCCACTACATTCGTGGCCCCGCAGAGCACCCAGAGCACCCAGGTCGCCCTCGACGGCACCTTCCTCTTTCAGGGGAATCGGCCCAGCCCCCAGGTGCAGCCCCAGGGTGTCATCGCTCTCAAGTTCTCGGACGGAGAGATCATACGCCTCAGGACCGCGGATGGCGCGTACATCAGGAGTACCACATACGTGGGTATGGCTTGGATGGATTGTACGGAGAAGAGAGAGGGCAGATGGTGGCGTCTGGATAATGGGCGGGTTATTCAGGCCTGAGTTGGGGACGAGAAAAAAAACGAGGCTTCTGGGGGATGCGGGTGAGGTTTTGTGAAGCAGTGGCGAGTGGGCAAGTGGCACATACTTACGGCAGGATGTTCAACACACCCTTTACAGCGATTGTTTTTTTTCCGGTGGTTTTTCTACGGCGGTTTTCTTCTCTACTCCCTTCCATTTCCTGGATTGGCGTCTCACGGCACCGAGCATCGGACATTGACATCGGTCGTCGGCTTCGGCTTCGCACATCAGGCATCGGATCAGTTTCAGATTCGGTGTACCGACCGAGGGGGATATTTTACCCTTTTCTCTTTTTTTTCCTTTCATCTTTTCCTTTTTTTCCTTTGTCTTTTCATCGGCATGAGCTCCGGTGCGATTTGAGAATCCTTTGTTTCTTTTCTTTTCTTTTCTTCTCTTGTTTTCTTCTTCACCTTTTAAATTTTTTACATTTTACACACTTTTATACTGCTCTGTTCAGACTTTTCAACAATGGCCTTTTTTTCCTGTTTCTTTTCATCGGCATGAGCTCCGGTGCGCTTTGAAAATTTGTTTCTTTCCTTTTCTACCCGTTTTTCTTTTTTTTCTTCTTCAAATTTTCACATACTGTTATTTCTTTTTTTTCTGCTTGTGTCTGGCATTTCAACAATGGCTTTCTTTTCTTTTCTGTTTTGTTTGTTTGTTTGTTTGCTTGTTCGTTTTTCGGTAGACTGAGATGTGGATGGGATGGGGATGGTGATGGTGATGGTGACGATGATGATGATGGTGATGATGATGATTCCGATGGGTACCTGAAAGTATACATAGTAGTAGAATACGGTACGGTAGAAAGCGACGGAGAAAACGGACGGAATGGAAATGTGGAGTTCAACACTCTCAATCACTCGCATTTTGTTTCACATCATATTGTGTGCATCGCGGATCTACCAATAACGGTGCAGACCCACGGTGCAGAAACGCAGGGGAGCAGAAAGATCTACCTATGACATCACCACCGACCCCAAGATCCGCGGCGGCGGAGGCGTAATTCTCCGACAAATTCGGAACAAATTTCAAAAAGCGAGGCATGATTCCGAGTCCTGTCCAATCGGCACGAGACCAACCGGCACGGCCAATCGGCACGAGTTCGTCGTCGCACTCATGCACGCCACGCCCGAAACACAAGCCACCGGCGCTTCGCCAAACCCCGCCGGTGGCCACAACGAAGAGGGGAGGGAATGGGAGAGAAGAGGGGAAAGAAGAGGGGATCCGGCTGCGCCTTCCATACCGTGTTGTGACTCAGCTCGAACGCTCTATTCCGGGTCGGGCAGGTCGGGCACGGCTGGTGGGTCGGGTTGGGCATGGCTGGTCTTGTCGAGATGTTGCGCTGCCGACCCTTCCACCTCACCGACACTGAGCACTGACTACAGACCAGCGAACACTGACCACAGAACACTGGTTCCGCTTCCGGACATTCCTATCTATATATCTATCCATCACTAGTAACAGTAACGGCGACAATCGTGGGGGGTGGTGAGGTATGGTGTGAGATAGTGGTGGTGGTGGTGGGGGGGGGGGGGGAGAGAGAACACCGATTTATTCTCGCATACGGCCTGTCTACTCTACTGAATAGTACGGTAGATAAGTCGGTAGACTACCGACCGGTATGGCGATCCTGCCGGTACTATTGCCGGGTCCGTGCCGTGCCAATACGGCACCTGGAGCTGGGGGACGAGTGGCGAGTGGCGAGTGACCCCCAGTGCAGCGGTGCCGGATCGAAGGCCGTGTCGATGCAGATATAGGTAGAACCGGACACGATCCTAAATACAATCCCATAGTGAGTGGGGAGTGGGGAGAGGGGAGAAGGGGGAGAGAACAGTGGTTTATTATCTACGGCATATCTACTCTACTGTATATTACTGCATAGTACGGTAAGTTCGGTAAGTAAGTCGGTAAGTAGTTCGGTAGACTACCGGTAAGGCGATCCTACCGGTACTATTGCCTGGTCTGCGCCGTACCAGTACGGCACCTATCTACGGTACCGGTATGTACACACGGTATGTACCTGGGACCTGTACCTGGGGGGCGAGTGGCGAGTGGCGAGTGATCCCCCATGTATATGCCGGATCGAAGCCCGTACCCCATCCCGTACTCTATCAATGCCGATATCTATACTCCAGGTACTCGAGGTACTCTGAAGAGAACCGCTTGGAGTCCTAAACCTTACGGGGGAGGGGAGTCGATACTAAATACAACCCCTCTAGCCCCTCTAGCTCTACATACGATGATACGATACCTACGCCGTGCGCACGCTCAAGGCATAGAACCCCATACTTTAAGTGAAGGTGGCACTGGGCAGAGGCTAGATTTCCTATGTATGGCCGGATCACAGCGGCGGTTGACTGTGGGACGAATCCAAAAATACGGCGGCGCATGCGTGTAGCATGCGTGTAACTGGGTAGGTAGGTATTCGTTCATTCATTCTGCAGGATCGGAAACGGAAACAAAGTGCGCAGCGGGCATAAAGATTGTATATTTGCTGAGTTGGGCTGATTTGGGCCATAATAAGGGCAACAGGGCAATACAAGGGCATCACAAGAGACTGAAAATACAAGGGCAACACACGAGACTGGCATCAAGGCCCGAGTCTACCTGGGGTATCTATCTATATAGTATAGAGATAGGTGGATAGGAGGATATCTGGATAGGTGGATAGGAGGATAGGTAGACCGTAGATACCGCCACCGCTGTGCATACCTATTGTTGGTATTCCAAAACCCCCTCCGCCTCAAAGATATTGGATGCGTCCTTGGTATGCCATACCAATACTCCTCCATACTCCTCTACAGCACTCTGGAACCCTTCCCTACCCACAGCTCTCAGTACCGATAGGCCCATACTTGGTGGAGTATCTATCTATACCATATTAAAGCCTATCCCTTCGGTGCCGGGATACCCAGACCAAGCTTTTTCATCCCCCCGTCCATCCCCCGTCTCCGTTCCAGAATCCATCCCACATCCCATATCCCACGTCCCACATATCCGGTCCTCGTCCGATGCGGGGATATATACAGGCCACAGGCAGACAAGCAGGCAGGCAGGCAGGTATAGTAGCAACAAGACTTCCCGGACGATTCAGGGGCGGGGGGGAGTGGTGATAGTTATACCAATGTACTCTACCATACGATAGGCCACTCGCGCGCTTGCGGCGTACGCGTTCGATAGATAGGGGGATGGTTCGTTGCATTCGTTGCACTCTCCATAGCTCTTCATTGCAAAGTGCCGCGTACGCCACCCACGATCAAGCTGGGAAGGAAAGGAAATCCTGCCATTTTCCCGCAGAGTAGCGCCATTCCCCCCCGCCGCTTCTTTGCGGATAACTCGGGGTGTCGGGCCCATGTAGATTGGCGAGAGGAGGGGGACCGAGTCCCTCGCCCTCGCAGATAGGTACTTAAGTACTTACATACCCGGTGGCCGTCCGGCCGCTGAACCGACATCATCCCCAATCAAAGCTCGGCCGATTCAAGCTCTTCCACCCCTTCCCCGCCCCCCTGATAGAAGAGAAGGGTAGGTAGTGGCGGCGGCGGCCTGACCGTGGATTGAATGGATATGCATGGGAGTTAGATGTAGAGTGCTGAGATGATTCTCATCTCAGATGAAGGAAGGAAGGAAGGAAGGCAGGAATCAGGATAGGATATGATACGGGTTGGGTTGGACTCACCGGTTGGTGGGCGGTGGACGGTGGACGGTGGACGGTGGACGGTGGACGGTGGACGGTGGGCAATCAATTACAATGATAGAGCAACGGTCGGCCTGGATTGATACTCTAGAGTAGAGTAAATGGCCCCCGTGCGGCGTCGAGGTTCGTATCACACTTCGATTCGAATAATATATCACTCGCCGCAACACTCGTAACACGCCAGCATCCCCCTCATCCCCCTCAACCCCCCTCCGAATTCCGTGTCCTCGCTCGTTGCCTTGCCTTGTATCGTCGCATCGTCGCATCTGGAGCCTGCCTGAGGGAAATTGAGGGTATATAGCATGAGCCCTCGTAGAGTAGAGTATGGTTCTCCAGGACCGGGGGTGGGGGCCTTCCTTTTTAAGCTAGCCAGTAACCGAGGCGGGTCGGCGAGAGTGGATGGGATCCATAGCGTGCCGGGCACTAGTTATCTAGAGTACTCTACTCTACCGCATGTTCCGCAGAATCCACCAAGAGGATGATGCTGATGCACGTGCGAGCGTCGGCGAGGCTGATGGGATGGGTGAAGCCTGAAGGCTGCGAAACTATTGTATAGTACTCTATGTAGTGCCTAGCCGACTCCCTAGCCTTCGGAGGAACGACGAAATCAAACCAATCTCATCACGGCTCACGCTGGGGCGGCGAGGGTGGGTTTGCCCGGGCGGATGAAGATGGGTAGGTGCAGGTTGAATTACTCTGTGTCCGCGTGATCGGCAGAAGTCGCACGGGCTCGCTGACATGTCGAGTAACGGGGGACAAACTCACGATGGTGCTGGTGACGATGGCGATGACGATGGCAGTTTGATTTGTGTTGTGTTGGTTTGGTTTGGCATTGAAGTAGAGTGTCTGGACTCTGGTTGGTTATTTCCGAACGGAGGGTTGGCAATTCCTGGTACGGGCGGACGAGAAAAATAAAATAAAAGGCCGTGCGGTACGGTGCGGCACAGAGCCAGCAGCAGCAGCAGCGTCGCCAGTCATGATAAGAGTTGTCTTGCCTTTTGCCTTTAAGACACGGGCTACGCATGTGTTGGCACGCATCATCAGCATCACCAGAGCGGTTAGAAAGAGGGGGTTGAGAAGGTTTACTAGTAGAAGAGTGGCTAAGCACTTAGCTAATGTATGTGGGCACGCGATTGGAGCTTGAATCAACGGCCAATCACGACGGAGAATGGGAGAGTCGGAGGCGCAGACGCACAGCCGATTCTCTCTGGCTCGCTCCGTGGTGTGTCCCGTTCTTTGTTTCGACATCTTCCGCACCAACTAGCCATCCCGCTCGCGCCCCCCGATCTCGGCCGGCTGCTGACGACACGACGCAGGCTCCGCAGCCACAGTATCAAAGAGTCTCTCCATCTCGCGCTCCCTCCTCCTCCTCGCCATCAACGTCGAGATAGCATCAAGGATCGTCGCCGCTTGTCTTACCGGGTACGCGATGATCCCAGGTCCCCGGTAATTTGGCGGTTGTTTTGGCCAATCAGCGCTGACCGGGACCTGACGCCATACTGGGATCGTGTTTCGGAAAGACAACGGAGGTTTTTTTTTGTTGTGTGTGTGTGTGGGTGTGTGCTGCTGCTGCTGCTGCCCGCATGCATGCCCTGTCTCCTCCCTTGCGTGCGATGGTGACGATGATGATGATGGTGATGCCTGGTGATGCCTGGTCCTGTCCCCCTGATGGGAAGGTTTCATGAAGCCGGTCTCTTCGCCTTCGCTCTCCTCTCGTCTCCTCCAAAGTTCCCAGCCGCTCGCTCGCTGCTCGCTGCGAGGATGTCCGCGGTCGACGAAGAGTCGGGTTCACGACGATGCCACTCCCTGGTTCTAGCGGGTTACACAGTTCGTTAGTCAAGACGCGACGAGGGGTGAGGAATCGAGAGGAGACTCTTAACTAAGGATTCTTTTATTGGATGGCTGACTGCGCAGACGGGGGATTTAGAGTAGCCAGAGCAGAGGAGAGTTTCTAGGTACACAGAGTAGAGTGCCGGTAGATGACTGGCGTAAGAGAGCAGGCACCACCCAGGTCCCAGGCAGGTACACACGACGGCTGGGATGGGATGGGCAATAGAGTAGAGGGTTGTGTTTTGCGTCTAGAACGCAATGCGCAGACTCTCCAATGGATGGTAGGTGGAGAAGCAGAGAGGTATGCGACGAGCAGCAGCAGTACGGCATCTACACTAGAGTACCGTAGTCACTGCGAAGCGGCCGTGGACGATGGCCAGTCCAAGATGCGCCTCTGCTAGCTGGAGCGCAGCGCAACGCAACCGGCGGTACTGGCCATTCCAACTCATTCGCGACCCCACCCCCCCAAAGTCGTCCACCCACCCTTCACTTTAACCTCCCCACCCCCGGCCCCAGGCCTTGCTGCTTTCAAGCAGGTACCCGATACGAACTTGCCTAGTCGAACACCTCACTGCCGCCCACTACCGCTCTCCTCCTCCTCCTCCTCTTCTTCTTTCCTCTCTTCTCTCCTTCCTCTTCCTTTCCTCATCCATACATTCCTTCTCCCTCACCGGGTATCTTCATTTGCAACCCACAATCTTTTCGCAGCGCGACACCTTTCTCCCCTCCCCATATTACGGCAGCCTCCCCCTCTTCCTTGTCGCGATTCCTCTCTTCTCTTCCTTCTCCCTATCGCTTCCCCCAGTCTTTTCTTCGCTGCGAAAAAAAAACATCTCTCACTGCAGTCATTCTTTTCAAAACAACGCCCTTCACCACCACCACGCTCTCTTCAAAAATACCTAGACAATCCGCCTCGGCCATCTCGCGCACGAAACGAAAACACAGAGTAACAACAACACGATGTACTCCAAGTCAATCTTCTTGGCCGTCTCGCTCCTCGCCCTGGAGGCGAGCGCCTTTTGGCGTCTCCCCTGCAGGCAGCGTCTCGCCTTGGAGCGAGTGGATCCCATCGACACTCCCGGAGTGATCGCGAAGCACGTGCATACGATCCACGGCGGTAACGGTAAGTAACTCGGCTCCGTCCCACAAAAATCCCCGTCGAGATTCGGAATTCTGATGCGTTTCGTTGCAGGTTTCTCGAAGGATGCTACTAATGCCGACATGCGTGCGTCCACCTGCACGAGTTGCTCCGTCAAGGAGGACAACTCGGCCTACTGGACTCCCAACTTGTACTGGCAGAGTCCCGAGGGAATGTTTACCGCGGTCAACCAGACCGGAGGAATGCTTGTGTATGTGCATCTCGCTCACAAATCTCATTCGCCATGCTGACCTCGGCTCGCAGCTACTACCTCCAGCGTGGAGAGAATGTCCAGGTCTTCCCAGAGGATCTGCGCATCATCGCGGGTGACTCTTCGGTGACTTACAACATCTCACAGTACGCGGACACCCCCAAGTCCGAGTGGGCCAACCTTGGCCTCTCGACGGACCAGAGCTTCCTGAGACAGAAGGCTATCGGATACAATTGCCTTAATTACGCTGCTCCCGCCGAGGCCGCTCTGGGTCTGGCCAGGATCCCGCAAGATCGCCGTTGCCCCGATGGTCTCCGCGCGGAAGTCTTCTTTCCTAGCTGCTGGGATGGAAAGAACTCGGACTCCTCTGATCACAGGTCGCACATGGCTTACCCCAGCACCATGGACGACGGTGACTGTCCCGATGGATTCCCCGTCCGTGTGCCTTCGCTCTTCTTCGAGACCATCTGGAACGTAGATGCCTTCTACGGACAGGGTGGCCAGTTCGTGTTTTCTCACGGCGACCAGGATGGTAGCTACTCCCCCCTTTTTGCAACATGGATCATCACCCGTTGCGAGCTCCGGATACACAAGCTAACCTCCCTGATCAGGTGATGGCGGTCATGGTGATTTCTTCAACGGATGGCAGCAGGACGTTCTGGAGCGTGCCATCAACACCTGCACCGACCCTTCCGGTGTTGTTGAGAAGTGTGGAGAGTTTACTTTCAACACTGTCGAGGAGTACAGCGCATGCACGATTGAGCCTGAGATTCACGAGGACGTCTGGGGCCCGATGGCCAAGCTACCTGGCTGCAACAACCTTCGCGCCGCCGATGGATCCGTCGTGAACTCTTCGTGCGACGATGACACTTCGGTCGTTTCGTCCTCCAAGACCAAGAGCACCGCGAAGTCCACCTCCACCAAGGCCTACTCGACCGAGTCCGTCGAGACCGCCGCCGCGACCACTGCCACTGCCGCGGCTACCGCCAGCCCGTACCCCACCCTCGACGACGACGAGTCCGTCGGCAAGGATGAGGAGACCGAGGTTGTCGAGAACGACGACCCTTACCTTGTCATCATCACTGTCACTGAGTACGAGTACAAGCATGTGAAGACCACGACCACCGTGAAGGCGCCCGCAGCGGTGAAGACGGTGACCGCAGCCCCCGTGTACGAGACGGCTTACGCTAAGCGTCACCTCCACAACCACGGAAAGCGTCACGCCCACCGCAACTAGGGAGCTTCTGACGGATAGGTTGGGGGTATCTGCTAGGCTGGGAACTGGGCGGAGGGGATTTTCACTTCTTGTTCTTTCTTCTGTTTCATTCTTCTAACGAAATAACTTTACGATTCAAGTTTGTGACTTGGTTTTTCATGCTTTTCGTTTCACTTCAAGTACTTATTGATATCATTGTGTGGCTTGTCACGTTTGTGTTGAGGTTCTGATCTGGGGGTTGTGATCAGCGGGGGTACTGGTTAGCGGGGGTACTGGTTAGCGGGGGTTCTGGTCTAATTCGATCACGGTCTCTGGGATGCTGCAGGCTGTATAAAAGGGACGGAGGAACTGTATATGCGTTGTTGTGTTGTTGTGTGCGTCTTGTAGCCGGCGTTGCTGTTGTCTGAGGTACCGTTTGTGATTTTGGATCGGAGCGAGCGAGAGGAGTCATCTGGAATGGAGATAGGGTGGATATTAGTGGTAGTTTGCGGAGGAATTAATAGAGGGAATGGAACGCGGAGTTGAAACGTACACTTGCTCGCTGGATGTGGTGACTGTGAATTCGAAGTGACTCGGACTGTCTGTGCTGTGAGCGGAAACAAACGATGGAAAAAAGTGAAGGAGTTGACGTTGATGCTCCTACGTTTCGAGTCGGTTGTCGGCGATGATGGGAGTGATTGAATCAATGAAATGGCGAAGAAGAGGACGATGAGGATGAGGATGGTGAAGCGGGGAACACGAGAGAACGAAGGAAGAAACAACAGAGAAGATGGACAGGGCCTCATGGCCGCACAGGCTCCGTCATAGAGGCGCCATCGAGCGCGCCATCGACACCTTCGCACCAGCGTCATACTGTGCGGCCATTCAAAGCCCTTCATGAGACCTCACTAGCATCACCCGGGCAGCGGGCTGGGTAGAGTCCGCGCTAGGGTCTGGGCAAGGGCCGGGATAGGATCCGGGCGGGGGCTGGGCCAAGGGGTTACTGGGGAAACGGAGGTGGTATGAGGGTGAGAGAATGTCAGTTTACTGTTGCACTGATTGGATACACCCTTCACACCCTCCATACACGCACACACGCTCAAGACCCGGTCGGCCGGTGGAGAAATCCTGTTTGGCACCAGAATGTGGCATGGGAAAATGGAGGGATGGAGGGAAGGAGGGAGGGATGAATTACATCCCGAGTGAGTGAGTGAGTGAGTGAGTCGCCGACCACCACCGATATCCCGACTGTGAGGCGGGAATTCTCACTCGTCGCATTATCGCGCGTTTGAGCGCATCTCGTTTGCATTTGCCGCCAGGGTCGGCTGGAATGTTCATACTCCGCCCCTCCGTCACGCTCGCGCTTGCGGTTTGCGCATCTGGAAAGGGAGGGCAGGTCTGGGCAGGGCTGTGGAGGGCTGGCTGGAATGTATCCGCTGCATGTCCTTCGCTTGTAAATTTGCCGCAGTGCAGTGCATTAATTTGGGCAAATCCGGACCGGTGAAGAGAGGTTGGAAACGAGTGATATCGAAAGCTGGAAGAATTTGGTGAGTGGAATCGAGTGGAATCGAGTGGAATCGAGTGGAATCGAGTGGATTGCGTAGTGAGCTGTGTAACTAGTAGAAACTCCGACAGTATCAGGAATCTCGCAGCATACAGTGTATTCCCACTTCCCATTTCCCTCCTAACAAAGGTTGTCTAAACATTTGACACAGAAAAAACGGTATGAGGCAGTTGGTGAGGATTCGCCAGTGGCATGCGTGATACTGCCGCTGCAACGGGGAGAGGGCTGGTTGGATTGAGGAGGACTGGAGTAAATGACTAAGGTAAGGCAAGGTGGAGGTATGGTAGAGACAGAGCGGGAAGTAAAGAAGCAAATAAGACTGGTCTGATATGATAGGGTCTTGTGGCTCGAGGTCTACCAGGTAGTACCGGTGTATCATGGGTGGGAAAACTGACGAGCGAGGAGTGGAGAGTTACTTGCGGAGGGAAGTAGGACATCGAAGCTTTTGAACGAAGCAACTGCCACCTACTTACATACCTGTCCGTGTGCGATACTCCAGCACAGCCCCCCTCTCCCCCTCCTCAAAACACATGCTGGACCTTCCGGCAACCCGTGCCGGAGACCTGCCTCTCCAGGCAGTGCACTGGAGATCACTCGACACTCAGCACCCGTCAGCGTCGGTGTCGGGGGTGGCCGAGTTGGTCCGCGGCGGGAACGCCGGGGAGGGGTTAACTTTAACTAGCCGTATCAGTGCATACACTGGAGAACACTACTGCAAATTGCAATCCAAGATCTGAGTATGGTATGTAGAGCGATAACGAAGCGGGCTCTCACACTCCTGGCTCTCACACTCCTGGCTCGCGGATCCGGGGTGGAGGAGGCGGGGGTCGTACCCGCTGCGGTTGCCAGTTAGGGACTCGGTTCCCTAGATTAATCGCGTGTTTCCGATCGCATGTGGTCCGTGGAAGCTCCGAGCGAGGCGCTGTGACGCACAGAGCACGGGTATAGTTCCCGTATATTATGCATATATCGAGGTTGAAGGCGAGGCGGTTTTTCGCTTGCTCTCGCGCGGAGAATGATGATTCGCCTTGCCTTCACAGCCGGAGCTTTGGGATTATAGCCCGCCATCCAGGATTCTAGATACTCGGTCTTCGGCCGGACAGAACTGCGAGTTGGTTACGACGTATATTAGAATTTGGGGTTCTGGCCGGTCGACCGTCGATGGCGAGCGTGTATGCAATTGGCTCGTTCGAGTTATGCATCCGCAGGCACTGTATGCAGCTTATGCACTGTATAGACGGACTTGAAGAACGTGGTGAGCGTGGCAAACGTGGCAAACGTGGCAAACGTGGTGGGCGTGGCAGGTGTGGCAGATCGAGGTGTAAACGGCCGACGGGTGGCACATTAGACATTGGTAGCGGCGGCATAAGTAGTGCACGTGGAGGACCTGTTCCTGTTCCTGGAGACTCCGGGGTGCATGCTGTATGCGGGATTTCTACGTTGGATGATGGAGGCGGGGAAGCTTCGGTGGGGTCTCCATGTGATGATGCAGATGAAGTCTTCAAGCTAAGCTGGTACGATGTGCCTGGGGGTGTGGCTACTAACTGCCGCAGGTCTGCAGAAGAGCATGCTCGCTGTAAACACCGTTGGACGATAGGTCAATCTAGTAATCACCGGAAGATCATATCATATCATATCATACGTGGGATCTGCTCTATTCGACCTCCTCCGCAAGGCTGCAGTTTCCACTGCTCACCATGGAGATCTGGTTGATTGTCTGGGTGGGTGGATGAAGTTGGTCGCTGCATTGAGCTGGATATCTAGATTCTGGACTGCAGAAAAGATATCTGGGGCATGATCCAGAAACGTAGAACACACCATAATAAAATCCAGTCTTTCTGGCTGGCTGGAGAGTGAGGGATAGGTCCAGAACGTAGGGTGGAAGCCCACATGTGATCAGACAAACATTGTGGGATACCTACATGTATGCGGAAGGGCCGAGAATTCTGGTTGAGCGGGGTGACTTCTCGCCAACACTCGACACGGATACTTGCCTACCACCAATCCAATATCGACAGCAAGTGGTTAGCAGCCGTTGACGATTCAGCGGGGACGCTCACAGCCGCTACAGCTAGTAATCCAACCAACTGCCGGGCCACTAGAGTACTCTCCTGCACCCTAAACGTGGCGGGAACATGGCGGGAACATGGCCGTCCATTTAGTTACAAGGGCAAAGCATATTCAGACTCATGGCGGAAGGAAAGCTTGTGCCCGGCCTGGGGTGCATGCGGTCTTCGTATTCGCCCGCGCCTAGATGGTAGCAATGGTGCTGATCGAGGAAGCGATACATGTGACTGCCGGTGGTGATACGGTAAGATGGGCGGAAGGATCATCGAAGATGTCAGAGTTGATTTGAGGCCTGGCTGATGGGTTGTGTTAGGTACAACGTGGAACAGCTACGAGTCACCCACAACCGGAGGGTATCGATCTACTATCGATCCGGCAGCCAAGTCGCAGGAGGTTGCTGCTAGTTCCAGTAATGCATAGTATGCAACTTGCAAACGCACTGGCGAGCTGGCCTGAGGGTGCAGCGATAACGCAAGTAAAGTAAAGTGCATAATCCTCGATCTCACGGTGGCTTTGGGGTGTAACGAGAGCAAAAGTATAGCGCATAATTCATCCTCGATCTTGCGGTGATTTTGGGTGTAACGGGAGTGAAAGTACGTACAGTGCATCATGCATCCCCGATCTTGCCGTGGTTTGCGCTTGCGCTTGGGGAATGGGATGCATAAATTGTTCGTATCCGGCATCTTCTTGGCCGGCCGGCAGGCAGGCGGGCAGGCAGGAAGTCCGGAATGCATGTGATGCACATCGGTGAGTAGACCCGAACTTTTGACTGCACCCCGGGTTTCTGGGTGCAACGTGGGAGCCGTTTTCCCCCCGCTCCGAAATATCCGTACAAACACCCGGCGCCGGAGTCCCGGGTGCACCGTGCACCGTGGCCGTGCACCGTGCACCGGGAAGTAGACCGGGAACTAGACCGTAGGCCAATCAATTTTCAAGTTAAGCCGTGGTACCTACTCGGGTGCGTATCGAGTAGTATTTCCCACTCAAAAACACTCAGACCCAGGAGTCAGGCTTCGTGGGATTCATCTCTCCTTCGAGTTCGAGTCGAGTACGGAGAGTAGGCCGTTTGAAAAAGGGTTCTTGAAGGTGGATGGTGGGATCGGGATTCCCGTTCGAGCTCGAGAAAAGGGAATTCAGACTGACTGCATGCGATGAAGTCGTCCACGATGAACGAAGCCCTTTGAGCCAGCGCTCCGGAATATCGGAGAACGGACCGCGTGCGATGACGGATCACCTGCTCTACAGCTCAACATCGGGGATCACTCGACCGGCTTAACCATTCCTGGAACCTGTACCTCCGGATGAACGACTCCGGAGTTATATGTAGCTACCCGCCAGGCACGTCAACCGTCAACGGTCAGACCGGACTATGGCGAACAGGGTTGAAGGAACGAGAATGCGGGGAGAGACGATCGATCGGGTAGGGCCGACGACATGTACATACACCAGTTACTCTACCTAATTTACTCTATGGTAGGTACAGGACAAATGACCGCCATGTGGGAAGTAAGGGACAGTATGCGGTGTGCTTCAGTTACTTGCAGACTGGAAATTCGATGTACTAGTTTTCGAAGGGAAGGTGGCAATGTCCTGTTCACGCGGGGTGGACATTGCTATGTAGGCAAACCATACATATCATATGTGCTTTGCTTCCTTCGCATGCGGACGTGCGGGACTGAGCGAGCGCACGCCGCATGGTGGCATGGTGGTAATATGGCACGTGGCGCACTGGCGCACTGGCGCGATATCGTGGAGGTGGAGGTGCATTTTCTCCGATGCACTACGTACGGTGTAACGGTGGGTACTCTAACTGTCAGAGGCCACTCTACGTCGTACTACATGCATGCATATTCACCTACCCTACGCCACACACCCTACACCACACCGGCCATGCCGAGCGGGGCTGTCGACTTCGCGGAGCCGGTTTGATGTGGCGCCATAACGATGCCCTATGGTGGCGGTGCACGGCGTCGCGGGATTGAATTCCAAAGCCAAAGGCTCGTCTGTCCGGCTGGACGGCGCCTCGCGCTCTGATGCCTGTGCAACGGTCCTTTCATCTCGACGTGGGCGAGCGAGCGGCCAGGAAAACACCCCCTCTTCCCCTCTCCCAGGAAACTAGCCGCCGTCCGACGGCCCGCAGATAGAGTGTGTTGTTTGCGGTGGCGAGTACCGTACCGTACCATAGGAACCTACCTCATACATACCAGACGTTGCTCGCTCCTCGACGTTTCAACCGGTGACAGTGTCAGGTTTGTGGTTGGGTTGGGTCCTGTTATCGCCAAGCGCCGAGCAGGGAACATCTTGCCCGGGCCGACTGCACCCTCCAAGTACTCCAGGAGGGGTGGTGTTGAACGCTCCACGCTGACTCTCTGCTACTCTATTCCACATACATCCTACATACCCAGTACTGACAGAGGACTGACTGGCCATGCTCGCGTACATACCGGTTTGCTTCGAGCGCTGCGGAATCTACGCAAGGCAACAGCATGTACCTGTCGATATACTGGAAACAACTGGCCGTATGTACCATACACAGCTACATGCATGCATATCCTATGCAGTGGCTGGATATGGCATCGATCCTTCATCTGCACCGAGAACGGCGGACAAATCTCGGCCGGCACCGCGATGCGGCACATGTGGAGAAGAGAATGCGCGCGCTGCTCTGGCTTTCGTTCGACTCAGCCTTTGGCCCGCATCGAGTGCATAGAAGAGTACATACCGGTACTCTAGGGTACGTGGGTGAGTTTCACGCACTTGGGTTCTCGAGGCTGGAGGTGAGGTGGAAAGTGGGTGCCCGGCTGACAATGTTAGGTAACTTGGTACTCTATGGTAGGTGTTGAAAGGTGTCAGTGTGCATACTCGTGCGCCGCCGCCGTGCCTGAACTGATGATGTCCCCGCAGTCTGTCGGATGTCATCTGGACGAAGTGTGCGGTAGAATGACACGGCGATCGCTAGTTGTGCCTTGGAGGTGGGAGTGGGGAGAGCCGCCTGTAGGACGCAGCGGAGGGGGGCCTATCTAGAGTGGTTGCCTGTAGAGTACTATCATGCCGCAGGTACGTACTCTAAGAGGCACGTACTTAGGCAGGTACCAGATACCCAGAGTACCTAACCTACTCTACCCTACTCCACTATCTACGACTGTGTGCTAACTACTATCCCCGGGAGACGCAGAACCACGGCCGGCTCAGGTCCAGAACTTCTCGTGTTCATCGACGGCAGAGACATACGCAGTTCCGGAATGAAGGCGATATGATCCCTTCTTCTTCTTCTGCCCTTCCTCGTTGCCCCTCCACGAGCTCCCCCCGGCCATGATGCGGGCGGACGACCCCGCACTTCTGGGTACACCCACGCGCACGATACCACCTCCCATCCGTCGAATCTGCCGATGCCTAGTCCATCCATCCGACTGATGGTGGCCCATGATCACGCACGGCGGATGATTGGCTACACACCCATCGCACCGCAGATCTAGCTGTAACGGCCACGGAGCTTAACTATTATTATTACGGTTTAGGGGGGGCTGTCGACGTCGGCAGGCAGCGACACGCAGGCCAACGGTTGACAAGACCACATGGCTGGCGCAAACGCGATCGGTTTCGGGTGATGTGGGTGGTGTGCGGTCGGACGTCAACTCAGAATCGAGAAACAGGTCCGAGCCAGAGCGATCCCCTGCAGGGCGTGCATTACTCGCTGACGAATTTCTCGGGTATGCAGGCCAAGCTCCCATCATTCCCGCGCTTGCGGCCGGACTCTCGATCGTGTCGTGTCCGCCGCCGCACCTGGCCAAAAAGACGGGTCTGTGGACGGCGCACCGGAGGCGGTGGCGACCTGAACGCCACTCGACCATGCCCCCCGGGAGGGCGAAGGGGAAGGGCGAGAACGGGGGAGATATGTACGTGGAGATGTCTGACGCTGGGAACGTCGTGGTCGACCGGCTTGCGCACGCAGGGGAAATTTCCAGGCAGTATGGAAAGGGGAAGCGAGGCTCTGACTGCTTAAATTTCCGGTACCGATGCCGTGTCTCGGCAGGGTATGCTACTGGGCGCCTATCAGTAATCTCGTGCGAGTAATTTGCATAAGAGAAGGTGAAGGAACGGAATGTCCGGCCGCCCAACACACATCCACTATACACGCGCTGTGTGTGACGGTGTTCCTGAATACCACTCCTTCGCTCTCTCTCGACCTCGATCTTCCGACCGACCGACTATCTTTAAACTACGCTTTCTTTTTCCTTCCTTTTTTCTTCTCCGCAACTTCCTTCTTTTGCTTCCCTTACATCTCCTCCCGATCGGGATGCTGTGAAGAAGGGTCCAAGGAAACAACACCGTCCATCGTCACCAGTGTTGTCGTCGTTGCACTTGTGCCAGTCACTTGCTTCGAGAACTCACCACACTCATTTGCCCAGCTGAACACGAGGCCCCTCCCCCGCACCCCTCCTGTCACGAGCGGGACTGTCTTTCCAGCTCGCCCGCATTCTTTGCCTGATTCGTCGACGATCCTTCGGCCTCAAGTCCGTGGTAGACCTCAGCCCTCAGCCCTCATTCACTCTCGGCGTTACAGCCCACCACTCGTCGCGAGCTTGAATTCCGCCTGTCCTTCCCAATTTAACGCTTCCTCCCCTTGGGAGATATTGAAATACCTCAGTTGATAATTATTTACTTATAACTGGCTCCGCCTCCCCTCCTCCACAACCCTCCTCTGATACCCACCACCCATCAGTTCACTAACACAGCTTCCTCGATTCGATCGATATTTGGGTCTCTTAACTCTTCACTGCCGCGTCATATTCATCATGGCGCCAAAGCATCGTTTTGGCTTTGCGGTATGGTTGTTCCATTCTTGTCCTGACGGGCTATATTTGGTGGTGGATACTGACGTTTCGGCAGACAACTCTCGCACTATCACTTTTGGCTCTCTTGCCTCTAACGTCTTGTGTCTCGATACCGCAATATGACCTCCAGCGCCGTTATCCTGTCGTCGCCATCAATTCCAGCGTCACTGCTGTCGTCGAAGATGCAGTAACGGCCGCTGCTTCCAGTTACTGGCTCGAGAACATTGCCAAGCAGGGCAGAGCTGCCTTCAACGACAACCCCTCGAGTTACAAGGTGTTCCGTAACGTCAAGGACTATGGAGCTACAGGTACTATCCACGCCAGAGCTTGACGGCGAGCATTCCACTGACATTTTACAGGTAACGGAGTGTCTGACGACACCGCCGCTATCAATGCCGCCATCCAGGAGGGTAGCCGCTGTGGAAACGGGTGTGATTCGTCCACTGTAACCCCGGCACTGGTCTACTTCCCCGCTGGCACGTACCGTGTCTCGGCACCGATCGTGGCCATGTACTACTCCCAGCTGGTCGGTGATCCCATCAACCGGCCCACCATCAAGGGCTTGCCTGGATTCAGCGGTATGGCTCTGATCGATTCCGACCCGTACAACCCCGATGGCAGCAACTGGTACACCAACCAGAACAACTTCTTCCGCTCCGTCCGCAACATGATCATCGACACCACCGACATGCCCGTGGGCGCTGGAACCGGAATGCACTGGCAGGTGGCCCAGGCCTCGAGTTTGGTCAACCTCAAGTTCGTCATGTCTCAGGCTGCCGGCAACTCGCACCAGGGTATCTTCATGGACAACGGCTCCGGCGGGTTCATGAGCGATTTGGAATTCGTGGGCGGAAAATACGGTGCTTTCTTCGGAAACCAGCAGTTTATGACTCGCAACCTGGTGTTCAAGAACTGTCAGACCGCCATCTACGTCAACTGGGACTGGCAGTGGACCTTCAAGTCGATCGATATCTCCAACTGCGGCGTCGGTATCGACTTCTCCGGTCTCGATAACAACGGGGCCCAGAACGTCGGCAGTATCATCGTCATGGATTCCAAGATCACAAACACCCCCATCGGTATCAAGACCAGCCGAACCGGTACCTCTCAGCCCACTAGTGGTGGATCGTGCGTGTTGGATAATGTCTTCCTGTCTGGTGTCACCCAGGCAGTTGCTTCTGCCAGCGGCGCCACCATTCTCGCCGGAGGAACTTTCACCATCGATCTCTGGGGGCAGGGCAGAACCTACAACACCGATGGCTCGGTCCAGACCATCCAGAACAACATGGCTCGCTCGTTTGCTAAGCCCACTGCTCTCCTCGACGCATCCGGCAAGATCTTTGAGCGCTCCCGACCCCTGTACCAGGACGTTGCTGCCTCGAACTTCATCTCTGCCCGCTCCCAAGGCGCCAAGGGTGACGGCACTACCGACGACACAGCGGCGATTCAGAAGCTCTTCGCCACCTATGGTGGTGACCTTAGCAAGGTGATCTACTTCGATCACGGTGTCTACCTGGTTTCGGACACCATCCAGATCCCCGTCAACACTCGCATCGTCGGTGAGGTCTGGTCCGTCATCATGGCAGCCGGCTCCGGCTTCCAGGACCGCAACAACCCCAAGGCCGTGTGGAGAGTCGGTAACCCCGGTGATAAGGGAACCGTCGAGATGCAGGAGCTGCTCTTCCAGACCCGTGGTCCCCAGCCCGGTGCTATCCTCATGCAGTGGCACTCGCGCGACCCCGATGGTCAGCAAGGAGTGAACGCCCTGTGGGATGTGCACTTCCGTGTTGCCGGATCCCGCGGAACCCAGCTCGAGGTGGCCCAGTGCCTCAAGAACCCGACCGCCACCGTCGGCACCCCGAATGCATCGTGCGAGGTCGCCTTCATGCTGCTGCACATCGCCAAGACGGCCAGCGTCTACATCGAGAACTGCTGGGCCTGGACCAGTGACCACGCTCTCGACCGGCCCTTCGACCAGATCACCGTTTACAACGGCCGTGGCATCCTCGCCGAGTCGGAGAACGGCCCCGTCTGGATGTATGCCGCCGCCGCCGAGCACAACACGCTGTACCAGTACCAGCTGCAGAACACGCAGAACGTGTTCATGGCAATGATCCAGTCTGAGACTCCGTACTTCCAGTCCAACCCCGGCGCGCAGGTTCCGTTCCCGACCTTGAGCGCTTGGGGCGACCCAAGCTACGCGTCGTGCACGACCGCGAGCTGCCGCAAGTCGTGGGCTCTCCGCATCCTCAACTCGCGCAAGACCCTGATCTACGGCGCTGGACTTTACAGTTTCTTTGAGAACTACTCGCAAGGTATACCCCCCGGCCAACTATCTATCACTCATACTAACTCGTTCCCCGCGTAGACTGCATCAAGACGCGCACCTGCCAGGACTCGATCGTCGAGATCCGCAACAGCCCCGACGTGACCATCTTCAACCTCAACACGATAGCATCGAAGAGCATGGTGGATTACAACGGGCAGAAAATCATCAATGCCGACGACAACCTCAACACCTTCTGCCAGACCGTCATGGAGATCAGCACTTCGTAGAATGGGGTGGGCTGTCCTCCGTGCGGAAAGCCGAGGTGTGAGCCGTGTAGGCCGAGGAGGGTGAGGAGGTGGGGAAGGTTGAGATGGCGGAGAGGGTAGCGATGGCAGAGATGGTAGCGATGTGTGTATGATTGTGATTTGATTTTTGGTTTTGGTTTTGGTTACGGTTACGGTTGCTGCGTGCCTTTCTTTGGATATGTTTGTATGTACAAGTGGACTGTCTTGGACATGTCGGAGAGTTCTGCTCCTCTCTGTCTCTGTCTCTCTCTCACTCGTTTCTCTCGTGATATCCCCCAAAGCTTGGACGTTGCACGGATCGTCGGGACTCGGCATCTACCTATTACGTTACATACGGTCGAATGACATGATGATGAAACATAAAAACAAAAAAAAACAAAAGATCGCCGGCACCGGCACCGGGGTAAATTGCACCGAACTATCCAGAGCACCAAGGACCTAGGGGAGACCTAGAGGAGACTACGGCTGGCGCCAGTCCTTCATTACCCCGGATTCACGGCAGCGCCGTTGCAGTGCCGTTGCAGTGCCGTTGCAGTGCTTTTGCGGGGGCGCAGTGGGGGAGGGTTCCTACACACATCATATGAGGTAGGTATGTAAGTACGGCCTGTAGGCGACGGACGTGATATCACCATACACGCCCCAGCACTCGCACTCGCTCGCAGCATGCACATTGAACCGCCTCCTGAGTCCCGGCAATATAACCCCCCCGCTACCACTATACCACCATACTAGTTAGCCCGCCCCCAGGATATGTAGGATCCCCACTTTCTCCACGCAGCGACGCACCGTGCCTTAATATCGCCAATGCAAATACCCGCGCCCGACAAGCCATCCGGCTCCAGTTCGTAACGAGATCCTCCGGGGTCCCGAAGCCTTCCCCAGTAGTCGCGTCCCTCCCCATACATAGGTACATAGAGTACATATAAACACGTCCCTCCCGCTCCCCACAAAAATGTCCCCCAGCTTCACCAGCAGCTTCAGCAACAATGCGCCTCAAGCACCTTCTATCGCTCCTCCCGGGCGCCGCGCTGTTTTCTGCGGCCGCAGCCGCGATCGATGTTGTGCAGTCCTCGACGACGATTAAGGTCTCCAATGCGCGACTCAATGCTACTTGGCAGAAGAATATTGGCGCCATTGTCGACTTGACGCTTGATGGGAGGGATCTCCTGGGCACGCAGAGCGGGAGTACGGGGATTGGGCCGTATTTAGGTATGTAGTTACAATCAGTGATGGGGGGTGGGGGGGGGGGGGGGGGGGGGGGGGGGGTGAATGTGGGGCGAGGCTGACTGTTGTAGACTGCTACTGCATCCCGACGGGCTTCTACACGATCGGGACGAACACGCCTACGTGGGAAGTGGTCTCGGGCTCCGACGGTAGCGGCACGCCGTACATCGGCGTGATCCTGTCCGACACGTACAAGCCGACCAACCAGACGTTCCAGCAGTACTGGTTCCTGCGGGGCGAGGAGACTGGTTTCCACATGTTTACGCGCGTCGCGTACTACAACACCGCCACGCCGTTCCTTAGGAATCTGCAGGAACTGAGGACGCTGTTTAGGCCGAATGCCGGGCTGGGGCTGTGGACACATCTTAGTGTCAATGATAATCAGTGGGCACCGCTCCCGAGTCAGGAGGCCATGCAGAAGGGAGTTGTCGTCCAGGATGCCACCTGGAGTCTGAAGGCGACCCCGAACGATAAATATGTCACCCAGTTTTCTGAGTATTTCACGAAGTATACCTTCTCGAGTGGTGAGTGGACCCCCCGTGAGTGAGTGTGTGAGATGGTGGTGGTGGTGGCTGATGCATTGGCGGCAGATTGGAGGAGTACTATCGCCCACGGAATGTTTGCCGACGGAAGCACGAGCAATGGCACCTCGTACGGCGCGTGGCTGATCATGAACAGCAAGGATACGTACTTTGGCGGGCCGTTGCATTCGGACCTGACCGTGGACGGGATCGTGTACAACTACATCGTGTCGAACCATCACGGCGAGGGTCAGGATTCCCGGCACTTGCTTCAGGGGTAGGGACTGACAGGGAGCGTGCAGGAACACCGAACATCACGCACGGGTTCGACCGCACCTTCGGCCCGCAATACTACCACTTCAACTCCGCGCCGGGCGCCTCGCTGACCGATCTCCGGCGCGACGCGGAAGCGCTCGGCACGCCGGGCTGGAACGCCGACTTCTACGCATCGATCGAGGCGCACGTGGTGGGGTACGTGCCGAGCACGTCGCGCGGCAAATGGAGCGGCAAGATCTCTCTGCCCAAGGGCGCGACGCGGCCCATCGCCGTGCTCAGCGCCGACGGCTACAGCTTCCAGGACAACGCGTTCGACACCAAGGCGCTGCAGTACTGGGGCGAGATCGATGCCCAGACCGGCAGAGTCTCCATCGACCGCGTCGCCGCGGGGAAGTACCGCCTCACCGTGTACGCCGACGGGATCTTTGGCGACTTTGTCAAGTCCGGCGTTGTCGTCGCCGCCGGGAAGACCACCACCACCTCCGCCACGTGGAAAGAGGAGTCCGCGGGGAAGGAGCTGTGGCGCGTCGGCACACCCGACAAGTCCTCGGGCGAGTTCCGTCACGGCGTGACCCCCTCCACACTCACGCCCCTCGCACCCCCCGAGTACCTCATCTTCTGGGGCGCCTACGACTTCCCCAGCGATTTCCCCACCGGCGTGAACTACACCGTTGGCGTCTCCGACCCCGCGCGCGACTGGAACTACGTGCACTGGTCCGTGTTCGGACCCACACCCAACCGCGCGGAGCAGGCCTCCGTTAACACCGCGGACTGGACCGTCAACTTCGCGCTCACTCCCGCGCAGCTCGCCGGCCGCAAGACCGCCACGCTGACCATCCAGCTCGCGGCCGTCAAGGGTGCCTCAGGGAATACGGATGTGCTCTCGCCTACCGAGCCCTGGGCGAACGTGCCGCTCACCGCGTATGTCAACGGTAGAGAGGCGGGGACGATCGTTGCCCCTTGGTATAAGAGCTCCAGCTGCGCTGTGAGGAGCGCGGTCAGCTGTTATCAGGTCGCCGGGAAGGTGGAGTTCCAGGCTAGCTGGATGAAGAAGGGGTGGAATCAGCTCGTCCTCGCGCTGCCGGAGAATGCGACGGATACGGAGACCGCCGTGTTGACGGATGCGATCTATGTGCAGTATGATGCTGTTAGGTTGGAGGTGAAGTAGTTAGGGGTGTGGGGCATATCATGTATATGGCGGGGGATTTGTGCGTCAGGTAGCATATATACTCAAGTAATTGTTAAAATTTTGCGGATTTATCATCTCCCGATTGAGTGATCGATCGAGACTTTTACGTGTTTACGTGTTTTGCGCCCCAACTGCTTTGGATTACCATTCTCTGTTTCATCACACAGCATTCGAGTTCGACCGGTGCGTGCTTTGGATTCATCTCCGTGATCTTGCCGATAAGGTGGATACGGTAGGCAATAAACTCTATGTAGATAAGTGAAACGGCATGATTTTCTCCAGCCTCCGGATCGTTCAACGCTTGATACAGCATGATATCCGAATTGCGAAGTTCAGTTGCAGCTTGAAGCATACACGTCCGCCGGAGTGGAGAGTGATCTATCGGGAAAAGTCGACCAGTGACCAAGTAAAGAAAGACCTCTCCAACCAGAATCGAAATTTTTGTTACAATATCTGTCTTGTTTATTCGTGGTAGAAGGCACAAGCCTTTACCCCTATGTATTCCCATTATGTATCTTCTGTTCTCACGAGGCTATAGCACAGCCCTACACTTCAATAATACTAGGTACACTGTTCACCACCACATCTTGCTCTATTATTTCAACAATTTTGGAGTTAACTCCAGTCTCCACGAGTGACCACCGATGGAACGATGAAACGGAGCAGCGGCAGACCTCGCCTGTCAAGAAAAGTGGTATTTTGAAGTAGGTAGTGTAGGTACAGTGTATCAGACACGGCAGGAAAAAAGGCATATGTAGTAGAGGCCACTCACCACCTCTGTGAGAACGGATAACGAAAGTCTCTTGACATGCTATAGAGGGTGATCTCGATATCCGGAGGGTAAAGGGCTTAGGGAACAAGCACGGTGGTAATAAGAGGCGTCGAAGAGGCAAACAAACCGACAAGGAGTGTCGATTCTGGGGGGACTTCTGGAGCTTTCGACACTCTTTTGTGGTGTGGTTATCCATATTGCAATGCAATGCGTGCAAGCGTACTCATTGTCGGTTTGTTTGCCTCTTCGACGCCTCTTGTTTCCACCGTGCATGTTTTGTTCCCTTTACCCTCCGAATATAGATACCTAGGGCTTGTCCCGACCGATGTAGGTGCGAGGTGCGAGGTTCGAATCGCCGACTTTGGTTTCTGCAGCATGTTCCGCCTCGGTTTCCTTCAGCGCGGTGGTGATGTCTTCAATCGTGAAGTTTCCGGTCGGTCCGTTTCAGGATTGCGACGGTCATTTTCAGATGATCGGGAACGTTCTGGTAGAGATGTGGGCTCAGAATGTTTCTTCAAAGATGGCTTCTGGGGTGCCGATGAGCTGTCGGCGAAAGGTCTGTAGGCGCGCAATATTGTAGTTGACAATGCTTTCGTTCGACGTCGGAAGAGCGTTGTGGAAATTGGTGACTATAGCTGAGTAGACCTGCCGAGGTGTGTTGTCGCATTATCGAACATTAGCTCAGGAAGGGTCTCCCACATTTCTGCGGGGTCCGGTAGGTCGCGGTTGCGGATGTGCATTGCGATGTCGGTAGTGCACGAGAAGCATATGTAATGCCATCTTTGCTTGCGTGACTGGCGCCGGGTGCGGAAATTATCGAGCCTAACTCTCGCAGCTTGGTTGTGGGGAAGTGGAGGTTCGAGTTCGGTACGGTTGGTAATTCGAGCATCCGCCGTCATGCCGCCAAGGACAAGCATGATATCGCTCTTCCTTGTGTTGTAGTTTGACGAGCCCACAAGCTTCGCAATATTTCCGAAGCTGGAGTAGTACTTCGGGTTGTCGGTGGAGTTCGACATGGTGTTCGGTGGGAGGATTCTGGTCGCCGGTGGAACCAGTCGCCGCAGGATTCTGCTCGCCGCAGGATTCTGGTTGCGCGAGGATTTTGGCCGCCGGAACGAAGGGATTTTTCGATGGAGTTTTTGTGAGCGCTGACCCGGGCTGATAACCTGTCAAGAAAAGTGGTATTTTGAAGTAGTGTACTCTACAGTGTATCAGACACAGCAGGAAGAAAGGCATATATATGTAGACGGAGGCACGGGGGTGCCTCGGATAGAGGCCGCTCGCCACCTCTGTGAGAACGGATAATGTCAGTGTTGCGATTCTCGACGAACTCCATTGGTTGTCACTCGTGCAGGATATGCGTGCATATTTGTCATAGGTAGTGGTGATACGCGCCGTGCGTCTCGGGAATCCTGTTTATTCTCATACTTACTTCTTCTTCTTCCGCTTCTGTCTGGCATGTCTAGCTGGTCGTTCTCTGTGTTTTGCGAATAAGTCAAGCAACTGAATAATATCACACTCATATTTCAACAGGAAGTCTCTCGATATAGAGAGTGATCTCGCATGACGCGGTACACGGAAATTCGTGATGTTATGACATCACCTCCTTATGATACGGTAGAACTGATCGATTTTCCGCGGCCTCACACAGTTGCGATGATAGCGGAAGTGGATGATAGCGCTCCATTGACGAGAGGATATCATTCTCCGAGATCGCTATCACTTATAGTAGACTATGTAGTTTTTCCGAGTGACCGCCGCCAAACCTGGCTGACTGCACATACTATATTACACTGTATGTATTCCGTGCGACCGTAACCACCGTAACAATATACCGGTGCCATCGGCCCCACAAGATGCCGGGGACGACGCCTCACCGAGTTACCGCACAACCACGATAGGTACTGTATTGTACATAGGCTGATCGGAAGGAAAGAAACTGAACGGAACGGGAATGGAATGGAGTGGCGCCATAAGATCCCGGGGCTCGAACGGTCGAACCACGCCTCGCCGACCCGTGCACACTGCAACAGCGATACTCCAGGTACGGCACTCTACGTGCTTTAGGTACGATAACTACCTAGGCTGATGGTATGTACAAAAAGGCTCCACAAGGCCTGCCGTCTTCACAACTCCAGAGTCCACAGATCCCATTGCCTTCCGCCATACGTATCGTACCGTACCGGTGCCGGAGAGTCGGAGACTGCACGTATCGTACGTATCGATTGAGCGCATGCAATCTGCCCCCCCTCGATGCGGGCAGATATTGTGCGGCAGAAGGGTACGGCAACTACACGGTCGTTCTCGCCGGGGGGAAGTGGAAGGGGGCAAACCGGGACAGTGTGGACGATCAGTCCTTTATGACCGGTATTCCCCACCGGATCGGCTCTATACCAATGAAATCCACGTGGGTGATTAATACTACGTACTAGTAATATGTATGTAGTAGAATCTCGTCTTTTTCATGTATGTACTGAGGGAGCGCGGGGGTCTCGGCGCTTCTATGTTGCGGTGAGCGGCGGTATGGAGTTATGGTAGGCAGATCCGATGTCGTCGTCGAAAGTTGAACGTTGAAATGTTTTCTGCTGCTTTTCTGTTCGTCTTGCCTTGTCGGTCCGTCTCTTGTTCAATACCACAGATTCTTTTCTTTTCTGTTCCTATCAATTGCATCACATTCTACATTTTTCATACCCGGTCGTGGGTCTCTCAGAGGTACCTACCAGTTACATAGAGTACCTACTCTATGGCAGTTACCGGTACTCTACAGAGTGAACCTTCCCCCCGCTCCGGGCCAGAATCCCGGGAATTCCGGAGCGCGCTCGCGGACCAGTAATCAGCACATGTCACCTGCCTTCCTGTGAGTGTGCGTGCGAAATCCCGGTGAGCGGTGGCCGGTGGTGGGCGGTGGGCAGGTACGTGCGTGCATGCATGCAGACGAGCGTGCCGACAACATGCGAGCGAGGGAGCAAGGAGGAGGGGGCGGGGGGGCGGATGGCGGGTGGTGGGTAAGCGAGCAACGAGCAAGCGACACCACATCCGACTGTTCTTACTCTATCCTCCTCCCCGCCGTGGTCAAAGCTTCCGGGTTTGTGTTCCTCGCGTTTCGCCGTTGCGGTGTGGAGCCAAGCATGATGCACGAACGGATTCCGCTGCAACGGTCTTTGGAAGTTTGGAAGTTTGGATGCGCTGGAGCCTGGAGCTCGAACATGGTCCTGGAATGGAGGTACCGTTAACGGCGGTGGAGAGGATAGTCGTTACATACGGTACGAACCGTGGTTGCGTGCGTAGCGGCGAAACTTCGGCGTAATGCATACCGACGTGCTGAAGGTCTAGGCCGGGGAGGGATGGTGGTGGGGTAACTAAGGGTAATCCGGGGTAAAAAACAGCATGTGAGTGTGTGTGTGTGATCGAGGTGTAGATACTTGGTTACTCCGTCTACCGGCGATGCAGTGTGCTCTTCATGGGTGAGTACTTTGGGTACTTGGGTATTTGGTTAACTACGGTACTCTTCTACCGTACCTAACCCACAAACACGGTCTGCAGCAAGGGAAGCCGCGCAACAACGAACGACGAACGGCAAAAGTGGCTCACTCGTTCCATTCAGCCGGTCACCGGATGTTGGTCGCACAAAAGTCTGTCTATGGGTGTTCACGGGATTGTGTGGTGTGTCTAGAGTATGGTTGGTCCTATGATGCGACTAAATACCGGGGATAGAGGATCACGAACCCCCGCCCCGCCCCGCAGATCCGCAGCCCCAGATATTACACGGTGCAGTCACACTTATCACTCGGCCAATTGCCGCCCATCGTTTGCATGCCGCCCTCGGCTGGGATGTACTATCCATGATTAAACAAAACAAAAAGGCTGGAATACAAGTACTACGCTCGTACATTGCCATGATCTATAGTAGTAGACATGTCGCATGCAATTAAAGATCAAGCAAAAACAGAAGGAAGGGCGGAACTACCTGTACAGATAAAGTGGGGCACTCTACATACACACATATGCACATAGATACATCATTCCAAGTAAAAAGTGCACAAGTACACACCCATTACATACATACACTCGTACAGGCCTTTAGCCTCTATTTCGTCCGCCCCCAATCGTAGATCATCCGTGTACCCATGGCCACCGGGGATGTCGGGCAAGCACAGTGGGGGAACCTGGTTCGACCTCAATATCGCGGTAAGATACACCGAAGCAATGGGCACGGCAAAAAATATGCATATATCTCTCTGATTCCCCTGGTCCCGCAGAACGCCCCCCAGGAAAGTCAATCGACAGAACGCAGATTCCACCTTCCCCCCACCATCACAGCAAATATGGGGAAAGCATTCACCATCAGTCTTGCCACGTTCGCGGCCTTGGGGGTGAGTCCGCATCTGATTCCTCTGCCCACCCGCGGTTGCTGACGGATCCCTCCCTCCCCAGTCATTCCTGTTCGGCTACGACTCCGGCGTGATGACGGACGTGATCGCCTCGAAGCACTTCCTCAACTACTTCAACACGGACAAAGCGTCGTCGATCCTCGGCGCCATAGTCAGCACGTTCGCCGGCGGCGCCTGCATCGGCGCACTGAGCGGCGGTCTCACCATCGACCGCCTCGGCCGCCGCAAGAGCATCCAGATCGGCGCGTTCGTCTGCGTCGTCGGCGCGATCCTGCAGGCGGCGGCTACGCACCTCGCCATGATGCTGGTCGGCCGCATCATCACCGGCTGGGCTATCGGGATCATGAGCATGGCTGTGCCCGTGTACCAGGCGGAGCTGGCGTCGCCGAAGATGCGTGGGTTGATCGTCGGGCTGTCGCAGCAGATGATCGGTGTTGGGTTTATCGTCAGTACGTGGATCGGATACGGCAGTGCACATGCCCCCGAGACCAGCTCGTTCCAGTGGAGGTTCCCGCTTGCGTTCCAGGGCGTGCCCGCTTTGTTCCTTGCCGTAGGCTTGTTCTGGTTCCCCGAGAGCCCGAGACAGTTGATCGAGAAGGATGGGAACGACGAGGCGCTCAGGGTCCTCAGGCAGCTGCACGGCAACGGCCACAACGAGGATTGGATCTTGGCCGAGTTCGAGGAGATGCGCCAAACCATCCAGGCTGAGAAGGCAGTGCACGTGCCCGGCTGGTCGATCATGTTCACTGTACCCGAGTTCAGGACGAGGTTGATGCATGGTGTTCTCGTGCAGATATTTACGCAGTTGACGGGAATCAGTATGCTCCCCTCACGATCCTGATTCTCGATGCTGGATGACTGACTCCGAGTGAAAGATGTCATCAACTACTACCAGACAATCATGTACGAAGCCCTCGGTTTCAAGGGAAAGACCGGACTCCTCGTCACCGGACTGTACAACATTGTTGGCCCCGTCACCAGTGCGTGCATACATACCCACCACTCCCCCACTGTCCACCTAACTAACAAACCGCAGATCTCTTCTTCATCACCCTGATCTCTGACCGATACGGGCGTAAGAAGCCCTTACTCTTCGGCACACTGGCGATTACGGCATGCCTATTCATCGAAGCGGCGATCAACTCTCAGAACCCTGGGGGGCTGGACAAGAACCTCTCTCGCGCCGGCGTGGCAATGCTGTTCATGGTGTCGATATTCTTCTCGCTGTCGTTCGGGCCCGTGAGCTGGACGTACATGAGCGAGGTGATGCCGATGCAGATCCGTGGAAAGGGCAATGCCTTCGCCACAGGCATCGGTAACTGGCTCATCAATGTCATCTTCTCCCAGGCTAGTCCGGTCGGATTGGATAAGCTGGAGTGGAAATATTACTTCGTGTTTGCTACGTTTAGTATGCGCTCCCCTCCATACCCCGCCACCCTCTGAGTCTAGGCCGCAAATACTAATGAAATTCGCTAGATCTCGTCGTCACTCTACCTACCATCTGGTTCGTGTTCAAGGAGACCAAGGGCATAAGTCTGGAGGAGATCACCGGCCTGTTTGACCAGGAAGGGCACACACAGCAGAAGAACCGTATGGTGGACGACAAGGAGACGGCCGCGCCCAGCGCGCGGGAGATCTAGGAGATCTAGGACTTCGGTGCAGGTGCAAGTATATAGTATAGTATAGTACATGGAACACTCTCGCGGGTGGAGTGCATATGCGCATTGGGCATTGGGGAGGATGTTTTGTAAATATAGTACAGTACCTGTCTACGACGATACATGAATTTATTTTTTTCGGCTCAGGCATAATGATGAAGGGATTATTGAATTTCCACACGTTCGTTTGGAGAGTACGCGTGCTTTGCAGAATGACTTCATGATTGGACGGTAGGCGGCTTTGAAGAAGATCTTGACGGAGAATTCGTAGTTGCGACCTATGTAGAGTACAATACTAGGTACCACGGTAGTTATACTCTATACTGCACCCTTATTACTGTCACAGAAGCTATGTTCTCCATGAATACTTGTCTATCTACTGGCCTTGTACACGCGCGTGCGGGTAGGTGGTACTGCTTTTTACCATAGGTAATGCAAATACTTCATTATCACTCGCTCTTCCTACTTTGCTTATGCGGTTTGGTATGTCGCCCCAGGGCCAATAGTGCTAAAGAGTGCCCACGCACGCCCATAGATTGAATTGAAGCTAAATGGAGGTGGTCACCGCCAAAGGTGTTGTCTGCCATCACCATGAGAGGAGCATACATGATGTAGGATAGGTAGGGGATCAGATAAGATAAAAGGAGGAGGGGCTAGTCAGAACGAGTGACACCGAACGTTACAAGGAGTGGAGGAGAGCCATACCTATGAGATGGCTCTTCGAAGTTGAATAGAACCTCAACTTCTCGATTATCCTTCATTCCCGCCGTTTCCCTTCCAGGGCTACGTCAGTGGTACATAGCAACACTTTCTCGCAGATTGTGGGGCACCCACCAGATGAACTGACGACTATACATATTGAACTAGAGGTGGCCACCATCAAAGGGCGCATGCTAGAGTCCTAGTACATTCCAGCCCACACGTGAACCTCTACTGCAAATGAGTACCGCATTACATAGAATCAGACGACAGCACTCGTGGTGACGTCATATAGCCTGATCATGTCGCGCACGAGCGCCGCGTTGAAGAGATGGATTTTTCACGATACTACGAGAAAGTTCCTGCATCTTCGGAGACCGTACCACCGTACTCGAGTCTGTCAAACTCGCAGACAATTCTGGAACAGCCGTGGTGGAGTGACTTCTCGAATGCGGTGGACACAGCTGGACAATTGCTCGAAGCTTCTAGAACCCTAACCCACGTTCCACGGGATTCTCGGATTCTCGTGAGCGAGCGTTACACTGTACACTGCGAACGTCATTTACAGGTCGGAAGCGGTCATAAATACCCCACGTCTCTCCTCCTCCTGTCCTGTTCTGTTTCTCATCATCATCAAACAATACGAGCAAAGTTGAACCTCCAAACAACCCAAACAACAAACAAACCCTTTTCACACACACCACCACCACAACAACATCCACATCCACAATGCCTTTCTTCCCACGCTTCCACTACCCCGAGCAGACCGGCTACGCCTCCTCGAGCTTCCCGACCGATATCCTGCGCCTCCTTGAGGGCCTCGACGCGCCGTCCAGCTCCACCGCCACGGGTCCCTCGGGCAGCAGCAGCTCCACCACCGGCCGCCGCGCCTTCAGCCCGAACTTCGACGTGCACGAGACGCAGCACGAGTACATCCTCGAGGGCGAGGTGCCGGGCCTCTCCGACAAGAAGAACGTGTCCATCGAGTTCACCGACGACAAGACGGTCCTGATCCAGGGCAAGATCGAGCGTGCGGTGCGCGGCTGGGTCGACGAGGCCGGCAACGTCAAGGCTATCGAGCAGGGTGAACAGCAGAAGCAGATCGAGCAGGCGGGCGAAGAGCAGAAGGAGAAGCAGAAGGAACAGCAGAAGCAGCCCGATGCTGAGAAGAGGTCGAAGTACTGGGTCTCTGAACGCAGCGTCGGAGAGTTCAGTCGCAGCTTTAGCTTCCCCGGACACGTCGATATCGACAACGTCAAGGCTAGCCTCGAGCATGGTATCTTGAAGGTCGTCGTTCCCAAGCTTGAGAAGAAGTCGGGACGCAAGATTGAGGTTGCTTGAATCGGTGCGGTGTTTTCTTCTGGGGGGATGAAAATGGCGTTTTTGTGATTGATTGATTGGTTGTCTCTGTCTCTGTCTTTCTCTTGTCTTTCTCTTCTTGTAATCTGGGATAGCAGGTACTCTAGGTACCTGTTTATCTCTTTTCCTTCCGTGACGATGATGCATGCGGACCGCTTTGGTGGACTTCGAGTGTTGGTCTGGTTGCGGGTTTGAGCTTTGTGTCTGTCTGTCTGTCTGTCAGCAACACACACTCTCTGTTTTTTTACTACTGATTTTCGTGAGGAGGATGAGGAGGCAGTTGAGCTTGGGCTGTTGGTGCTTTTGTATTGCCGGAGCAATCCGTTTGAATGGTTCTGCAGTCAATTGAAATTTGATCTTTGTCATTCAACACATGGTTGAGAAGCCAATCTTCGTGAGTTTCCGGTCCGTTTTGAGGAGGCCTTCTTCATAGGAGGGTTTCTTCGTAGAATATCCGTGAGGATCTGCTACTCGTCCGTGATCAAATCAATGTCTCTACCCCCTCTGTCAACGCGGTAGGTATTCCATCACTAACACTGGCCATAGCGGGCCGTCGGATGAACTCAAGCCCTGCATGTGTACTCTACTCCGGATCCTCTACCGTAGTACACTCTAGTACAGTCCGATAGGACCCGAGCCCGAACTCCTTTCCCCGCCGAAGCGCCAGCCCATCCACGGGAGAATCGAGTGGAAAGGGTATATTAGTATTCGAATATCCTGTTCAGAAACCGGCAATCGCGATGGGAAAGTAAGTACACATCTTTCGCCCCGACATTGACATCACAGCCGATCAACGCTAACATACCAGTATAGGTGTCCCGGCCATCGTACGAAGCCGTCCTGCCGTCAGATCTCGGTAACGAGCTTCCCCGTGGACATGTACTACCGGTATACGATCAAGACGACAAACTACCTGTCGACAATCGACACCTCCCGACAGACGTTTTCAACGCGCCGGTAGCGTTGTCTTGGCCAGCTAACTAAAGCCCCTTAAGCATGGACAGCCGGTGTCTCGTTCAGCCGTGCCCCTACCGCCGCCCACACCTCGTTCTCGCACTCGCTCCATAAGAACAGGTGCAACCCACACACCGCGCGCGCCAAAAGACATGCATCTATAATCACCGACCGCCAGTCACATACGTCAGCTCCTATGGGCCCCATACGCCGTAACTACACCCCCGCTCGCGCTCAGGATCACAGTCGCATGTGTCTCTGGCTAACGGTACGATGGTTTAATCTAAAAAGCCCATCGCAAAAGTCGCACTGGCTGTAGGACGTGCCGCGGTAGACGCGTAAAGGTCGGTCCGTCGTTGTCGTTATCGCACTCCGGCCTCTTACTCTACGTTTTCGGTTATTAACCACCACCTTCCTGCCTGGCAGTGTGACGAAGTCCATCCGATCTGCACCAATTGCGAACGCCGTGAGCTCGTGTGCGTCTACGATCCCAAACCCGCTGCCCCCCTACCGCTGCCCCGCATAGAGGTTCAGAGTCTCCTGTCCTCATCACCCACTCCTCCGCCTCTACCTCCGCCTCCACCTCCACCTCCCTCCGAATCGACAGACCATGAAGAGAATCCAGCGCGAACTTTCCTCTCGCTCTTCGCCAACACGCTCCCGAGAACCCCTTCAACATACCCAGGGCTGGATCTGACGAGCCTGGAGCTGCTGCACCAATACAGCACTTGCACCTACACATCCTTCACCAGCCAAGCAGATTGGCAGCTGGTATGGCGAGACCGTGTGCCGAAATTGTTCCACTACCCGTTCGTGATGCACGCCACATTGGCCATCTCGGCCCTGCACCTCAGCGTCCTGAACCTTCCACGATCCGAACACTACCTTCTCCTCGCAGCGCGATACTACCACGACGCGTCCGTAGCCCTCCGTAACGTCCTCCCCCACCGCCAGACCCAAGACGGCAATGCGCTGTTCGTCGCCAGCTCCTTCATCGCCATCTACGCGTTCGCGACTCCGCCCGTGAACCCGCCCACCGGCGTCGAACCACGCGCACTAACGTGGCTTCCCATACTACGCGGCATCGAGGCGGTAGTACGCGGCGAGTGGTCGCAGGTATCCGGTGAGCTCGCGCCCTCGCTGCTAGGCGACAGGCCGCCGGTGCCTGCACCCCCAGGCGTCAGCTCGCTCCCTCCGCTTCCACAGCTCAACGGCCTCTGCGCGAATGTCGAAAACCACGAGGAGCGCAGGATCTATCAGGACGCGGCAGCGAAGTTGCACTACACCTGGGAGATGTTCCGTGCCGCGTCGGGAGAGTTTTGGCTGCCCATGGCGTTCCTGTGGCCCGTCACCCTCTGCGATGGGTTCGTGGCCCTGCTGATGGATAGGCGGCCCAGAGCTATGGTGCTGCTTGCGCACTACAACGCCATGTTCTCCATGCTGCAGGGATTCTGGTGGATCGGGAAGAGGGCGAGGGATGAATTGGTGGTTATCGAAGCGGCGATCGGTGAGGCGTGGAGTAATGAGTGGTTGGGCTGGGTTAGGGAGGTGGTCAACGGGAGTAATTGAGATCATATATGACTGGATGGTTTACGCCGGATTGGGGGTTTCTATTCTTATTTTCTTTCCGACTTTTCGTTCTACATGGTTTAGATACCCCGGAGGTCTGCAGGCTGTAGCTTTATCATAATTAATGCCGCCGCTGCTTGAGGTACATAACAATTGTATCATATGTCCAATTCAACAAATCGCTTCTATCCGTGGTAGGTACATCTCCCGCGACCTCTGTATAGCAGCTCGGAACTGCGATGAATACGATATCCCGTGTTTGCAATTGTAGATCCGTTTCCAGTCAGATGATCTCACGGAAACTCACTCGCGACGACCAACATTAACGCTACGCGGATGGGCGAAAAAGCGGAAGTTCGATGTATGTGAGACCCGAGCTCCCGTAATCAGCCCCAGTCAAGCCGATAATTCATGGTCTTCCCGTCGCGAGTTACTGTCGTCACCCGACACTGACAGCGGAGCGTTTCGTTTCCGGTTTTGCTGGCGGTGAAGAAATCCAAAAATCTGTAATTTGCTGTGGGTTTTCTTACCTTTTCTTGGTTCTTGTATACGGAGCCCTTTAATCGCTCTACGAAGCAGTTTGGATGATAAGAAGCTGTCGGGTTGAACTGAAACTGAATCATAGGATATCACACACCATAGCAACCGTCAAAAGTTCAGGTGGTAGTCGACATTCAATACTATCGTTACCATCCAAGGCTTTCCGCCCCATAAATATAACATAAAACTTCAACCCTCTGTCGTCTTCTTCTTCTTCTCTTCCTCTTCTCCCTCACCACACTTCTCCCTCCACAACCCTTCTCCTTCCGCAATCCTTCTTTTTCAACCCCCCATCTTTCCGCACAAAACACAAACCCAAATACCAAAACAAGAACAATGTCGCAGCAGCACATCACCTTCTACGGCTCGGGCGCCTTTGTCGTCCGTGACCCGGCCCCAGCTCCAGCCCCTCCTCCCCCCCCTCCCCCTCCCCCAGCCCCGAAGGTCCCGGGTTCCTTCGCCGTTCCCGCCCAGGGACCGTACGACATGACCCCGCCGGTCGCGACGGCCAACCAGGTTCGCTTCCCGGGAAACGCTGCCCCTAGCGCTGCTTGGGCCTTTGGTGGTGGTGTTCCCGCGCAGCAGGTGCAGGCGCCAGCCATCCAGGTTCCCGGCTGGGCGTTCAGCGGTGGTGTTCCCCAGCAGCAGGTGCAGGCGCCAGCCATCCAGCTCCCCGGATGGGCGTTCACTCCGCCCGCTCCAGTCTGGAACGGAGCCAATGGTAACATCGCCGGTCCCAAGCCCGACTGGAACGTCAACAACGCTGCTACCGGAAACAACGTTGTCTGGCGCTTCAACTAGACAAGAAACAGCCATCCGTAAGTCTCCGAGCATTCTCTTTCTCTCTGCTAAATGTTCTTCTGACCCGCGAAACTATCCGCACAGACGAATCAGCCGACACTAACCCACCACGACGACAAACATAAAACGGGTTGAGAAAGGCTTGTTTTTCTGTGTTTCTCTTCGGCTGGGCTGTATGGTTTTTTTCTACTTCCTTCAAGTGTGTGTTGTCTGGGGCTGTTACCTTTCGCATTTCCTTTTCCATTTCCTACTGTTGGTTTGAGGCAGTGTCATCAAGTCGTTCTCAAGGGCATGGGGGTAGTTTAGGTGTGGGAGACCGTAATTACGCTTTTACCTTGCTTCTACTGTTGTCGCCGCAACTCGCCATGTGAGAAACACTGTCCGGCTGGAACCATTCGCTGCCCACTCTTTCGAAGTTTTGTGGTCGGCGGTCAAGTGATTGTTTCACAGCAAGTGGCGTAACTGACTTCTGGACTGCCTAACCACAATAGCTCCTAAGTAGGGTAGATATGTGGCAGAATAGTCAAAACCACCTTCCACACTCTACATGTGCTCTGGGGGAATCATCAATTTTATTTCGCCTCTATAAGCCTGTTAAGACTACGGCGAATCTCCAACAACACCGACCCAACTCCGTCCGTCTATGAGGCTCTCCCTGTTGCCCTACTGGCCCAATCATTGGTGATTCTACAGACCACCACCGCCATCATATTTCACCAATACCGATTCATTTTCCTCCTCGGTAGTAGACCTATGGTCCTTCCTCCCATTACTCTTCTCTAGCCTTCCGTCCTACATCGGCTGTCTCCAGAAACTCAAGGATTGCCTTAGTGCACCTTTCACCAGCAAAAAAATCCGCAATACGGAACCGATCTCGTCCATGCTTTGTTTGTGGTATTAGCCCCGGATTACACGGGCTCTGGTACGTGAAAGCCACTGGCGCTGGACTAAGGCCGCCGCCGACGCGCTTACGGCGCTAACGTCGTGCAGGAGGATCACCATTCGCGCCACAGGTTGGCTGCAGTGCGCACTCTGACACTGCCGGCCATGGAGCGAACCCTCATGCGGCGCGGCCAAGTACTCTACATAAGCGAGGGCGCGGCGGAAAGGTTGCGCAGGCAGACAGGCAGGTAGGTGGGTAGGCCTCGATCAACCTCCGAGCTCGGAAGTGATCTCGAGGGTACATGAGAGTGGGAGTGGGCGGTCGAAACACTGGTGTGAGATGGCGAGAAATTGCTTGCTCAAGTACATAGGTTCATCGCCGGGGATGGGAATGGGCTGGCGATAGTTGGCTGAGGAAATGGGGGTCCGTGGCTGGTACATTCACTCTTCCGGGGGAACTCTACGGATGGAAGCGGATCTGGACGATATCACGAATGAGGGCCAGCTGTGGGGGCCGGGGGACAGTCGGAGCCTTTCGTGCCGTGATTTGCGAGAGTGCGGTCTCCTTGTGGTGCTGTCATCTGCGAGACGAGTGATATATACATACATGTTCACGGTATCACTCGACTCTCTCCTGGTGGTGTCTGGATCCTTTGCTTACAATCCTCAACGGTGGACAGATCTCCGCCGAGGATTCTCGAGTTGTTCCTCAGTCCTTACACACTCGACGGAGCTCCAACGAACTGTACCATCGGGGCCGTCAGTCCGTTTGCTTTTTAAAACACCGTAACTAACCGCGGCCACGGTATGCCTCAAGTGCCTACTGCTTACACGGTATGTACTCCACATAGACCACGAGGGCCGACCCCCGGATCGAGCAGTCCGAACGAGAGACCCGGAGAACCGTTACCGACCCCGGCATGCACCGGTATGTATGTACCCCACTCATCGCTAGGTATCTCCATGTACTACATACGGCACACACATGTCGTGCTCCACGCGCGTCGAATCCCCAACCTCACTCTTACGTACTCGTACAACGCTCCCCACAGCCGAATAAGCAAACATTGATGTACGGAGCAGAGGTAGCCGACGAGAAATAGCCAAATGGCGGGGAGGGAAGGGAGGGAGGGAGGGAAGAACCGAAGTCATGGATGCGGCATGATGGCTCGAGCGGGTAGGTTTTAACTACAAGGTAACTACCGGGGCCGATGTCTCGCTTCCGACTTGCTTTTTCTTTTTGCACTCGCCATTCGGCTCGGGCTGTGTCCGGTTCGCGTTCGCGCTCGGCTCCGACATCCCAAGTCGGGATTTGCGAGGCCGTGCGCGCCGTTGAACCCGACCGGCCGGCAGACGGACGGCCGGGCGAACCGCATCACGCGAGCTCACGGAAAAAGCCATATCTGTCCATGTGATGAGCATTGAAACCTCCGTGCAGTTTTCGCCAGAAAGAACCGTGACCCGGACTCCGCACGGAGTGGAGAAGATAATACCAACAACCGAACGAGAATCCTCTACCAAAGGTACCGGAAGCGGAATTGGGAATCCTTTGCATCCTCCGATGGTTTGAAAATCCCTCACACCCGCAAACAACGCGATCATACAGAAACAAACACCCAGATATCTACACCATATCCTACAGACCTAGGTACATGCATACTCGGCCTCCGCAGCACAGCTCTGTCAGACCAGGTTTTCCACGTTTCTGCACGGAAAACTGTGGGGAAACTCCATGCCTAACCGCATCGCGGAGACCGGTGGTAACGATTCCATTACAGCTTCGAATGCCATGATTGACGAGACGATAAGACGGGTTGATGGGTGTGGTGCCGCGTTCACCGCCACGCTAGCCGCGTGCTATTACCAATGCCAACCGTCAAGCGCATGGCCAAATGTTGGAACCTAACCTCGATGAGCGCAAAAAAAACCTGGCGAGTGTGGAACAGCCTAGAGTTTGTGACCTGCGATGTGCCTGTGAAATCCATAGGTAAGTATGCATATGTACTTTGGGGATGAAGACTGATGGAAGGAGTGTCGGTACCATACTCACATGAACATTCTGAGCATTCTACCGTACTGTGAGAACCGATTGCCGGCGACAGTCTACCTAGGTACGCGGTCAATGTATCCAACTTGTGTGCCGGCACTCCAGGCGATAACAATGGCCGGCTCCCTGAAGATTCCGCTTCAGCCACAGTAGCCCCCGAAGTGATAGCCATCCACCCCGCCCTGCAAGCCCGTCGCCGCCAATGACTGGGTCAGAGCCCACCGCCCTGTGAGCGGCCACCGGAATATACATGCCGTTCTGGAACGTTGAGAGACACGACTAGTCGGTCGATTGACGGGGTCCGACCAGTGCCGACCTCGAGTCACTACCAACCCGAATCACCCACACCTCCCAACCCCGAGTCACTACCAACCCCGGGCCAGGTAGTTACGCAGCAGAGGGTTGGTGTTGACGTCTGACAGTGTGCCTGGTGCGGACGCCACAAAAGCTTGATCCCAATACTAAGACGATGGCCGCAACTGACCATTCCGTTCGCACCCGGCACTTGGGCAGAGACGTAACGGGAAATCGTACAAGGGAATTGGATACCTGCCGCTCGAAAATCAGCCTCCGCACACCAGCCTTTCGGTCGTACATACTGCTGCATATTGGCCGGCCAGACCCCCCTCCGCCCCCTACCCCCCGCATGTTTACAGCCTGTATATAACTGGCTGGATTCCTGCCCTCATGGCCGCTGCATCTCCATCTTCATCTCAACATAAGCCTTCCTCACTCTCAGACAAAACACCTCAATCAGTCCCAGTCCTATCCAATCCACTCCACTCCAATCCACTCCAATCCACTCCGGTCTCTTACTTCAAACTCCATCAACATGTCCACCACCACCCAAGTCGACGACAGCAAGCAGTGGGACCGTGCCCAGAGTGTCGACAACATCAGCAGCACCCCGACAGGCGTTACCGGTGTCCCCCTCGAGTACTTTGAGAAACTCCATGGCGCCCGTTTCAACCCCGCCAAAACATTCGGTAACCCTGCACCAGTAGCTCTCGCCGGCCTGGTCATGTGCTTGACGCCGCTCTCCTGCCAGCTCATGGGATGGCGAGGCTCGGACAGCAGCGGAGCGGCCAACAACGGTGCCCACATCTTCTGCGGAGGACTGCTCCTCCTCCTCGGCGGTATCCTCGAGTTCTTCCTCGGCCACACCTTCTCGTTCGTCGTCTTCTCCGCGTACGGAGGATTCTTCTTCGCCCTCGGAGCCACCCTGATGCCCTTCTTCAATGCCACTCCCCCCTACGCCGGTGCCGAAGGCGGCCTGACCACCGAATTCTACAACTCGTTCGGCTTCTTCTACCTCTTCATCGGCCTGCTCTCCGTCCTCTTCCTGGTCTGCAGCATCCGCACCAACATCGTCCTCGTCGTCCTCTTCCTCGCCTACTCGATTGCCTTCCCGGTCCTCGCTGCTGCCGACTGGCAGCGCGGCCAGCACAACGAGGCGTCCGCACACACCCTCGAGGTCACCGCCGGTGCCGCTTGCTTCGTCGTCTCCCTCTGCGGCTGGTACGCACTCGCCGCCTCCCTTCTCGACTCGGTCGACATGCCGATCTCGCTGCCAATGGGTGACTTGAGCAAGTTGATCCCTGCTCGTAAGGCGGTCGACGAGGAGTCCCGATAATTTCGTGGTGGATTCTGATTATTATTTTTGCTGGTGTTACTGGTGGGGAGTGCGATGATGATGAATCTTTTTCCTTTGCTTGGGTTGTTTTTCCTTTGGGGTTTAATTGGAGCCACTGTATATAATAAAGGCTACAAAAGTTTGACTTTTTAAAACTTTCTTCTCGTTCGTTTCTCGTGAGAAGGTGTTTGCTCTACCTACGTGATCGTTTCAGTCCACTGGTGATATTTTTGACAACCGAAATCAAAACTCACGATGAAACTTAGAAGTCCAAGAGCGGAGACGATTAACGCTTTCCATCTCATCGTCCGCTGTTGAGATCAAACACTTGACCAGACAGACAGGCGAACGATTGTCCCATTGCTGGCGTTGATGAAAAATTCGCCAGACGAAATTTAACCAGCCAGGCGGTTTGGTTTCTGGCGTTTTCGCCGTGGAGAACAACCCATAGTTGGTCCAATTGAGACCAATCTCGAGATCCTCGACCACGAGATTCAGATTCAACTCAATCTCGAAGGTCTCGGACTGCGGCTCGAAATCCATCCATGGAAACTTCAACTTTTACGCCTTGGAGCGATTCCGCAGGCAAATGGAAACCCCTCAACACATAGGCGTGCCTTGTCGCAGCCCAGCCCAGCCCAGCCCTCCCTCCCTCCCGCTTGCTCAATCGGGTCGGAAGATAAACAACCCGCAAAAATCCGACCGGAGGTGCGGAGTTGTCCAGTTGAGAGTCTCTCGATACGGGATTGCCGCCAAAGATTGCGAACCAAGGCGAGTTGAAACCTCCGGCCGTTTCTCGCCACCGGGAGAGAAGCGGGAGCCGGAATTCCCCAGTTCAGTCCAGCCTCCCCACGACTCCCCACTCGCCACCGCCGTCGCCGCCCGTAGATAATCGTTCAGCCCCCAGGTCTCTCCCCCCGCAAGGCCCAGTCCACAATCCGAAATCGTCCGGTGCCTAAGTTAATCGGCGACCAAACCCGTCCCCCCACGAAAACTATCCATCCACCCATCCATCCCACCCCACCCCATCCCTTCCAGCCCGCCCACACCCTGGTCGAAAGTCCCTGCGATATCGATTGCGCTAGTCAACCACAGCAACTATAGTAGCGTGGACCACATATCGCATCGGTCGGTCCCAGAGTTGAGTTCTGGAGTCGACGTCTTGGCCAGCAAAGGATGGGAGCCGGTTGTCGTTGGGGGGGACGCGGAGTTTACTGCTTGATCCCGCCGCTATGGGGTAGCGGGGTTTGTATAGTACATGTGTGTAACTATGACATATGTACCTGTGTACCTATGGTGTGTATGTACGGCGGGGCGGGGCTGGGCGGGGCTCGGTGTTTTTTTTGTGATGCATTGGTCGCTGTGGCTGGTGGGAGTGGGTGGTGGGTGTTCTGGAAGATTGTTCCGTGCTAAGAGCTCGGGGTCGGTGCGGCTGAGCGGGGCGGGGGAAACGGTACTCGTAAACGGAAGAAAAAATTCTATAACCAGACAGCTGGAGCTGGCAGGACGTCCCTATATAATTATTGTATCCTCGTCCGCCGTCACGGAAGCGCCGCGTTGTGTCGAGCGCCTCACGCCTCAATTCGCCGTCCACATCTCTATCTACTATATCCTATCTATGCATTCGGCGACTGACCCCCCTCCCCCCCGCGCGTGCTCCCACAGGGCGACAGGTCGGCCGGCGCCCACTCTGAGTGGGTGGGTGCAGGTGCCGCGGACCGAGCCGCCACTACGGTAGGTAGCTAATCACTGTCCCCGAGATATGTACGCCGGCGCGCCGAAGGTGAGTTGCTCGTACGTAACGGAAACTGCGGTCCCGGGGTGGTGGGGTGTGGCGGATGCGCACCAGCCACGGCTAGGTAAGTGCACGGCATCTGTGGCACAGCCCGCGCCGGTGACACGTTGTTTTCAGGTAAACCACAGCAACGATGGAAATCCGTGGTCAGCCCGTCGGCCCGCCGAAAGAAAAGTGATGGAGGTGGGTATTGAAAATAATCCGCGGTAAATCATGTCATCGCCCATCCCCCGCCCCCGCCCCCCAGCCATAATTGGGTATGTATGTTTTGGCTTTCTGTAATGCGATATCCAGAATCCACAATACTGGTGAAGATGGGGGGCGGCCCCAAAATCACTACAGTGGTTGATCGTGTGATCAACTTTACAAATCTGCAACTTGGATCTTCGGGGAGAAGTGTGGGGAGGAGTCGAGTTTTTTCCGTGATGCCGGGGGGTCTCCCTCTCTTTCTCGTTTTTTTCCGCCGGAAATTTCCGGGACGCCGGCCACGCTGTTTTTCGCTGTGTGACGGAATACGGTACTAGTTATAGAGTATCCCCTTCGTTCATCGACGGCTCGCCGGACGGTAATTTCTCAGGATATTTCCGTGAAATTACGACTGTGGCCGAGAATTTTGAGGTCTCGGGGCGGGTGGGCGGGTACTACGAGGGTGGACGAAGCAGAAGCAGAAGCAAGGGATCATTCTCATACATAGTCTTCTACTATTCTACAGCGCCGGCATTGCACTTCCCACTTCAGTCTGAGCAATCTGAGCAATCTGAAGCCGCTGCTGTCCACGAACAAACGAAAAATGCGAAGGCTGTCACACACGCGACCAGAAGTGATGTGACATGTTGGGATATTTAGGATGGAATTGATGGCGCGGTAACCGTCCCCAACTTCCCACTTCCCCATTATTGCATTGCATTGAGAGATCAATTCATAGCATATCACCCCACGTGAGTGCTATACTATACTACACTATAGATACAACTAGCGAGCACTCAGCCCCGCCGACCACTGGTTATCTGGTACCGTATCTGAAATTCGAACACGTAAACCGGGCGGGCCTCTGACAGATTATCCAAGTACACTTGTGTGAAGGGTTAGGCTCAAACGGCAACTGGTTAAAAACCGACAGACTTGACGCACCAGCACCAACACCAGCACCAATACCAGCACCAGCACCGTGACCCACAAGCCATGGTAACTCCCCTAGGTATATGTATGTACCACAGCCCGCTCAATAACACCATGGCCCGCGGCTAGTAACTTCTGGACGAAACCCACGTAGAGTATCTAACGTACCTACGGAACTCCTATATACATGTCCAGATGTCATTCCGGTTCCTCAGCAGAGCCGATTTCACACCACCTTATAGTCCAGCAACTCGAATCTCTTGCTGCCAGACAAATTTCACGGACGAGATGAGCGAAGCCAGAGTAGTGGTAGTTAACAACGATGCCAAAATTCAAACGCCACAACCACAGCCACAGCAGCCACACTCCACAGTGCCACAGTGCCACACTCCACACTCCACACACTGGGTAGTAGGTACCTCGGTTGGCAAGTTGCAGCGAGTTGCAACAACCACCACCAGCCACCTGAGGATTTGGCTAAGGATTTGGTGTGGGGGGGGCTTGTGATTTAGCGTCAGTATGTATGCATATCAAGTACCTATGTATGCATATCATAGTAGTATCATATAGACATGCGAGCAGGACGCCACCATGTAACTAACATTGTGCAATGGGCATCGCACCCCACAGTCGAGTATGTAGGCACCTACTCTAGTCACGCGGCTGGAATTGAAATCGAAAACACGTGGAAGCCGACGCACACGGGCAACGGGGAAAAGCAGCCCTGCCGAAGCCGTGTCGGTCTGGCCGGGTGTCCGTCTGTTCGGTGTTCGGTCCGCTGTTCGGGATCATGTCTAATCAATCGGACGAAACGCTTTCTGCTTGCAGTCCAGGTATCACCGGGTTAACAGTGAACTCCCGTGGATGGGCTGGGCGGAGAGCAATATGGAACCCACATCGAGCTCACGGCCAGCAGTTGGAGACAGTGAGTGCAAACAGCTATAATCTGATAAGGTCGAATGCTATGAGACAAAAACAAAAACAAAAAATCAGTGGCTCCCGTGTGCTCCTGATCGTTGGAAATGCGCCACCTTCCGCTTGTCTGCCTGCGAGTAGCTCAGCGTGAACGGCCCTCAAACCCTCACCCCCCCCCCCACACACCACCACCACCACCGCTGCCGTCGACTTGAACTCATTGCAGAGTGACGTCCACTGCTCCCACTTCCGCCATTTGCAGGTTATGAGCTTTTACACAGGTAATAATTCAGCTACGGTCATAGAACCATGAACACACGGCTTCCCGTCCGCTCAGCCCTAGTTAAGCATGGTATCGCCAGGTTAGTACTGCAGTGGGTGACCATGCGGGAATCCCTGGTACCGTAGTTTTTTTCCCTCCCTTAATTTTTTTTGTTTTATCATACTCTTATTACACCTTCTTTTTTCCCCGGGTTGGGGTTCTGTTCCCAGTGTTTATGGTGTTAGGCACCTCACATGTGTGGTCAGTGATGTAATATCTCACTCGTTGCTTAGTCGCTTACGTGGTCATGATGGCGGGAGTACTGGCTGCCTACCACGGCTCTTTTATGTCTTCTCTCGAGACTTTCATACTCTAAATAATACAACACTTATTCATACATTCCAACAAGTGACGCAGAACCTCCACCCTCTAAGTCCAATTTCTTGCTAAGTCGTTCCGCTTGCAAAGTCGCGGGCTCCGGTGGAGCTTAGAGGGAAGGGGACAATATATAGGAACAGATCAAGCACGGTTCTCGGCCACACACACTACGTTTGCCGGTACGGTATCTAGGTATTTTCGGGGCAGAACTGTGCTTGGCTGCGGCCTGCGGGGTTGAGTGAAGGAACTCCTCCAGGCTTTGCGGATTTTGTGGTTGGATCATTGGTTCTACCTATTCACTTCTTCTTCGAAAAAGAGAGAGAGAGAAATTCAATTTATGTCGCATACGCCGTCGGCCTTGTATGTACAGACTATGGCGATCAACTTCACGCCGGCGTTGTTGACTACCCTATCATCAGCACGTCCCCATCCAGACGAAAAAGCAGACTCGGAGGCAACCGACTTATCACCGTCGGATCACCGTGCTTATCCTTCACGGCATTCGCAGTACTGACCACATCCGCGTCGTCCCTAACATTACATCGGAAATAGTGGATCCTCGGGTTCTGCTCCGCCTCGGCACGCAGCGGGTTCAGGTCGAGAACTACCACCTCCACCCCGCGCGCGGCAAACATTCCTGCCGCTGCGGCACCGACTCCACTGCTCCCGCCGGTCAATAGTACCAGTGGCGCTCGTCCACCGTCGAGCCGCCCGAGACGCCAGTTGTTGCGCGCACAGCGGTTCAGGAAGCCGTTGAGGTGGTAGACGATCCCGGCTGCTAGCACGAGCACGCTGGACGTCGGGTACGAGTGACGCAGGAACCAGGCGGCTGGTGCAGTGAGAAGCGGGTTCAGGAATACCGCTGCAACGAGAGAGCACACGGTATCGACGAAGATGCCTTCACGGGGGATAAGAGGTGCCATTGTCAACGATGGGGGTATGGTTCGGAGGAGTAAGTGGTAATGGGAATGGGAAATGGAGCAGTGTTATATTTAACAACCGGGCTAAGCTGATGTAATGCAAGACGTGGGATAAATATTAAACCGTCATGAGCGTGATCTGCACTGCTATAGCCTGATCAAGACAGGTACCTCACTGCCCAGTGCCCAGACATAATCTCGAGTGATGGTTCGTGAGACACATTAAAATAGATGTTGCAGTTGCGAGTTGCGAGTGCGACGTCAAGTCGAAACAAGCACATTCAATAACCTGGTTGCGAACAAATCCTTACGCCACAACGCCATCCAAGGATCCCCTCCAAGGATCCCCTCCAACGCTCTCAAGCAAAGAAAATCCCAACCAACCCCAACCCCAACCATCTAATCCCACCTCGCCCCGCCTCTCCCTCTCCCACTTCAACTCCTTCTCGAGCGCATCGCGGCCCTGCTTATACTGGCGCATGACATCTCCAGCGCTGGGCCCGCCCGTACGTATACCCTCCAACCCCCGCCTCAGCGCCGCCTCCCGCCGAAGGCTCTTTTCTAACTCTTCGTACAGTGCCCGCTGCAGCTTCTTCTCGTCTTGCAGCTGGGCGTGGAGGATGGCCTCTGTGGGGGTGGACATTGTTTATTGGCCACCTACCTAATATGCTGTTGTTTTGTTGTGTTGTGGTGTCTGGCGGTGTGTGGTTGTGTTGTGGTGTCTGGCGGTGTGTGGTTGTGTTGTGGTGTCTGGCAGTGTGTGGTTGTGTGCGTGCGAATGTGCGTCTTGTAGCGAAGCCGGAAGAGAAAGTCAGCGCGAGGTTAAGGAGGTAGGGAAATAGTCTGGAAATAGCAGAACGGATCCGCGTATTCAAGTTATACATATCATACAAAGTACCCGCACGCACACACTACCGACGTGCGTCCATATCCCCACAAACACAAAAGCTACCATAGATATAATAGCCTTGACCAGAAGATCCAAAGCATAGACTGACGACGGATCCGCCGACGACGAGGAGGAATAATAAGTGCATCCGAGTCCCGACGACTCGGAACCCGGAACTAAGCCGGCAGCGGCGAGACACACCCACTTCAGCGATCTCCTCGACCCGTCGTCGCGGTACACTCCCGCCCACGTTCGAGGATGCCGTTCAATCGAGAGAGAAGATAAACAGCGCATCGATTTCTACTACCTAGTAGTCACCTAGTACATCTAGAGAAGCGACACCACCTACCGAGTGAGCACTGGTGCTGCCAGCTCCGAATCCCCGGCATGGGTTGGAAATACGGTATAGTGAAGTATCGTATGGTATTTTCAAGCGCTTGGAAATAAGAGAAAGATAGAGTCGTATGCGGCTTTCCTGGACCGTGGCGGCGCCTGGGACATGATGCGGCGCACTCGAGTTCACCGCGGTCTGAAAACAGAGACGAGTGATGAGCAGTGCAACACGGTTTACTAGGTACCGCTGGGGATAGTTGCTCTACTATTGTTATCTAGTGTACTCTACTAGGTATAGACATCTCAATACCACCAGCTGCGAAACATTCCGTCCAAATACCGTACCCCCTCGTCCACGTCGTTCCCGTCGTCCCATCCTCCGGATGTGTACTCTACGTGCGAGCTTCGATACCGTAGTTTACATGTGCCACTTCCAGTCAGCTCGCACCGCCTGCTGCGATGCGTGAGCCAGCACTTGATCCGAGCAGCGAAGACCCAGGCAGTTCCGACGATGTGATCGGACTCCGGAGACGGAGACGTATCGTGATGGATCATGGAAATGGAAATTGGAAATGACAGCGAAGATGGTGGATCATAGGTGCCGGGTATGCGCATGTAGGCAGGTGGGTGGGTATGCTGTTGTTTCCCATCCAGCCAGCTCACGGCCAGGCAGATGAGATGGGCGGAAAAATAAGTGAGGGACCAGCACACCTTTGTATGCATACACAAATGCACACCTAAGGAAGTAGGTAGGTAAACCTTGAACGTGTTGGAACTTGGCCAGGCGTGGTCAAATACCTGGGTACTTGTAGGTACCGGTATCGCAACTTTGGCCACCGCCGTGGTTGTATGTACCCAAGAACCCGACACCATAGGTACTTGTCACATCCGAACTCAAACGTGGTCGGGATCTCTCCGGCGGCCTGATGTGTCGTTGCACTACCAGAGTAGTCTAGTAAAGGCGAGTTTGCGGACGCTCGGGTTGTCGCCGGCATAGGTACCAGGTACGCACTCTGCATGACCGGCGTGGTGGTGGTCCGCTTACTCCACATACCGGTGCTTTGGTACCTAGGTGTGAATATTTCAAATCCCTCACTCGAAGGGCTTATTGCACACACAACGTCGAATTCTGCAGAGATGTTTAACTAAACTAAACAAAAACGCAAGGCAAAACAGCAAAAAAGCAAAAAAGCAAAGAAAGAAGAAAAAAGAAGAAGAAGAAAACGAAGCGTGGGAAGGATCAACGACAGCCAGGTAATTTACTAGCAGACGTGCGCTGCGAGTCTGCGAGTCTGCGACAGCTCATTGGCATTACAGGCGATCGCCCATACAGATGCTTTGTGGCCACCCCTCACTGCTACGACAGTCTCACTCACACGCTGACACTCGTCGTCATGCGGTAAATCGTCGACTGCCGCACACTGCACACTACTTACAGTGCGTGCAGCGTATGCCAGCGCAGCTCAGAACGCACTCCCGTCACTCTGCTCGTTACTCGTCATTCGTTACTGAGCGCTGTCTCTGGCTCGTTACCGGAGCGCCGTCTCTGGCTCGTTACCGGAGCGCTGTCTCTGGCTCGTTACCGGAGCGCTGTCTCTGGCTCGTTACCGGAGCGCTGTATCAGACTCCGCGAGAGAGGGGGCGAGAGAGAGAAAGAGACAGCCAGTCCAGCCAGTCCAGCCAGTCCAGCCAGTCCAGCCAGTCCAGCCAGTCCAGCCAGTCCAGCCACTCTTCCGCCACGAGCTCTCGATGCTGCTTCTGATGCTGATGCACCTGCCATCACGAACCTGCATGCATGTGATCGTTTCGTTGCGGCGCAACTAGCTCCCGCTGCATGACGTCAAACTCAAAGAAGTCAGAGCCCCCTCGCGGCGAACTCGGAGGTATTTGGCCATCGGTAAGTTACAACCCCCTCCCCGCCAAAACATCATCCAAACTGCACACAGGACGGCGGGAATCCACGGACTCGGATGGGATCGTCTCGCGTCGCCGCTGCGTGGACTGAGGGGAAGCTGACTCAGTCATGCCGCTCATCGGGTCGGCGGGAAGTGCGACTGCGAGTGCTCTCTCGACGTCGAATCGGGTCGCTTGGATAGGGGAGAGGCAGAGAGAAAGAGCTTGAAAGCTCGAGGACGCACGCGAGTACTTATTCTGGTGAGGAGCGTGTAGATCCGTGGCCGTGGCTGCAGGAATCGAGTTACGACAATCCGTGGCTGCAGGAAACGAGTTACGACAATCCGTGTTGGCCTTCAATATAAAGATGCAGATTGGGCGCGGGCAGATAACCAGCACGAGCAGGCATCTTCTCCACCCATACCAGACCGAGATACATGCTCTGCCACTCGACTTCCTGCCAAGCCCCTCGAGAAAGACACCGGAAGAAAGTCTTCCAGAGGACTCTTCCACCGTCGAGAAGCACCTCACCCCGCCCACCACGCGGCGAACCCGCCTGTCTATGCCCTCTCGGTGATCTACTATACGACATGGCATGCCTCCACTCTAATCCGGCGAATTGCGCGTGAGTTGTCCGGGCTGGTTGACGATGGCGCCACTAGGGTCGCGTCAAAGTAGTTGCTCAATGTGCCCAGCGAAGTGCACTGACACTGCTCTATCATGGAGATCCCCCTCTCTTTTCCCCACCTACTTATCATACCCATTCTGCTCTCCATGTCCCTCCGCTGCGGGTGAGGAATTCTCCTCTGTCGGCGTCCTACCCAATCTACCGTCCGTGCGCAATCACAACCTGGCCACCGCTATGTGCTCTGTATGCGTGTGTGAGGTATGTATGCACTCTACTCTACCCTACTCTACTCTACTCTACGGCCGGCCGGCCAACCCGCCTGCTGTGTGCTCTGCGCTGCGCTGCACGGCTCTCGCCACCCCCATGGCACTACAGCCTGAAGACGTCGACACACTCTCCGAGATGCAGCAGCATCACCACTACCACCACCACTACTTGACGCGCACGGATCTCAAGCCCCTCCCAACGCCCCCCGCCCCTCTTTCCCCGCGTTTTTGCATGATTCCGGGCACACAGCGCACCTCGCACCCACCACCGCAGAGTCCACGACCATCACTAGGACGGTGGACCAGAACCACCTAGAGTGATTTGCATCCATCCATACTGCCACTACTCTACGGACGCTGCCAGATACTCACTCACCCGGCCCAGCCCAGCCCAGCCCAGCCCAGCCCAGCCCAGCTCGTCCCATTCATGTTGTCGTAGAGCGCTATCGATCCGCCTCTGCTGTCCGCCCTATTGCTTTTCCTTCTCCTCCGCCTAACACAGCTCCCCCACTCAACCTATTACCATACACACTCCACCGCTACGTCCCGAGATCCACCCGATACAACCTTACCTTAACCCAGGCAGGCCCTTGCTTCTTTCATCATACCCACCGACATCTGCCTCCCTCCCTCCCACCCACCGTCCAACCACGCACGGCACCCCCGGACCCGCGGAAGGAAACGAGTCCTGGTATATCCCCTGTGCCTATCGGATAGAGAGGAGCCATACCTATTTGCCTGCCGCCCCCTCCTCCTCCCCCTCCCCTCAGATACCGACGTAAAAAAGCAAAGCCGCCACCTATAAGCCCCCCACCCCGCATACCGTCGTCGCTGCGCCCGAACCCTGACCTCCGATCCAGGGTCCTCGACCCCCAAACCGCCCAAACCAAGCAGCAAAAGCAAAGACCCGTGCGCCTCTACCCGCCATGTCCATCTCCCTGCCGCCACGACCAACGGCCACCACCTCCCCCCCGACGGCAGCGGAACACTATGCCGCGCTCTCGGCCCTGCACACACACTACCGGGCCCTCGTCGCCGCCGAGCGCGACACCATGGTGCGCGAGCGCCAGCTGTGGGAGGACGAGCGGAAGCTCTACGTGCGGCGGATAGAAGAGCTGGAAGCCTCGACGACGACTGCCGGCCCGCCGCCACCCGCTCCCACCCAGCCCGTCGAGTGGTCGCCACCTGCCCACCAGCCCCCAACGCGGGACTGGGCTCCACCACCGTACATCGCCGCCGCCGCCGCGGCTACGATCGCCGGGTCACAACAGCAGCAACAGCAGCAGGAGAACTCACGCCCCGTGCCGCCCGCACCGCAACCGCCGCCGCCGCCTTCACAACCCGCCGCCACGACCAACAACAGCAACGCCAACAACAACGCCACCTCAAAACCGGTCCTAGCCCTCGACGAAGACGACGAGGACGACGAGATCTCGCCGGAGGAGATGGCGCAGCTGCTGCGCGAGGCGACACGGATCGTGTATCCCATCAGCCATGCGCGGCCGCGGGGCCGGAGTCTGGCGGAGCCGGCACACGGCGGCGCGGCTAGGGGTCGCCAGCCAAAACCGCATCATGAGAGTGAGCCCGAGGAGGGCAGCGGCGAGGAGGAGGTCGAGCTTAAGCTCAAGAAGACGAGTAATTTTGGGATGGACTTTGGGAAGTGGCGGTATTGATGGGGTTGTATGGTTATGGGGGACTGTGGGATTATTGCAAGCGAGCACGCTTCTTCTTTTTTTTCTCTTCTGATTTGAGTTTCATTTGGAAAGCTGGAAGTTGGAAAGTTGGAAAGGTCGACGAATTCCGCTCTTGTTTGATTTCGTTGCGTTTTGTGTTATGATGCATGCGTGCGTGCATGCGTGCGTGCGTGTCTGTGAGTTACCGAGTTACCGTTATTGAATATACCTGGCGCGATGATACCTTGAGACAAGACGAGACTCGAGGCGAGACTCGATGTGTGGCGTGTGGTGTGCGAAGTGTGGCGTGGTGTGTGGCTTGTGGTGTGTGGTGTGTGGATTGTGGCGTGCGATGTGCAAAGTGCGAAGTGCTCGCGGGCCGGTGGAGTGCTTGCTGCTGCAGCGGCGGCGGCGGGGAGATGGATACATGGTAAGTGCCGCCGACTATCCGCCTGTCTGCTGACTTTCTCGGAGGCCTCGGAAGTGGTGGGGGGTTCACCGAGGAACCGACACGACTCAGGTACTCTACTTTCCGCTGCAAATACGACGATATCTATGCAAGAGCGGGTGCAAGAGCGGATGCGAAAGCGATGACTATACCGGTAGCACTCCAGATTCGAAACTTCAATCACCAGCCGAAGAGAATCGCTCCACTCGGTAACGGTAACAACCCGCACACGGCGAACGAGTGAGGGATACGAGTGAGGAATAGGTAAGGAAGAGTCACACCGGAGCAGCCACCTACGGGAGGCAGGGGCGGATAGGATAGAATGGGACATGATCGAGTGTATGTACATAACCAAATACTTTGAAAACTCTCACCAAATCTCACGGTCGAATGGAAGAGAAAAGAATGAGAATGAAAGCGCAGGATTGGATGTGATTCCGGAGTTGGCTTTCGTATGTGTATAAGATGTACCTACTCGTGACCCGAATCCAAAGCTCCGGCGGTCAGTCCCGAGAGTCCTGAGTGACAAGCTATACGTGAGTAGCCCGCGCCCTGCTGTAGGTACTCTACTCTACATGTCGTCTACATGTCGTCCACATGTCGTCTACAAGTCTACCGGTACGATGTAGTCCACCAGTACAATACAATCGCAGTAGACCTAAAGCCCGTACACAAACGGGTACATACCGGTACCATACTGGTAGAGCTGGATGGAGTTGGCTGGCGGAAGTACCTAGAGTAACTAGAGTAGAGCTGCTCTGCTCTGCTTGTGATATCGTGATATCAAGTTACCTATGCGCCTCCATCGGTCCGCCGAACTGGGTACATATGTACTATTATAAGGAACTCCCGCTCCCGGTCCCGCTCCCGCACTCGTCCGGTTCGTGATGATGTGTGTATCATAGTTGATCGAAAGGTGCGGGATAGAGCGGCGGGATAGAGCGGCGGGAAAGAGCGGCGAGTCTTCGGTACCGGTGTGCGATGTAGGATGTAGGATACCCACCGGTACCTACTCTAGGCAATGCGGGGCACCTTGGTACCTACCGGCACAATATTCTGGCAGAGTTGGCTGGTAGTGACGAGTTCGGGGGAGATCTTTAAGGTTATATAGACCCCCTCCCTCCTGCAAGGCCCACCACTCGCTCAGCTGTCCCCGACCATGTGCGCGGAGTGCCGAAGTCTGGGCATGATGAATAACTAATCGCGATTCACGATGTACGGTACGATAGACGATATGATACATACGGCAGCCTGCGGGTAGATTGTGGCTACAAAAGTTTCGCCTACTCTACTCCACTCTACTCAGCTCTACATACTCAGTAATATACTCAGCTCTCCTCGCTCTCTTCAGTACTCCACATAACTACTCTGCTCAGTTAAACAGTTCAGGCGCGCCGTGGCAGGCAGCGGCAGGCAGCGTTTAGTTATATAGCAGTGGTGGTGGTGGTGGTGGTGGTGGTGGTGGTGGTGGTGGTGGTGGTGGTGGTGGTGGTGGTGGTGGTGGTGGTGGCGCAACTGACCGCCCGCGCTGACAACCCGTTACCTGCCAGCCCTGCCAACCTAACAACATGACATCACTCGGAACTCCGATGCACGGCCACGGATTCATCAGCAATTACCTCTGCCACTCCGCGCCGCCCCACGCCTTTCAGGCTTCCCCCCCCCCACAAAGTCCCCGGGCGGGCGCAAAGCCCCCAGGCACACAATGACCCCGGCCGCAAAAAGTCCCCGGAGTAATATCAATTAAGGAATACAAGGAACGCAGGGAATGTAAGGAGGACGTACAGCAACACCGTTACTCCGGCGTCAACGCCGTCGGCGGGAGTGCTCCAACGGGGTGTCTCCGCACCGCCGCGCACGATCGGGGTGCAGAGTTGTTCCGAGCGGGCCAATTAACCAGCTAGTCACGTACCAATAATGCCATCCATACTACCATCCAGCATAGGTGTTAGGAGTTAGGTAGCCTGAAGGTAGAAGATGATGGAAGCCTAACGATGTGGGGATGGGTGGGTGGATGCAACTTTTGACGACGGAACCGCGGGTTCGTGTGGCCAAAAAGTCGTGATAAATAGCAAAGTTTTCCTTCCTCTTCTTTTTTTTTTCATCATCAGCAGCTCATCCACTCCACCGCATCCACTCCACACACACATACCAATTCCCAATCCCAACACCACCAACACCACCACACACAACCACAACCACACAACCCCCCACAACAAAAATGACCACCATCACCGTCCCCAACGACTACGGGTAACTCCCCTCCTCCCTCGCCCCTCCCCCTCTTACCGCCGCTAACCCCGTCCGCAGCTACGTCCTCGGCGTCCTCATCCTGACTGGCATCGTGAACCAATACCAAGGCTTCCTCGTCGGCAGCGAGCGCAGGCGAGCAAACGTTGCGTACCCGGCAGCATACGCCTCCAACAAGGAGGCGGAGACGGACATTGCGAAGTACCGCTTCAACTGCGCGCAGCGCGCCCACCAGAACTACCTCGAGAACCTGCCGACCATGATCGTCACCGCGGCGATCGGCGGGCTGACGTACCCCGTTGCGAGCGCGGCGCTGGGCGCCCTCTGGTTGGCGGGCAGAGTCGTCTATGCTAAGGGATACATTGCTAGCACTATCGAGCAGAAGGGCAGTGGGAGGTATAAGGGCGTCTGGTACATCCTGGGTCAGCTGGGACTCCTGGGAACCGCTGGGTACACGGTTTATTCCATGGTTATGGCTTAGGTGCGGGTTTGCTGTCTGGCTTTGTTGTGCTTGCTTGCTTGCTTGCTTGATGGTCCGTCGCGCGGGGTTGGAGGTTGGGGTGTAGGTTATGTACTACCTAGATGAGAGGGCGGCCGAGGGATGAAAGAATAGTTTCTCTCCAAAATTTTGAACTGTGTGCGCGCGTGATGGGGTGCGGTTTATATATATATGTGTGTGAACGCATTGTGGATGGGGATTGTGGATTATGCAACCGACGTGGGGTTGTTGCGCCATCGATCTGCCGCCACCACCACCACCACCACCACCACCCCCACCACCACCCCCACCACCACCACTCCATAGTAAATACAAACCTCGTTCATAAGGCTGTAGAGTACGTACTTCCGGTAGGTACTTACTCAGGTACTTGCGTACTTGGGCACTTATGTATCTGGGCATCTACTCTCGTTACTCTGGAGTAGGTACTGTGTAAGTACCGGTCGGTACCTCGCAGTGCCCCGCATTGCCTAGACTCTAGAGTAGGTACCGGTAGGTATCCTACATCCTACATATCTACAAACATCGCACACCGGTGGAGTACCGGTACCGGTACCGGTGGAGGTAGGTATGCTGCCGGTATGCTAATCGGAATAAAGGCGCTCCACAAGACTCGCCGCCCTTTCGTGCCGGAGGCCCGGAGGCCCGGAGCGGGAGTTATGTACATAATAGGTAGTAGTTCGGCGAGACTAATGGCGGTCGATATCACGAGCAGGTGTACAGTGTACTCAACTCTAGGTATCAGATGTATGTACATGGAGGTACCCACCTGGAGTACTCAGTAGCCATCGTCTGAATCTCCCGTGGAACTTGGGAGACTGTGGCCAACTGAGTACCTACGGATCGTGGGGCATTCTCTGCATGGTGGTGAGCTGCGGGAAGGGGAAAGTAACTGCGGGAACTTCGAAGACGAAGGAGAAAACGGAAATGGAAAAAAGGAGACAGGAGATCCAGTTGCACAGTGACAGAGCACATATCGGACCGGAAAGTTGAAGGTTCGGTTTGGATCGTTGTTTATCCGCGAGGTAAGGTGCGAAGGAAGGGATTGTGATTTGGGGCGAGGAGTGCGGTTCAAAGTTCAATCGAATACCTACCATGATGCCGTGATGGAGATACGGTATACATGAATCTGCCCGAGTACCTACACCTACACCGCCCCTCCACTCTAGCCGCAGCACATCTCTACTCTCAGACCTCGACCGTTCATGAGGAGAATGGATCGACGCCGGGATCACCGCTGGTCAATGGTTGATCGTCAGCATCATCTAATCTAATCTTTGATCATCAGATCAGATCCCTCCTCTACGTCTTGGAACCTTGGAGGCGACCGGTTTCTTTCTTGCGCAGCAGCGGCGATTTCCACTGCCAGTCCCCCCACTCAGACTCAGCACTCTGCACTCCTCAACAGTCTGGGACACGCTCCGAGACTTTGCGGAGCGCTCGGACTTTACTATACTGGTAACTCACTAGAGTGTATGCGACGTGCGTAGTACGTGTATGTATGGTACGGTACGGTACATCTCGTAAAGATCGACGAAGATGATGAGGAAGAAGAAGAAGAAGAAGAAGAAGAAGAAGAAGAAGAAGAAGAGGAGGAATAAGACAAGCAGATGAAGCTGCAATGAGGAAGAGCACGAGCAGGACGAGGAGAAGGAAGCTTCCGCTACCATCCACGATGCGGGGCGGTTGCGACTCGCGATTTGCGGAGAAGTGGCCTGGCATTGCTCTCTACCTGAGACTGACATTCCCGGTCCTCACTGCCCAAGCTCGGAGGAGGAGAAGGATCAGGACGGGGACGAGTGGTGAATCGTGAATGGTGTGGTGATGGCAACGGCTGATATTATTTTTGACAACTCATCCATCCATCCACCCTGGCGCCATGCACAGAAGGTTTCAGCGGCTCCGGAATGCAGCTTGCGCGGTGGCCACGGTCGTCCTCATTGCTCGAGGCTCATGGCTCTGGTGGCCCCTCATATGTGCGGCCATTTACCACGCGTGCTGCTCCAATGAACACGGCGGGCGAAGGCGCCTCTCTCGACTCGAATCTGCTTCACTCCACCGTGCTGGCGATGCCACTGGCCATGTGTCTGCTCTGGGCAGTTACTCTGCTCCATGGGATGGCAGGCACCTCATCATCATCCTCATCGCCACCTGGCCAGCTCCCCCTCCCCGGCAAAGAAAATTCACCGTGCATACTCTACGGACGCACGACTGCTACGTATGCACTTGCTTGCCTGCTTGCTTGCCTGCTTGCTTGCCTGCTTGCTTGCTTGCTTGCTTGCTTCTTGCCTGCTTGCTTCTTGCCCTATCACTCCGTTCCCCGAATTGTCCACTCATCTTTGATCGATCAATCAATCCTCTCTCCACCTCTCTCACTACTCTAGCCATCGAGTCTCGTGCGGGGGGCGTGACCACCGACCCGAACCGAACAAACGAGATCGCGATCCCCATCTCTCGTCCGCCTTCCAGCCACCACCTGGCACCTACCACCTACCACCTTCTCACTTACCCACTCACCCATTACCCGACCCAACCCAACCCCTCCCACGCTTACGACTTTATGACGATGCATCTCTAGCGATAACTTTCGATATCGACTTCTATACCAAGTATTTTCACAGACACCGTGGTCTTGACGGCCGAACCGAACCGAACGACCTGACTACCGAGAAAGGAAAGAAAAAACAAAAAGCGAGCCGTTCGTTACCAGCCGATCCGAACCCGGTAAGTCACGGTGATCGATATTGAGCCTCCTCTCTTCCTCTCTCTCTCCCCGCGAGGCTGGGCTGGGATGAAAGCCGGCGACGAATCATCGCATAGCGGCCGTTACCAACTCGAATCGGTGCACTCACCACCACTACCACCGCCACACGGCGACCTGAGCGGAGGCTGCGAAGAAGATCACGGCTGTCATCGAGGGGCTAAACTCCTGTGAGGTACGCTTGGGGGAGGAGGAGGAGGGAGGGGAAACGGGACGCTCGGGTCGGGACCGAGGCAGAGGTGGAGGAGGAGGAGCATTGCGGGAAAGAGAGTGCGGAAAGCAGCAGCAGCCCAACAGCGGAGGTGGACACATCATCGTCGATAGTACCGAAAGCAAAAAAAGCAGACAGAACATCACCGTCGAGAGTCCCGCCACCCCTCTCGCTACATACTCCAACGGCTACGGTCTGTATGAGAGCCCTCTCCTTCTGCCTTCTGCTCTCTGCCCTGCTTTGTGTCCTGCTCTCCGTGCGCCTCCTCCTTCTGCTCTCTGCCCTGCTTTGTGCCCTGCTCTCCGTGCGCCTCCTCCTCCTTTTCTCCTCTTCTCCTCCGCCTCGGGCCTCGATCCCTCACGGCCTTTGACGCTACAGTCGCCTGGCTGGTGTCACTCCACGATGGTGTGTGTGTGTGTGTGTGTGTGTGTGTGTGTGCCCTTCGGTGTTGGATTAGGTGTTCCCCCGGCGATGCCTGCCCGTCCGGGTCATGTCGCACTCCCCATCCCTCCATCCACCATCCATCCCCTCACACATCACCCCCCTCCCTTCAGCCTTCCTGGTGCCCATCCACTCACCGCATCGCTGGCGAAAAATAATAATAATACCATTTCCTTCTTCCTTCTCACCCCTACAGCCTCCTTTCCCGAATCTTTTGTTCCTGTCGCCTTCTCGTGTCCTGCCTGCCTTCAAAAAAAAAACACACGCAACCCACACGGAAACGATGACGCTGACTCCGCTCTGCGCCTCACAGCTTCCGCCAATAACCACTCTCGACACAACTAGCTCGGTACTTCCTATATCGCGCGCGATTTCCCCCGCCACCTGAATGCGACTCGAAGCACATCGTCCTCGACCAGAGAAACTATGTGCTTTCCAGCTCCACGAAGTCGTCCACCGCAACCGTCGCCTTCGAGACACCACCATGCCGAGAAGGACAAGTTTCGATCGGGCTCCTCTTCGGGCTCGGCCACCGATGCATCCTCCCCCGATATCCGCAAGCGCGACGTCCACCGATCGGCTTCCTCGGCCAACAACGAAGACCTTCCCGTCGGTCGCATAGCCACGGCCCGCTCCGGACCGGGCTCCTCGCATTCGAGATATCCTCCGTCATCGCAGCCGTCGAGTCGCCGGAGATCGAGTCGACGACAAGAGAGCGTAGGTAGTGATGGTGGAGGTGGAGGGGGCCGACCGCGAGCGCCATCGGCGAGGAAGTCATCATCGAGGAAAGGCAGCGTTCCGCCGAGCCCGGCTATGAACAAAGACTTGACCCACCAATTATCCGGGATGACGCCGCGAGCGAAGCAGGTGCCGATCATAAAACGGACGCCCGCCGTTTCCACGCAGACCACCCCGCGAATCGGCATGTCGAAGAACCCGACACCATCCGGGTCGCCGAAGAAGGGCACGGGTTCGAAGGCGTTCAGCTCGACTTCTTCGGGAAAACTTTCCGTCGCAACCGCCGATGCCTCTTCCCTCGCGGCTTCCACTTCGCCTCTTTTGAGACCCGGCGGGAGTAGTAGAGGGAGTAGTGACGCTGGCAGCAGTCGCTCCGGAAGTGTTTCGCGAGAGCGCAGCAAGCGGTCGGGCAGGACCAAAGCGATGGATATGGGTGGGTTGGGTGCGAAAGGGGGAGTGATTGGGCTGGGCATAATGACGGAGGCGGCGCCAAAGAAGAGGAAGAGTAAACGGTCCTCTTCTGTCAAGGCGCCCGTGCGCTCACTGACTACTACTACTACCGCGACAGTCATCACGACGATCGCATTCCCACCTCCACCACCTCCGACCATTACCATACACGCGGCCAGCTTACCTAAGGTGTCTGCTACAGCAGCGCCCGTCTCCATTGCAGCACCTCGACCCACACCGGCCCCTTTAAAGGTTCCAGCTCCAGCACCAGCACCTGCGCCAGCACCAGCATCAATTCCACCTCCGGTCTCGGTTCCAGCTCCAGCACTAGTCCCACCTCCGGCTTCGGCTCCAGCTCCACCACCTGCGACCGCGCCTGGACCTGTACCTGTACCGGCGGCAGCAACCCCGGCTGTATACGTATACACCCCCGTCGTCGTTCGGCCGCCGCAGGTCGCAGCTGCACCGGCCAAAGATGTCGTTACCGCGCCCACCATCGCTCCCGCCATCGCTTCCGCACCCCCGCAAAGACCGCCAATGGTACGGAAGAGTGCCTACATCACAGTTCCCGTTCCGCAACTCAGGCGAAAAGATTCGTCGGCGTCATTGAATTCGCAGTATTCGATTTCATCAGTTTCTACGGATTCGACGGTCGAGGCCCCGGCACCGGAGCTGACAAGGAGGAGGCCTAGCACTTATGCCTATAGTCCGAAGAAGCCCGCGCCGGTTCCACATACACCGAAGATGATCCTTCCGGCTACGGAAGAGTCGAGTTCGGAAGAGGAATCGGACGAGGATTCCGAAGATGATGACTCGGACGAGAGTTGGGAAGAGACGACCGAGCAGCCACCACCACCACCAGCAGCGCCGAAGATGGCGCCACCGAGGGAACGGACAGCTGCACCCAGCAAGATTCCAACAGTGTACGCTACGAGACGGCGCGAACCGGTGAAGGAAAGGTATCAACCACCTGCGCCCGAGCGTGAGCCTGAGTTAGAGCCCCTGCCACCGGCCAAAAAGTACTCGCCAACGCGAGACGCGCGCCCTTCGTCGCGAGCCTCGGTGGAAACTGTGGACTATGCTACTTTTGTTGCCGAGAGCCAGCTGAAGAAGAAGCAGCTGAGGCTGAAGTCACTCCTACCAGATATGAACGACTCTCCCCTCGTCAAAGCGAATGCTCGACGATCGGCGATTCCGGTCAGCGCTAAAGTTGCCATGTTCTCTACGCCCGTCTCTCGGGAAGCAAAGGCTCCAGCCCCGGCCAGGCCCAACCTGAGAAGACTCAACACACCGTTGGAGGATGCAGAATATCAAGCCCGCCAACAGGCTCTCGCTCTGGTCAAAGCCGAGGTGGAATCCGATGACGAGGTCGAAGAAGAACGACCGGAACACCAAGAATCGGATGAGGAATCGGATGCAAGCACCGTCAATTCCTCATTGGCCCCTGCTCCGGATCGGGAGGTTCCTCGTCGGCAGGTCCAAAGCAGCGCTCTACGTCGGCTGAAGAAAGAGGAGCACAAGAAGCCGTACGACAGTGAAGCATCCTCGATGCTTTCCTGCCGCATGGATGGGAACATGCCCGAGGCCCCGGCGCCCCCGCCTTTTGCGCCCAGTCCTCCGCCGGTGCACAAACGGCGACGCGGGTCCACCAAGACGGATTACTCGCACCTGCCGCCGCAGGGCGCTGCCGAGAGTTGGTACCCCGAGACCGGCGCCAGTCCGTGGGAGGTTGAGCAGGATTGGCAGAACGCGGGCGAGATCTGGGAGGAGGATCCATACCTGCCCGAAGCGCCGAGCCCGCCTCCCGGAAGTGACTTTATGCCGCATCAGGAGAATCGGGAGATGCCGCCGCAGATGCCGCCTCGACGAAGACGGCGCCGCGCACCGGCCGAGCACATGCCGACTCACATTGAGCACATGAGTCCCCATCCTGAGCACAGAAGCCCACATCCTGTACATCGCACACCGCAGCCTGCGCAGCGCACACCGCAGCCTGCTCACCGAACGCCGCAACCTGCTCACCGAACTCCGCAGCCCGCGTACAGCAACGTACAGCAGCCAGGCAGTCACCGGGAGAGCGGATATTACGGTTACGTGCATCCCGGATATTGAAGCTGGCATCCGGTTTTTCTTTTTTCTTTCTTTTCTTTTCTTTTCTTTTTTTGTCTCTTTTTTTTTTTTTTTTTTTTGAGTGGTCGACATAACGCCTGCACATTGCAATCAACGAGTACATCTTCCCAGATTAGCCCTGGGGGAGGGGATTCCCTTCCTGCATCTGCATCTACATCTATCTACATCTACATGCTGCTCCGATTGTTTTTTTCCCTTCATCTTTCTTTCACATTTCATTTGTTCTCGGCGCGAAGCGGGCATAGGTTGCTGGGGTTCTGGTTGGTTGGGTTTTGCCTTTGAGCGGTCGGTTGGGTATCTCTCACACGTTGCATGCTGTATGTTGTACATGTTGTTTGTTCTCTGTGTGTCTCTTTTTCCTTTTGGCTTTCACCTTCTCGGTGCTGCAACTCGATGTGCATGTTGCATCTGGCTTTACCTCACGACGACCACGACCACGACACGCTTAGTTAGACGCAGATGGGATAGATGTATGTATGTGCCTTGTTGCTTGCTGCTTGTATTGGCTCCACTCGGTCCGGTGCGTACATACGTGCCTTGTTTGCTCGCATGCATCCGACTAGCGGCTTTGCACGTTTACCTTACCGTCCTTTTCTGTTTTATCCGTTTTCTGTTTTCCGTTTTCCTGTTTTCGGCTTTCGTTTTATTTTGTTGTTTTCTATTTTGTGGACCCCCCCCCCCCCCCCTCCCTTTCCGCCTCTCGCCTTTGTTTTTTTGGCTGCCACGACTTACTGGGGCGGGCCGGGGAACATGTGCATGTACCTAGGAGGCGGAGGTGGTGGTGGCGCGTATCATAGCAGCAGCAGCAGCAGCCACGTTTGCTTTTCTTTCTTTCTTTCTTGCCTTTTTCTTTTTACTTCTTACGGCTATTTACGGGCGAGCTGAGAAGAGCTGGGGGACTTGGGGAGCAGTGATGATGATACACCGTGCTATTTGGAAAGAAGAGAGAGAGAGAGAGAAGGAAAGGCACACAAGAAGTATGTAAACAAGCAAAGTAAGTAGCACTTGAGTAGCAAGACGATGAATGAGAGGAAGAGGGAAGGAGTTGGTTGAGCTTGCTTGGGTGCTGTCGCGATCGTGAAGTGATGGGAACCCATCCCCGCTGTGAGACGGCGAAACTTTTGGGAAGGTGGGTTTCAACTTTCGTCGTGATTAGCCTTTCACAGTTCGAAGCAAAGAAAGAAAGAACGGCCAGCCGGAACAAGTCGACTTGAAAGACGAAGCCAAAGCCATCAATGGGGGCCTAGACTTCGGATGGCATGGATGGATGATGGATGATGGATGATGGATGATGGATGATGGATCGCGTCTCCGACTTTGCGGAGGAGGGGAAGGAGGCCGAAACAAGAGTGCTGGGTCCGGGGTCGTGGAGCATGCGCTGCCAAGCTGAACTGAGCTGTGGCAGGGTTGCTGTTGGTCGATATGTTCACGGTTCATGGGTGGTGGTGGTTGTGCTGGTGGTGGGTTGCTGTTGCTGGTGGTGGAGTAGAGTGCCGTGGTGGACAGTCGAAAACAGAGCGGACCCAGGATTCTCGCTTGCTGCACACAGACAGAACGGTAAGCTCACCCACTACCTAAACTCACTAACCCACCGACACTCCGGTACCCCTCCCTCCCCCGTCATCCTCCCTCCCCCAGTTGTGTGGTGAGCTAGACACACAACTCCTCGCTATCCTCTAGCCCTCCCTCCTTGCGCGGATCCATACAATAATCAACTGCACTTTCCTTCCGTCCATGCCATGTAACCAACTACATAGGACGCTCTTCTCTTACATACTTCTCTCTTGCGAACCTCTACAAACTAGCTATACTCCACTTCCGTCGCCGTCGCCGTCGTCGCCCTCGCTCGCTCGCTCTCTCCTTCCCTTCTTCCGACCTCCGCCCTTCCTCCCTACACCTCAGAGCTACAAAGCTAGCTACCTACCCACTGGCAACAGCCTCGCAGACCACCCCATCAAATAGCGGTAGCGAAACGGCGAAACGACGAAACGAACGATCCTTCAAAGTTTGACTCTGGTGGTCTGCTACACTAGTTGGAACCCACGGAGAGAGGTGGAGGGGGAAACTCTGCTTGGGTAGCTGGCGGACCGACGCCGCTTCTTCAACTACAGCCACTGCGACTACGACTACGACTACTACGACTACTGCTTCTTCTTCTATACGGCTACTGCTACTACTACTACTATTATTACTACTACACTAAAACTATTACTGCTACTGCTACTGCTACTGCTGCTACTGCTACTGCTACTGCTGCTACTGCTACTGCTACTGCTACTGCTACTGCTACTGCTACTACTACTACTACTACTACTACTACTACCACTTCGCCTTCTTGTTCTTCTTCAGCTTCTTCTTGTGCTTCCTCTATTCTTCATCTCTTCTTGTTTTTGTTCTTTTCGGGGAACAAACACACCTGCACGCGAATATTCCTCGACTACACAACCAAACACGACGGGGAAGGAAGCTGGGCTGTGTGAGTGGGGGTTGTGGATCGTGAGTCTCCACTCTGCGGGGGAAGGAGGGGAGGGGGGGGGGGAAGGGAGGGGGGGAGGGAAGGCGCCGACGGGGATAGCTAACCGCTAACTAGGGAGCGTACATAGGTGCCAGTGCCCAGGTCACGAGGGTATCGCAGCCGACGATCGCTCGAAGCGTGGAGCTACACATCTCTCAAGCGCGATGGTCAGCAAGGCGGATCTACAAGCAAACTTCCAAGAGATCTGTAGAAAATCGATGCTGCATCGTCCTTTCCCGTCGCGAACGCTGCCAAATCCGACTTCGGTTGCCAAGCTGCCCGCGCTCCCGAATGAGCTGCTGCTCATGCTCGGCGACCGTTTGTCGCCGAGAGACCTCAACGCGCTGCTGAGGACGTCGAGGCACATGCATGCGCTGTACAACGACTACCTCTACAAACTCACCGTGCGCGAGAATGGCAATTTCACCCTGTTCTGGGCCGCCATCAAGGGCCAGCCGACCGTTGCGCGCAAGGTGCTGGCTATGGGTGCCCAGGCCGAGGCCGAGTGCAGGGGGTTTTACCAGCAGTTGACGGCCTACGGGAGTGTCCATGAGACGCCGCTGCTCACGGCTATCGCGCACAACAGGCTGGACGTCGTCAAGGTGCTGGTCAAACACGATGTCGACATCAATGTCCAAGGGTCCGGGAGGCTGATTCCGTTGGATATGGCTACCAAGGACGGGAAGGAGGATATAGTAGAGGAGTTGTTGAAGCGCGGAGCGAACGTCAATCAGACCTCAGACCTCCGCCAGACGCCGCTGCACTCGGCGGTCACCGGTAAGCACAGTCCGAGCTTGATCAGACTACTGCTCGCCCACAAGGCTCGTGTGGACGCAGTCGACGGTGATAGGAACACCCCGCTGCACATGGCGTACGACAAGGAGACGGTCGAGATACTGGTCAAGGAGAGTGCTGGGATGATTGACGATGCCAATATCTGGGATGTGACGCCGCTGTCGATCGCCGTCAAGGCGAAGGACAAGGAGCGAGTGCGGGTGCTCCTCGAGAATGGCGCCGGAGTCAACATTCCCAACCAGAAGGGCGAAACCGCTCTGTTCTGGGTCGGCAGGAAATGGGACAACATGCGACATCCCCCCATCAAGATCTCGGATGACTCGGATGTCGAGATCGCGCGGACGTTGCTCGAGTTTGGCGCCAACATCCACCACACCGATACCAATCTCAGCACCGCGCTCTTCAGCATCGTCGAGCTCGGCGACATCCCGACCGTCAAACTGCTCCTCGAGAAGGGCTCCAGTGCGGCCGTCCGCAACCGCAAGGGTCTGACCCCACTCCACGTGGCGGCAGAGGAGGGCTGGCCAGAAATCCTAGAGCTGCTACTGACCCACCACGCCAACGTCAACGCCATGAACTACTACCGGTCCACCTCTCTGCACCGACTGACCTCCATCTCTAAGAAACGGATCCGTGGCAGCCAGGACCGCTACCTCAAAGCCATGGCGGTGCTCATCAAGAACGGCGCCAACTTGAACATGCAGGACCGCATCGGACAGACTCCGCTGATGAAGTCGGCCTACCACGGCTACTGGGAGTTCGTCACCCAGCTCATGGCCTCGCCCGGTATCGACCTGGCCATCAAGGACCGCCGCAACAAGACGGCTAGCGAGCTCTCGAAGGATCATGGCTCGGAGAGTAAAATGCTGCTCGACGCTACTAGGAAGGCGACTGAGATGAAGAAGTCGGAGGGGGACGAGGCGCGAATGGCCCTGGATGGGCGGGTTGACAATTATTGAATGCAGCGAGAATGCCAGTGGGGTGTGAACAGGGAAGGGGGGTGACGGGGAAGGGAAGATGAGTGTGTTACGATATGATTTGATGTCTTGCGACGATGACGACGATTGGTATAGAAGGTGTTTGCTTGCTTTCTGTGCTTCTGGGGGGCGGGGATTGGGGGTGCTTGGTTCTTTTTTTCCTTCTTTTTTTTTGTCCCCTTCGGTTTACTACGGAACTTACTTTGTTTTACGGGTTGGTTGGGATTCTGATTTTTTGCGCTGCGCTTTGCTTACGTTGCTTTGCTTGTCTTGTCTTGTCTTGTCGTGTGTTGTGTTCTTTTTCTTTGCTTGGCTTTGCTTTCGGTTTCGAATTTGATTGATTGATGCGTTTCCTGGGTGTTTGTTCTACATGGTGTTTTGGGCGGATCGGATTTGGCTGGGGCTGGGTTGGGTTGGGGGCTGGATCGGGTGCGGTAAATGCGTTTTTTTGACTTTGCTGTCGTTATGTGATTTTTCTTGTCGTTTCCTTTTCCCTGCGCTTGTGATGCGATGTTGATGTTGATGTTGATGTTGATGTTGATGTTGATGTTGATGTTGATGTTGATGTTGATGTTGATGTTGATGTTGATGTTGATGTTGATGTTGATGTTGATGTTGATGTTGATGTTGATGTTGATGTTGATGTTGATGTTGATGTTGATGTTGATGTTGATGTTGATGTTGATGTTGATGTTGATGTTGATGTTGACGGAGAGGGGATGGGGGGAGGTGGTAGAATGTTGATGGGTGTTGGTTGTTGAAGATGTCTTTTGCGGCGTTGTACGTAAAGGAAAAATGGAGAGGAAGAATGGAATGATGTTGTAGTTGACTGGTTGACTGTGGATGCGTGTGGATGCGTGGTCCTTGAGGTTGAGGTTGAGGTTAAGGTTGAGGGTGCGTCCAAGTCGGAGTCAGAGGAGGCGGTCCGAGTTCGGAGTCAGAGTCAGAGGAGGCTGTCTGGCCAGTACCAAGCCGAGCAACGGCAACAAGCCCAACAGTGCTAAGTATTAGCCAGCACAGGTAGGGAGTCGAACCCATAGAGACCCATGGAGGGGAGGGGAAGCTACATGGCTTTTTTGTTTAATCTACATAGTGGCGGAACTCTGAGTGATATCGGGTGCATAGACGGCGGAGAGTGAGGCCATTGAAGCGGTATCCCAGCGTGCTACAACGAACTACAACACAACGTCAAGCCGGAATGGAAATTGGAGACAAATTTACAGGTAGGCTTCCAAGTAGGCTGGGAGGCTGGCGGGCGCTGGGAAGTGTGCGCTGGGTGCACGGAGTACTGGGCACAGTATATCACTCGTGCACAGCACCGGCTGAAGTTCACGGGGTGGGCAATACCCTATGAGGAGGTGCCGAAGAGCTCGCACGGAAGCCAAGACAGACGGAGCTACATTGCATTTAAGGTACGGACGTGCCATCCTTTCCTACCACTACTATACATATAGGTAGCCGAGTCACTCTTCCCACACCGGGGATGGACGCGGCAGATACCGCTATTTAGTCGGCGATCTGGAGTCTAGATTCTGCAAAGTTTTTATCGTCACGCTCGTGCTCGTGCACAACTCCAACTCTATGTAACTCAAAATACTTTGTATCAGAATATTACGCAGATCTTATAGGGCCGTGGGCGCCTAACGTCACTCGTCACTCATGTGCTCGCCGCCCCCTGGATTCAAAATGTATTCACCTGCCGGCCAGGAATAGTATACGTTTTCCACACGAGCGGCAAAGAGGATCTCATAAAGACAGCGATAGAGTAGGTAGCCCGTTCGTGGAAGGCAGGAAGTCATTATCGTTACCACCTATGCATACCGACCTTCTCCATAATGTATCGGCCGCACCATTCATCGCCACTATCGGCACCGGCACCGGCACAAGACGAGAACAACCTCGGCCATTCCCCAGCACAGCGGCGGCAGGACCTCGATGCAAAATCCGCAATAAGTGAAAGCCCGACCCAGCGAGACGCCCGCCGGTGGCCGCTCTCCACGTTATTCACACCGACCGTCGTTAGCTGGCGGCGGCCGTTCACGCGAGCGGGCGGCGACTGCACGCCTTCCCCTCCAACGGAAGCCGGCTGGCGCCCACCCACGCTAACCACGCCGTACATCCTGCTCTTCTCCCTCATCACGCTCGGACTTGCGGGCGCGCTCGAGTACCTAGTGCAACGATCGAACAGTCGGGGAGCTGTGGTTTTTGCCGAGGTTTCGTATCTCCTTGAGTTCGCGCCGATGCTGGTGGCGGTGCTGTGCGGGCTGCTGTGGGCGGGAGTCGATCATGATGTTAAAAGGTATGATGAGTGTGCCGGGTTTCTACCGGGAGGTGGAGGGTGCATTCGCTCGCTGTGGATAGTGGGACTGCGAACCTGAGCTAGGCGGCGTTTTCTACGTGCAACGAACTTGCCCCTATCAATGATCTCATCTGATCCTATTCCATGAATTCTCACCGATGCGAGGTGGGGTTGGAGCGATATGCAGATGGATTATGATTAGTCTCTTGCTCCGGTCTCCCGCCCTCTGCACCCTTTCGCTCCCTCCCCCCTTCTTCCGTAAACTGGCGCCTTCGAAGGCCCCGCCCGCCTCGTAGCCATCTCTGGACGCTGATGCTAGAGGGTTTCTACTGTTTTTGTATTGTTACTCATGTGATCTTGTCCAAGGGAGCTGTCACCGAGTCCGAGAGGCGTTGAGAACGTGAGGCCGCTGGCCTGGTGAGATTGACCGCTCATCGCTAACATGACCGTGCCGCAGGCTCGAGCCATACTTCCAACTATCGAAGCCCGGAGGTGTCACCGCCGAGCACTCGCTATTCCTCGAGTACCCGTACAGCTTCGCCTTATTCGCTCCCTTCATTTCTCTACGCAAGCGGTATGCACATGTCATCTTCCGCGGACCGAGTCTCCGCTGACACTGTATTCAGCCACTGGGTAGTTCTCTGTTCGTCTCTAATCCTCGTGCTCATCCTGAACGGCGTAACGCCACTGATGAGCACCCTCGTCGTGAAGAGACCCGTGCAGCGCACCGTCTCCTTCCCGGCCGAAAGAGCACGTCTATACTCACCCTCTTCGCAGCCGGCGACGCTATCCACCGCGTTCTCGTACATTGCGTTTTCGCACCAGTACCACAACGGGATGCTACCGCCGTTCACCACCGCGGACTTCGCGGTCCTGCCCTTCCGCGCCCCATCTCGGAGCGGCACTCGCGCGGGTAAAGGCGACATCTTCCGCGGCAGCTCGATCCTGTACGAGGCACGGCTAGACTGCAGCCTCGGCGCCCTCAGCGAGCTGCCGGAGGACATGCGGGAGCTGGACTTCCCGGGGCGGAACTTCCGAATGGGATTTGGGCGCTTCACGGACGCGGCCGGACACAGCCCGTACCGCAGCGAGGTGTACAGCTACAGCAGCTTCGATGGCTGGAATAGAACCGGGATGGGCGAGTTCAGAGAGGATATGCTGGTGGTGTTTTTTGGCCGCAATGGCTACCCCGATGGGCCCGTGGCAGAGTTTAAGCTCAACTGGGGGTACATGAACTCGACGGCCATATACTGCGTGCCCGTGCACGAGCAGCAGGAGGTCGATGTGCTTGTTGATGCGGACAGCATGAGCCTGCTGAACTGGACGAGGAAGGGGGCGAAGACGCGGTTCACGGGGATCAAAATTCCGCACTGGACCGGCGTGTTGACGGGGCAGGTATCCTCCGCGTCTTTCCCGGCGCTCCATTCCACGCCCACGACGCCAACATCGGGAATGGTCTGGGGCCTGCCGGACCACACCTCGCAGCTGGCCAGGAAGCCGCAGTTCCACACGCTCATGGACGAGTATCCGCGCGCCCGCGAGTTCCAGCCCATCAATGTCAACTTTGCTACGCCGCAGACGTTTAGCCCGTTTGTGCTCGCGGGGCAGCAGGAGCTCGAGGAACTGTTCGATGGCACGGGAAAGGCGCTGATGCAGAGGTACAGCGAGGGGTACCGATATATGTTCGCAATGGCTATGGCACATGGCTTCACGGCGTATGCGAGCGACGTGGCCGACAGTGTTGCGCCCAGTCTTGTCGATCCCGTGGGAATTGAGAGTCTGCAGCCGGCAGTGAGGGAGTTCCTGGAGGATGGATACGTCGTGGACGAGCTCTGGACACGGATCCTTCAGACGGCGCTCGTGGCCATTCTGGGCCTTAGTATTGTGCTGGCTGGTCTCGTAAGGAACCGCAGGTGTGAGCTGGTTAGAGAACCGGGTACTATCGTCGAGGCTATGATCTCGCTGGACGTGGATGGTAGTGTGCTGCAGGACTTTCAGGATTCGGAATTCTTGAGCCCAGCAGAGTTGAAGAAGGTGTTGACCGTGAGGAAGCACCGGTATTCTTTGCGGGCACAGAAGATCTTTGTCCATCGGGATAAAGACACCAGTTGCAATCCTTGCGCCAGTCCAGCCATCGATCGAGACCGCGTCACACTTTCCAAGTCGTGGGAGCTAAGTCGATATCTCGGATCGACTGTGACTGCATTCCTCGTCGGATGGGTCACACTGCTTGTCGTCCTATTTGTGCGTGCGAAGGATGAAGGATTTGCTGTTCCCGCCGGTACCTACCTCTACGACGCGTATGCATCCTACGCACCGACCATCGCCGCCACCTCGTTAGAGTCATTCTTGGTCCTCCTCACCTCGCAAGTCGCCCTCCTCTTCCCTTTCAAGCAGCTCAGACGGGGGAATGCCAGTGCCAAGAACTCCATATCCGTCAACTACGACCGGAGACCGCCACATTTGCAGGTTGTCAATGGCATACGAACCCGGAATCCGCTGCTCACCGTCTTGAGCACGAGTATCCTGCTGGCTAATGTCCTTGCCGTTGCGGTCGGCGGGTTGTTCCACAAGAGCACCGTGGAGGTTCGGTATCCGGCAAAGGAACTTGCTCTGCTGGGATCGCTGGAGACGCTTGAGGCATATAATGCTTCGTCGGAATCATTGATCAAGGGGGACTGGGACATTCCGTACGAGTCGTTCTACGTTGCGGCAGGCGACCTAATGGGCTTCCGACGGCCACCGTGGACTACCGATGAGCTGTTCTACATGCCGTTCACCGACTCTCGCAACCAGACCGACGACCGCGGCGCTAAGTACATCACGGAAACCTTCGGGATGGGCGTATCCATGAAGTGCGAGGAGGTCCCTCCGGAGTTGCTCAGCACGTGGACAGCACTCAGCCTCCGTGCCAACGAGACGGCCACCGCCAGCAAGCACCGCAGCTTCTCGTTCACCACTTTCGTCAATAGAACGATGCATTTTGGTACTTCCCGCTACGACACGTTGCTTTTTCCGGACATCGGTGCGTACGCCAGAGACAACATGTTCGAGCAGGAAGAGAAGTTCGTCAAAACGTTCTTTCCTGGGGAAATCATCAACGGGACCAAGAAGTACCTGTATGTCGAGTATGGTCCTAACCCGTACCCGGAGACACTCGCGGACAAGCAGGACTGGGAGTTCTCTGCATTCTGGCATCAATACGAATACGACCCGAACCGACGAGGCACGATCAACGACTCGTTCTGGGAATCCAATGTCACCGTCAATAAGAATTTCTTCGACAGCGACATCCAGTATCTCAACAAAACAGTGGAGGGGCCATCGATGTTCATTCTTTCCCGCGTCGGTCTCCGCTGCCAGCCCACTCCCCATCTAGTCCGCTCCACGCTCACCTCCGACCTCTCGGGCCACATCATCAGCCACACTGACACCTCGCTCCCCTTCACCTCGTCACCCACCACCTCCAACCAACCCACCGGCCTCCCAGGCCTCGTTTCCATTTTCATGCGTACCGTCATGCCGCGCGTAACCGCCAAGTACTCCGCCCACAACAGCGACAAGCTCTCTCCCTCCTCCTCGCCCGGCAGCTGGCTATCCCTCCTCCTCTCCGACGAAGCGCGCGCGCTTACTCCAGGGTTCACATTGTACACGCACCCCGCCCAGTCCGCGCGCGCAATGGAAGCGGTGCTCCAGCGCACCTTCGCTATCTTCCTGCAGCTGAACGCCGACACAATCTTTCGCCCTCCCAGCGCACTCCTGTCCGTCGGCACGAGGAACGGTACGCTGCTCAGAGCGGAGGAGCGCGTGCTGATCCGCCCGCTGGCACTGAGAATTGCAGTCGCCATACTGCTGGCGTTTGTCCCAGCGATTGTCGCGGCGTATGTCTGCCTCGCCGATGCGAGCCTTGTCCATCAGCCTACGACGCTGGCGGGGCTGTTTTCGGCGGTTTATGCGTGTGATTTTGATGCGGGCGCTGTTGCGGGGGATAAGAGGGGTAAGAGGGGTAAGAGAGGGAAAGAGGGTTATGTGTACGGGTATGGGTGGTTTGTGGGCAGGGATGGGAGGAGGCATGTTGGCGTTGCGAAGGAGCCATTGGGGGACGGTAGGTTGGACGTACCGTAGTCTGGGATTGGAGCATGCGGGGAATACTACGGGATCTGTGGGTTTTATGGGTTTTATTAGTGGAGAGAGAGGGAAAGGCGGATGTGGTTAGAAACCACGCAGGAATAAGATACGGCCACGGAATTCTGGTTAGCGGTATGGAGGAGGGATCATGATAGGGAGGGCCCATAACGATACTCTAGCCAGACAAGCTCACCGACAGCCTACAGGCCACACAGGGACACGTGCGTGGGAGTAGGTCGGTGGGAGGGAGGGGAAGGAATAGATATGGAGGACGATGAAAAGAAGCTCGAAAGTGCCACATTACATGTTCCTCAGGGCACATGGGGACCACCCGTATGCTGCCGTGGTCGACAAGCCCGTAGGCTGTTGCTGTTGCACTTACTAATGCTGGCGCGCCATGGTTATAATCTGCATCACCCTTCCTCCAGTACGGAAAAAAACCTGCGCGGCCAAGCGGTCACGCACCCGGTAGAGTTAGCATGGACACTGCAGCGGTCTATCTATCGGGGTTTCCAAGCCACCCCACCAGGGGTGGCGAAGGTTTTTGGTTCGAGCCAGGGTTCGGCTTTCGTTTTATTTAAGCGGTGTGTTTACTTACAGCCTAGGCACTCGTAGATCATGGAAATATAGTCACGGTTTGGCATCGTCACGGGTTATCACTCTATCACTCGCTGCGTGAGATCGCGTGCCTAGCTAGACCCTGCTCTTGTACGTCCGAACTGGGATCATTCGTTTCCCAGCTGTTTGCGTTCCAATTCGGTTCCGTGGTTCATCTAGCTACTCTGGCTTTGTGTGCTGTCAGGTTTGAGGCGTCTACGTGAGCGTGCGATTCGGTAGATCCTAGGTAGTAGTATCCGTAGCCGTTAAGTTTACCAAATCAATGTAGACTCCGTCTGGATAGGGAAAAAGGCTATGGTGCTACATAGCATTCCAAAAGATCTTCGTCCATTCGAATTCCGGAGTAGTGCGAGTGATCCATTATGACCGACCCTGGTCCCCAAAGCCGTGTTGCGGTTGCTATGTTCTCTGCAGCATCTTTCTGGATCTTAGTTTCGATCAGACAAACGACTGCACCGAAGTAAAATACAAGTGACAGTTACTACCCCCCCTCCGCGCACACCACCGTGACCGCGGTACCCCGTCTCGGCTCAGGCCTGGGTTACTCTACTCTAGATAGTGTTCAATACTGCTACAATACTATTATAGGCAACCTAACATACAACTCAGTAGATGCGTCTTCATCAAGATCGGCGAGCGAGAATTAGGGGTTGAGGACAAGATTTCATAGGTAGCAGTGGTGGTCGAGTACCTACCCATGACCTACCTATGTTCGCGGAAAGACGTGAAAATCACGCCAATCTGCACTTCTGCATGGAAACTGTACTTTCTCATCTTGCTGATTGAATTTTGAGAGTCTTCTTGCGTCGCGGAGAGACAAGCATTTTGAAGACGATTATGGACCTTCGGCGCGCTATGGTGAGTCCATGGGATAGGAGATGGATGATACAGCTTCAAGTGTGGGGAAACTTGTTCATTTTTTTTTAGTGAAATGGGGAGGACGTAATCACAGGAGACAACACAACTACTTCCTCCATGTACAGATGCAGGTGTTCCATCGTTGGAAGTTGGAACTTGGTGCGACCATCTCTCCTATTCCAATTTCGGTCGGGCCCGTAACTTCGTATTGGATGGAACACTGACCAGTCTCGCAGTTATTGCAGCAAATGATATTTCACATGCTATTATATAATTGCCGTGTAGTATGTTCATCTCAATCACGATGACATGGTTATTCACGGCCACGGCCACGGCATGCGAACATGACATGTCCTCTCACTCGTCACCTCTAGTCCAACCTCCGATCACAAGCCAATACCAGGGAGTACTACTAGGTAGGTATATACTCTCGCCCGGCGCACGGAGTGCAATCTGCAGACGTCCTTTGACCGCACTGAATTTCGCGAGCATATCCATACCCATCCATACTTACATAATCCATACCTCTCGTCTCGACATCCATCATCCATGCATGCCATACGAGTCACGACGCCCATTTGGCCGCTCCGTGACAAGGCGATCGGCCGGCGCCGACGACGCAGTACTCTACTCTATGTAAGTACATATATAGAGCACCAACACCGACACCGATATGTAGGTAGGTAACCTTCTTCAAGCGGGGATGCCGAGCTCGCTCGCGAGGATCCCGGATCCCCCTGGCTCATTTCTTCCAAGCGTGGCCGTATGTATGTAAATGTCAAACGTCTACCTACCTACCTACCTAGCTAGTTAGATCCAACCAGCCAGCCAGCCTTCCATCATGCTCGGTAATGTACTAGGTAATGTGGCCGACGGTCGACCAGGACGGGGCTGGACGGGGCTGGGCCAGTTCGACAGGGGAGTCGGAATGCTTGATTCCCGTGGGACGGGGCTGGGCTGTGATGGGCTGTGATGGGCTAGGTATCTATGAGGCTGGTTACCTATTTCATTTCACCTCGTTCGAACTTCGATACGGTTCCCGGGAGCCGAGCGCTGGAAGGCTGGTACCTATCATCCTCACCAAGAGTACCTACTACCGTAGTAGGCGACCACTATTCCAGCCGCCATAGTTAGGTATCTGCTGTGTGATACGCCAGATATTCATTTCGGCGCATTCACTTCTTGAGCCGAGTTTTTTTAGTGGTTTCGAAGGGCCAGAAGCCTGGAACATCTCCACCGGCAATCGAGATGGGCCACTCTGCCTATCAGCCAATCGCTTTGGCGAGTCCGGGGTACAACGTTATATTGCTCTGGAAAGAACTCTGCCGGATAGGTATTGCGATCCCGGACGGCCGCCGGGGGTGGGAAATAACGACAGTGGAGGGGATTGTGAGGTCTAAACCTCGGGATACCTACCTACCTATGCTGTGGGTAGGTATGTAGGAGGTAGGTAGGCTTGCGTGGTGATATTTCATGTAGGCAGTGGATGAAGGAAAGAAGGAAAAAGGGCGGGTCCGTGCTTCGAGGTTGATGCTCGATGCTGAACGTTGAGAGGCTGCAGTCTGCAAGCAGCGAAGATTAGGAGTGTGGAGATATCTAGGCGGTCGCACCATGACGGTAAGTAGTAACCATAGAGTAGGCAGGTAGCCGGGGCGGGCAAGCGTAGTTACTCAAGATATTCGCTTCCCCCATCCCTCACGCCTCGAGCCATCACCGTTAGCCATCCCTTAAGCCATCCCTTAAGCCCCCCATCAGCAATCCGTTCCAGTTCAGTTCGTTTCGCTTCGTTTCGTTTTGCGAAATACCACCGGCTTGCGTAATGTGCGAAGCTTTCTTCCTCCATCGAATCGGCTGGACTACATGATTATCCGCTCAGGCGCCCGCATTTTCGGAGGCATTCCTGCACTGCCATTGGCTGTGCCACCCCGCAGCTCATTGGCGCCGGGTGCAAAGCTGGAACCGCAAGCTAGTAGGTCGTTACTAGTAGTCAAGTCGTTGCCGAGTAGCCTTCCCCTGCAGACACAACAGCAGACGTGGAGATACTCTACTAGTACCATGGTAGGCAGTACCGGTATGTTTGCATGTATGTAGGTAGAACTCTGCAGAGTACCAGGTACCGACTTACGTCTCCGTTCCTCAAGCGCTCGGTTGAGTCGGAAGCGGAAGTGGGCGGGCAGCGCTGAGCGGACAAGTCGGGATTATCGACTCTATTCCTATCCAAACAGCTGAAGCCTGAAGTGGAGGCTGCAGTCAGATCACAGATGCACCGGCGAGTAGGTACGTACGATGTCGCGCTCGGTTCGGTAGAGGGCGGCACTGTGCGATCGACTGTTCGCGCCAATGCCCAAGAGAAGATCGCGACTCCCTACCCTGCCGTCTTAGAATAGAGCCCCCGATGGAAACGGGGTCATGCAAACTCCGTATGTAGAGTATCTACGTACGTGTACACTGCACAGGAGAGTCGCAGGCAGGCAAGTCATCGTGCCGTGCCCTAAAGTATTCGTTGGGTGCCGTAGCTGCCGTAGCTGCCGTCTCGGCCGCGTCGACACGCGCAAGTGAACACAGCCCTGCGGGGTAAACGGAGGAATGTGGCGCAGCACAGCCACAATGCGCACGATCCGCACCTGCACTGTGAGATCAAGATTCCAATGGCCTGGTTTCGAATACCCAGTTGCCGGACAATAGAATAGCGAGCGAGAACACGGCATTGTGGCCAGCAGGGCGGGGGGCTGCTTGCAGGAAAGGAGCGGACGGTACCGAGATTGGGTGGCAGATTCATGCGTTCGAACAGACGAAGGACGGGTGCACATGCGATTATTCGACGCAAGGAATCCACCCCACGATTGGGCTCCGCAGAGTAAGTTGTGTTTGTTATTTGCTTCATTTTCTTCGTTTTCCTTGCACCTTTCATCTTCTGACTGACAGCCCTGGTGCGGGCTCTGCCGTGTGATCGACTGGGTGATTTCAACACTCGCCAGCGCGACCAAGTTGCTCAAGAGCACTAGTTGCCGTAGGAGGGTGACTACCCCAGCGTAGTTACTCCAGTTGGCAGTGTGGCTGGCGGAACATTCTGGTACCTACCCCTGTCGGTACGCGATCTCCCCAGTTCCCACGGGCGGCCGCTAGTTTTCGGACCAACCATCATCGCCAGTCCTTCGTTGGAGCAAATCATCTCAGCCCGTGGAATCGAGCTCGACGCCGGCCCCCGACCAAGAATCTTCGACATCCTGCGGACCTGTGGGTTCGAGCGTCACTGCATGATTGGTTCCTGCTTCGCCGACAAGCTTTTTCGACATGGCATGGCCCCCGGCATGCGGTTTCATCACACGCATTCCTTGCAGTGGAAAGAGGAAAGAGGAATCCCTCCCCCGCAGCTGAAAGAATTTTCGTTTTTCTTTATTCATTTATCGCAGTACCAGCTAATCGTTCTACCTACTCTGCTCCAAGTCATGGCGATTGGGGTTGAGAAGATCAAATCGCACGTGGGCGTGAGTGGTGTCGGTGCGAGTGATGGGGGGGGGGGGGGGGGGAAGAGAGCGAGGGAAAGTCCACACGAGTGTGCAGCGACGCAGTGGTTCTGCTTGCGCCGTCGTCATCGCATCTACCTACCTGCGCCGGTGTTGAGTCGATCAGCCGGACTGCATACGGGCCGCTATGTATGATAGACTTGTATGTAGAGTGGTTACTCGGAGTAGAGTAGTGGTAGTCTGGTCAGCAGAGTATGTATTCCCGCCCGCACACGGCCACTTCCGAGGTGCGCAAAGGTCGGACTTGCCTCTCAAACAAAGACACTGTGGCGCAAAGACAAATAGAGAAGCCGAACAAAATTCCCCTAGGTGCAGGTGCTCGAGAGTACTGTAGTCATAAGGAGAATATTCCGCCCATGTGGACGGAACCCGCCTAGACCTCAGATCTGAAACAATTCTCACGAGCAGCTCGGTAGGCCTTCGACCATCACAGGCATCTGACTGGCCCCGAGCGAAACAAGCCGGGCCCCGATTCTTGGGCGGATCTGTTTTTTTTTCCTCCTCCTGCATGAGAACGTCACACATGGGTCTTGCAGCCGCGAAGGCTGGGCGATTAGTTTTCCAGGTTGTGATTGGCCGGCGGCTGTTGCTGGGACGTTACAGCTCGCCTTGCTCAGGAACCAGTGGGCCAGCCGGATTGGTTGGGCATCTCACGGAGGGGATGCATCCCTTGCACATCGGCCTGCCCCTCTCCTCTCCCTTCCACACCTCCACACCAGGGCGTCCCGGCGTCCCTCTCTTTCTCGTCTTGCTTCTTCTTCATCTTCTCCTGATTCTCGGCTGGACTGAACCCCTTCCCTTCGTCCTTGTCCTGTTCCTGCAGGGGCGAGAAGGGCGTCGTCGTCGTCTTCGCGATGTGGTGTGCTGCCAACTACTATACCCAGGCACTCTGCTAGTAGAGTTGCAGTTACCGGTCCTAGGGCCTCGTGAGAAATCCTGTTGTGCAGAAAAGAAAAAAGATGGTACCTGCGTATGGAGGCGTGGGCGGCGCAATTATTCAGCCCCCTCCAACCCTCCCTCCGTCCCTGCCTCCTCGTCCTCCTTCCTTGTGACGGTGGTCTGCCGTCGGATTGCCACCGTTCGCGCGGACATGGGTGCGGTGCTTAGTGTTGGAGCTGCGGCAGGCTGCTGGGTGGTGGGTGGTGGTGAGTGGTGGTGAGTGGTGGGAGGTGGTGGGTGGTAACTAGCGGGGGGGGGTGGTGGGCGGTGGTGGTGGGCATGCTAGCTCGCAGCGATAGCTGCTCCTCCTAGCGGCCCTATTCACGCTCACTATTCACACTACATCCCCATCACCGGTTAGTTATAAGAGGCGCCAGCCCTCACGATATTCTTTCGGTTCCTCATCCTTCACGGCTCATTCACTCTCTCACCCCCTCTCTCTCTCCCTTGCGACGACAACCTTCGACAGGTTCGGACTTTCTTTGACACTACACGCCTGCGGCACTGTACTCCCTTGATTGCTATTCTGTGAATAACATCAGCCTCGTTCTTTTTACTCGCTCCAATCCCGTCAAAGTTTACTAGACATTCCTGTGAGTTGGCTCTTGCCCCATTCCACTCCCCATTCCACTGCCCATTCACCCTCAATCGCCTGATCCAAAGATACTGACTGCTACGATAGTGTTGAAAACGTACCGGTTACGTCGCTTTACATTGTCTTCAATCATCATCCGATAGAAAAAAAGTCCTACCTCGCAAGTTCGCAAGCTTAAAAACCCCATCTACAAACATCACATCAACACATCAACACATCAACATGCAGTTCACTTTCTCCACCATCGCCGCTGTGGCCGCCCTCATCGGCTCGTCCGCCGCCCACATGATCATGGCCGACCCCCCGCAGTGGGTTGTTCCCGGAGAGTCCCTCGGTCCTCTCGACCCCTCCGGATCCGACTTCCCCTGCGCGAACGGTGTTGCCGTTACCACCGCCTCCCGCACCTACACCGCCGGCGAATCCGCGATCCTCCAGGTCCAGGGCTCCGCCGTCCACGGTGGTGGTTCCGGTCAGATGCTCATCACCTACGACATGCCTCCCACCGCGAGCAGTGTCTGGCGAGTGATGGTCTCGTTCGAGGGTGACCACCCCGTCAAGGCCGACGGCAACCTCCCCGCCGACCCCTACCTCCTGCACGCACCCATCTCGTACACGATCCCCGAGGGCCTCCCCTCAGGAACCGCCGTCGTCGCCTGGTCGTGGTTCAACAGGGTCGGAAACCGTGAGATGTACATGAAGTGTGCCACCGTCGCCATCGAGGGCAAGACGGCGTCCGTTTCCAACCTCAGCGACGACCCCGCCATGCTCGCTCTCCCCACCTTCTTCCGTGCCAACAGCGGCAACGGCTGCACCGTCCCCGAGGGCATCGACGCCATCGCCTTCAAGTACCCCGGCACCCAGGTCGACCGCAAGGGCGGCTACACCGCCATTGCCGTCGACTGCGACGACTCCCAGCCCGGCACCGGCTCCGGCGACGAGACCCCCGCACCCACCACCACCGCCGACGTTCCCGATGCCACCAGCACCGACGAGCCCACCCCCACCGACGAGGCGCCCGAGACCTCGGCGACCGCCTACCCCACTGATCCCGCCGGAGGCGACGAGGAGTCCGGCGGCGACGAGGAGGCCGAGCCCGTTCCCACGTCGACTGCCGCGCCCACCGTCACCAACCCTTCTCCCACCACCACCGGCTCGCCCACCTTCCCGCAGCCCACTGCCACCGGCTCGCCCACCTCCCCGCAGCCCACTGCCACCGGCTCGCCCGACTCCGGCACCTGCGTCGAGGGCGCCGTCTACTGCCACGACGACCGCACCTGGTCCATGTGCGGATCCGGCCGCATCCAGCTGATCGGCCAAGTCCCCGCGGGCATGAAGTGCGTCGACGGTATCTTCTCGGCCGACAAGAAGCGGTCCATCCGGTTCTCGTCCGAGCACATGCGCCACCGCCGCCACTAGATCATCACTCACTCAGTCGTGATTGGTTTACGGGTTCGAGTTTCTTTGTACATCTAGATTGGGTTTCTTGGGAAAAAGGGGCTACAGGACGGGGGTTGTATATACACGGTTTGGGTTGGTTCGGAGGAGTTGGGTCTGGTCTGGTTCAGTCCTTCTTACGGTTGTCTGCTTTTTTTATTATCGGGTTTGGGTTTGGGTCCGGGTTTCCAGCGTTTTGAGAGCGGTTGGGATGGTATTGAATGAGTGTGTCTGTGCTGTTTTCCGTTGTTATTGTTTACCGGTGTGGTTTTTCCTCTTACTCTCCTGTCCATAAAATTACAAAAGGTCGTCAGGGTCGCGTTATCTGTAACTTGTAACTTTCCACGTAACTAACTAACGAACTACATGTTATCTATGCATACTTCCAACCATCGTGAGCGTCTGGCTGGCGACAAAAGTGAAGAAGTGAAGTGACATATGCAGGGGTGGGGAGGTTAGGCCAGTTGAAGTTTTTGCTTTTTTTTTCTTCTCATCTTTGTTTCTCCAACTTGTGCACGCCTCGAATTCTCCACACTCCACAATCCTGTCCTGAGTCCACCCCACAGACCCGCGCCGCAGCGAGAGTTTGATGTATGTGCCCAAAGACGTCCCGTTAATGTTTCGAACTTTCGCCAGCAAGCCTCCGCTCTCCGTCTCGCCGCCCGCCCGCCTTCCACCCGCCGTCCGCCCGTCGAACTTCGGTACCCAAGACTCAAGTATCCACTAGCATGTACATAGTCTACCGACCGACCGATCGGACAGCGCCGACACAGAACGCACCAGTGCTCACACGAAACTACGCTTGCTTGTTTCACGTTTCACGATCGAACAGGGGAGGGGCGGGGACGAACGAGGGGGGGAGGGGGTGCTGAAGAATTTTGAGGTTTGCGCGACCGACTGGTTCTCGGGATAGGTACGTACGTAAAACATACAAATATACACAAATACGCAAAACAAACATGAACATAACACAAACATGAACATAACATAAACATGAACAAACACAACAGACACAAACACAAACCGTACCTGCATAACCACATCGTTAACCGCCACCGCTGCGGTTGCTATGCACATATGCTCTGCTATGGGATGCTGTGCTATGCATGCGATACGACGTGATGCGATGCGATGCCTCGCTAGCGTACGTAGGGCAGACCCAAGTTCCAACCCCCAGACCCAACCCCCCCGGAGTCAGGAGCCAGGAGTCAACGCATGCCTGATCGCTCGGACGGATCCCCCGGACGGAGGACGATACGGCGATACGTGCTTACGTACGCTGTGCTCCCTCCCCTGTTTCCTGTCGACTGTCTCCTATGTCATGCACCGACTCCAGCCTCCGGTGCGCGTAGGTATGTATGGTAGGGAGCAAGGCTGTGGTAGGTATCGATGCGCACCCACCCACCCACCCACCCCTAGGCACGACGGCGGCGGCGGCGGCGGCGGCGGCGGTGGTGGTGGTGGTGGTGCGCGGGTATGTAGGGGTGGTTGGGCGTGTGTACTGGTATATATGTAGAGAACTGGTACCGGTATGTACCGGTATGTACGTAGAGACGTAGAGTACGGTACGTACTTGCACTGATGTTTGCTGATGTTTGCTGATGTTTGCGTGTAGGTATGCTACATACCTACCTACCTTGCACATAGTTCTGGTTACTTGATCATTGACATACCACGCGTCGACAAGGACAAGGACAAGGACAAGGACAGGGTGCGTGAGCGGTGGCGAGTCGCGAGTCACGACGTGCTGGGTTTCTGCCACTGGGTTTCCTGGCCTGGGCGATGGATGTCGGTATGTGGGTATGTACCTAGAAGGTCCACGCCGGTCCGCGCCGGGCTGTGGGGGCGGCTGGGGTCGGGGGCAGCAGGGGGAGGGGGGAGGGGGGAGCGGGGCGAGTGAGGGGCGGCGGCGAGTGAGGGTGTGTGCGTGGGCTGTTTGGGGTATATGGATACCTGTTACCGGCTTCGTGGGAGGGAGGGGGAGGCCTGGGAGGAAGGTAGGGCTGGCTGGCAAAAGTCAATGTCAATGTCCCTTGAGACGGTGGCGAGAAGGCTCAAGGTGACCGTGGGATTTAAGGACTACCTACGGTGGGGGGATGGGGAGCGTTGTATCGGTAAGTAATAGGTGGCGGTCGGACTGAACCTGGAACCTGGAAAGTCGATACTTCCTATATAGAACTCTCAGCGGTAAATAAGAAAAAATGAAAACGGCGACTACCTGTTTGAGGCTTTGAATTTTGAGAAGAATTTGGACACCTGCACCGCTTCTGTGACTTCCAAGTTCCCACGACATGGCAGCTGACGGGGTGACGCTCGGGATGCAATAGAGCAGTGTCGTAAAGCAAAATTGGTGAAATTTGGGCTTCCAGGTCTAGTTTTAAGACGTCAGGGGTGCGATTTATGTTTCTGCCATGTTTGATCGAGTGATATACTGTGCGACGGAATTTTGGCACTCGAAGTCAAAATCTACGATCCAAGGGATAGCTACCACCTCAACCTCCAGTGTTCACGAGCTACAGTACCTAGATATAGTGGCACAAAGTAAGATGCGATTGATACGGGAATAATACCGCAGTCATTTGAATACGGAAGAACTACTAGATTTGTGTTCAATACGTATGCCCACTTTTAGAATAGTCCAAAGGACACGTATTTCCATAACGATAGGAGCCGTACCGTATCGAACAGTAATACGTCGTCTACAGATAATGAGAGTTCTACAGTGTTGCAATACACTGCGTAACCATATCAAGCGTGTAGTTGCAGGCTCGTCCTATAAACAAGACGGCGTGTTTAGTTCACTTCAGTAGTACTGGGTACGTGAGTTTCGAATTAATATGACCTGATGACTACGGTATCACTACTGGAAGACTTCCGTGCTTGCAGAAATCGGTTCTCACCGGTACTTTAGGGTCTGTACGATTCGATCTTTTGGAATATCATGTGTACAGTGCTTCCTCACCGCGTTCATCAACACCCGATGAAATCTGAAATCCTTTCCCCATTCCCCCTACCACTGTCAAATCCACCTCCAACTCCATCGCCAATACCACCAAACTCCGGCGCCCTACTCCTCAGTGCTCACCGTAGCTGCATGTCCATCTCGTCACAGAATCACGAATTCTCACCCGGTATACTAGTATCATCGTCGGCGGTGCGTTTGCGACGATCGTTCGGAATGTTGTCTGGATCCAACTTCCAAGCAGTAGAGTCCACCCGCAACTCCTCGCGGTGTTCGGAGTTCCGAGCTGCACTAACTTTTGCGTGACGCCAAGAGGAGAACTTGGAAGACCTCGTGCGTGCACTCGCCTCGTGTCGTCACACCGAGCCAGTGTACTAGTCATTGAATATCGGAGTTGATCCGTAAGGAAGGAAGAATGGTTACTCTAAAAGAAACTGTCGAGACCCGAGAGCAGTCCTTAGATTTGGATCGGAATCACAGTCCCTGGAATCACAGTTTCTCACTTAAAAGTTGACGCACGTTTTTTTTCCTCTCCGGCTGTTGCCACGGCCATTGCACCAAGCGGTCGGAGACAGTGGGGAAGAACCGGATGTGTACTACAGCCATGATCTACTAAGGTCGAATGCTAAGATGATTATACAAAAAAAGGTCACTGCATCACTGCACCAACTAAAGTATATCATGGGCAGCGGGGTCTCTTATATACAGTATCCAGAATCGGTCCGGGGGAGATCTCCGGTAGGCTCAAGCAGTGATCCGGTCCAGTCTGGTTCGCGCATTCTCCGGGTAGACAGTGCCCCGGCCCGCTCCGTACATTCTTCGGTCGTCCAATACCGGACAGTTAGCTTCTCCCGACTCGTCACTCGTCTTTTGCACGTATGTAATCCATGGAACCTGGTAGTTGTGGTGGCGGCAATGGGCGTCAACGTACGATATGGCAGCTTCATGCGGGCTCACGTCGCCATAGAGTAGAATTGACGTTCCGAGCCTGATAGCCAGTCGATCGCATCGAGAACTGCTCAGCAGCGAGCAGCACTTTGGAGAAAAGCCGCCCAAAACCTGCGCCACGGTCCGTCAGCCGGCGGAGGAGCCGGATGCTTGAACACGAAGTGGAACGACGTGGACGGACGTGGAACGGTTGGGGCGCTCCGCGCTCGTGGAAATGTGGAAATGTGGAAATATGGAGATGTGACAGCAGACGTGGCCTGTGGATATGCCATTGCCCCCCATGGCAATGGACCCATGGGCCCTGCCTAGCCACCTGATGCGCAGCGGCCTAAGGGCCTGGAGCTGGAGGACAGTTAGCAGAAGGGCTACAAAAGCTAAAAATTTAAGAAACTGGATCCAACTCAGAGTCTTAGAGCAGACCAGACCAGAGATCGCGGGCAGGAGCAGCACTGCAGCAGGGTGCTTTCGGTTCATGCCTGGCCAGCACCTGAGATTTGAAGTAAATCGTGGACGACCATTGCCTGTTACCTACCTACTCGTTTCCGGTGGTGGTGGTGGTGGTGCGATCCCAAGATTATCATGACTTGCTGCACGCGCCAACGGCCAGCGGCCAGAACCCCGAAAGTTAAAGCACTTGTTCGTTCGAGCACCCCCGCAGTTCGGAAGTTCCAGTGCGTTAGGAGGAAATGGCAAAAGGACACAGGCCCACGAGATGGGGATCACCCGGCTTGTGACGGATGAATGGGAGGTGCAGTTTGGTGAGCCTGACCTCCCTACAATTTATGTACATACGCATCATGGTCCACGGGTGTTGGTCGGCTGGTCTGCTGGCTGGCTGGCGTGTGAGGTAGAAAAAGGAACGGCTGGCTGGCGAGGACTTGGACTTGGACTTGGAGGAGAGCGCGGAGAATGAAGAAGAAGAAGCGACGGGCAAGCGAGGGAAGTGGAAGAGAAAAGAGAAGGGGCAATAGATGGTGGCGAGGTGGGCGCAGCTTTTGTCTTGCATTTCCTTTCCCGAGTCAGTCACTCTTCTTTCGAATCGGTGATCGTAGGATGCGGGGTCACTGTATGTCACATGGTCTAGATAGGCTGTACGGCGACAAGGAGTCAAAAACGTAAGCAGGCCATCCTCAAAGCTCACACAGAATGCAAGGTAACTCGGCGTTGCACACGTTTATCACTCGCCCCACGTTTTCTGATATTCCGCCCCCGCCATATGCATGACATCGGCTCGTGCTTCGATTCAGAAGCATTCGGCTGACTGGCTGTATGCATATGGGTAGGATCTGAAGTCGCCACCGCTGTTGCAAACTTTTGATCAGGTCGATATGAGCTCCGTATCATACGAGATTCGGCGACCTGTTTCTTTGTTTGTACTTACGTACACACGCTGCTGGATCTCGATCTTTCGACTCCGCCGACCCGGTATCGATTTTTTGTGGCGAGCCAGAGATCTGATATTGAGAGACGCAAGAAAATGAAGGGCCATCTTCACCTGGCTCGTAATGCACAAAGCGAAGCGCCTGCGAGCACAGTGGTGGGATAGCGGCCTTGATTCCGCCTGGTGGTTATTACCCAACGGAATCAAGACGGCACTTTGCTTTTACTGCATGTGGCCATCAATGACGGGTGCAGATGCGTATGGGACCATAGGGGTGACGTGAGTAAACTTAAATCTCACATTCCTCATGGCATGATACAAGACTTAGCTACACCTGGCACTCCTGGCACTTGCGATGTACGGTACGCCACTCTGGCAGAACCGACACGAAGACGTCTTCTTGGTCTCGTCCAACCTGCTACGGCCAATCTCCGGGCATGAGTGTATGATACCATCATCTTTGAATTCCTCGCTTCATTTCCACAAGAAATATCGCCACTGTAACTATGCTGCTCTCTTCATTCGCCTCGAAACGGCACTAAACAAGAACGATACCCACTCCAGTCTCCCATGCACCCACCCCCAAAAAGCCAAAACAAATCCCGTGCTCTACAGTAGCGTCTTGGGACTGAACTCGAAACTCCTACCGCCACCTGCACTTCTCCGTCTCACGAAATCCCACCTCACAGCGCTCCAACACGGTCCACCCTCGCCCTCGCCCTCCCCAGCGGCAACCTCCGCCATCTCACTGAACCCAGGCAATTGCATCTTCCCCTCCGCTCCCCCCGCCCCCTCCTTCGGTGTCGGCAGCTTCAGGTCTGCCGTTCTGGGCGTGGTGATGCCAGCACGGTACGTGTGCCTGCACACCCTGGGATCCCCGGCGACCTCGAGCACCCCCAGCTTCTGTTTCGGGACGGTGATCGGTGCTATGCGCGAGCTCGCCAGGCGGCTTGTTCGCTTGCTGAAGGAGGAGGGAACACGGTGGGCGGGGCCAAATTCCGAGCCGCGGTGAGAGAAGGAGGGGGGAGGGAGTGGGCAGGGCTTCTTGTGGGACCGGTCGGTCCAAGAAGCGGGCGAGGACCGCTTCAAAGACGACGGTGTATTGGCTGAGTGGACGTGGGCGGCGGGCTCTGAGGGATCGCGGATCGAACAGGGTACGCCTGGACGGGGTGCGGACTCCGATGGGTGTGTCGCTGAATATTTTGGGGCCATGGTGAGTGAACTTCTGGTGGCTGGAAATTTTGTCTACCTACCTCAAGGCTCACTCCCTCTCGCTTCAGCTCTTAAAATACCTCTCAACAAGCCTCCCAGCTCTCCAAACAGCGTCTCATAGCTTGCAACCTAAAACATCTCGAGTGACTGGCTGTGTCTCGCAATCAAAGAATCGGACACCTGTCAACCGCAAACCCAATAAGCACCATCAGTACCATCAGCACCGTAACCCGGTAACCTTTCTTTGTCTACCACGCCAAGCGTTTTGGATTGAGGGAGGGAGGGCGGGCTCGTCTGCCGCGGACCGGAACTCCATGGCGTTTTCGCGACAGTCCATTAAACCTCAACCCTTCTCCGTCGAGTCGTCGACTCATCCCTCGCGTCGCTGTTTGTTACACCTTTTCTGTCCAGTCGAAGCAAGAGGGAAATCCGAAAGCTAACTGTGATTGTGGATGAGGCACAAGAATCAGACCGGAACTTTTTCCCATTGCCAACGGATCCGTGCGAGCTGGTCTACGTACCGTAGGCCCGGCCAGGCCCCCACGGCATTTACTCTACCGCACACCCTCTACCTATCGCACACCGTCCACCGCCTGCGGCAAAGGCGTCGGCTATTTTCTGTCGTCCCTCCCTTCGTTCCACCCATATCCGTCAACCCGCCAATCGTCCGTCCGCCTTCCATCTGCGAGCACACCCTCACCCTCACCCTCATCACCACCGAGAATCCCAGCGTCCCCCCTCTCCCTTCCCCCGCACACGTAATCATATCTCCTCTCCGAATCCCCGCATTTCCACCGATTTTCACGAGATGGCCTACTTAGTGATGCAAGGGGGTGAATTGACAGCGGCGCAGAAAGATTAAAAAAAACCCCAGAAAAGAAAAAGAAAAGAAAAGAAAAGAAAAGAAAAAGGAAAAGAAAAACACGAAGCAACCGAGCCACTACTCTACCCAGAGTAGATATTGGATACGCGTGGCTGACAGCTGTGCGTGGACCGTGGACGAGTCCGGTTGAGTAAGCGTGTGGTGGTGGTGAGCGTATGCATTGGGCAATTACTTATCCCCCCTTGATCGTGTCCGAGCTCCCCCGCCGTGTTTTGGCTCTGCTCTGCTCTGCTCTGGCCGCGCAGCCCCACCATCGAGATCTGGGCGGTCTCCTGTTCAGGTCATTTCCATTCCAGCCTAGTAGGAGTCTTGGGCGGTGGGCGGATGGTGGGATTTCATTACCAAAATCCTTGAAATCCAGCGAAGGGATGGGTTGGGGTTTCCAGGAAGTAAGGTGCTACCCATATTAGAAGCGGGCGCGTTTTTGAGGATCATTTCGTGATTCGTGAACGGAAAAGTGAGCCGGACGATGTGTTACAATAGTAGGTAATGGTAATGTGAATTCAATGGTCTTTACAGTAGCTACACGAACGAGATTACGGAAAAACCCAAAGGAGAGCGAGAGCAGAACGGAAACAGGTATGCATAAGAAAAACCGATTTACCCTAAAGTAAGTACGTAAAGAAAGAAGGAAACAAGGACTAGAATATTTAAGCTTGCAAGAAAGAAAGTACACCTGCAGCCAGCCAGACAAAATGAAAATGAGCGAATGCGAATGCGCCACATAAACGAGTGATACCCCGTGTCCAACAGGTCCCACACCATGCACACCATTCGAAAGGAAATGATTAAAGATAGAAAGCTAGCCACACTTTCAGCCTCCCGGAGGGGTAGACCCAACACCACCCGCAAGACACACACCCGTTGTTGCCATACACCGGAGCATGATATCCATAGCCCGGGTCTCGGTACCCACCATTCTGCTGCTGCTGCTGCTGCCAGCCCTGCGGGTACACCGGCGAAGCTGGAACCATTGCCGCGGTCCCGTACGGCAGGCCCTTCCTGTCCGCAGAGTGTTCCGCCGCGGCGGCCAGGAGCATAGCATCGGCATTGACATTCTCGGCAATAGTCCAGACCCTAACGCCGACGCCGCGGGCCTCGACCTTCTCCACGAGCTCCAGGATCGCCTTCCACGCCGCCGCATTCGCAACCGCCTTCTTCCCGCGCGCGCGCGTCCACCCATTCGCCTTCCACGTGTACACGCAGCTGGACAGCGCATGCATCACGCGGCGCGAATCCGTCACGAGCACCACGTTCCGTGCGGTGGGCCACTCGCCGCCGCCGTCCGCCCCCGCGCCCTCGTGCTGCAGCAGCGACAGCACCTGCGCCAGTACCTGCTCTGTGGCGTAGAGCTCGGCGTGCAGGCGCGTGCGCGTGCGCTCGTTCGCGCCGTGCGGGACCACGCCGGAGAGGTTGCGCGCGCTGCCCGGCCCGTGGAAGATCCCGTAGGTGAGGGTGTTCGTCGCGGCGTTCAAACGGCCCACTACGCTGACGATGATGCAGGACGGGTCGATGTACGTGTCTAGGCGGCTGTGCGCCGCGGATCGGAACTTGGATTTGTGTGGGAAGCTGGGGGTCGCCGGCGTCCAGAGTGTGTGTGAGAAGCCGGTGCACGGGCTGTAGGAGGTTACTACGGACGGGTCCACGATCGTCTGCGGGAAGCCGAGAAGTCGCGAGGTGAATGTGCGGGTGTACTTTTCGGGGTAGGAGACGGACCCAGGGGAGGTGTGGTGCCGGTAGTGGGTGGCCGATAGTGGCGGCGAGGTTCCGCTGGTGTCGGAGGATGAGGAGGAGATGGTTGAGGCATCGGAGTCCACCAGCGATGGCGGAGCGTGTGGTGAGTCCGGCGGCGTGGCGGTCTCTGCAATGTCCGAGTAGATGGAGTGTTCCTCCGTGACGGTATCCGCCATGTCCGCGTACAGGGAGTGTTCCTCCGTGTAGTCATCTTCAATGTTGTTTACACGGTATCGTGAAAGCGGAGGAGCAGATGAAGGTCTGATTGGTGACATGACAACTGACTATTTTTGATGGCCTGGAGTCTCTGCCGGATGGGATGATGAAGTGTAGATAGGACAATTTACAATTGAGAGGGGGAGTATAGCAGTTCAGTGGAAGAAGGGATTGATCAATTGTTTGAAGGAGCCCAAGCTGGGGGGAGTGTTCAGTGAGGGTGAGGATCAAGCATCACTTTAGTAGTGCTCCTTTTATCTCTGGGCCATGCAGTTGCACGCATGCTATGGTTATCGACTGACAGGTGCTTTCTGTCCGACAGACGGACGGGATTGGCCCATTGAGACGCCCCAACCTGGAGTTTTCCTGGTTCATTCCCGCCATCGTCTGTCAATACGGTCCAACACGGGAGGGAGGGGGGGATCAGAACGGAGTTGCTGTGATGGGGTGGTGGTGGTGGTGGATGCATGGAGTATGGAGTGGGTGTGCGCCAGTGTCTGCCCTGATTACCTTTCTCGGCCGGCCAATGTCCATCGATTAGTTACGGTAACGCCTCGGCTTGCTTTTTGTCTTCCTTTTTTGTCTTTCTTTTCCGCCGATGGGTGAGTTGCGAGTGCGATAGTTAGCCCTCTTCGCCGCGTGCCGCGCTTGTGATATCTACCGTATGCGTCTGTCACATCTTGTTTGTATGCATTATACATCATATATGCATAAGAGTACGGAGTATGTAGTGTATCGGAGCTCTTCAGGGAGCTACGGTAGCAAAACACGATCGATCCGAAGCAATGCACTCCTTCATTCATGCTCCCGCGTCTCCAACTTCTCCACTCGTTCCAATCCCCCCAATCCCCAACCGACCAGTCGTCAGCCAGCCAGTCAGCTTCGAGCGAGCGTGTGCTGTGCTGCTGTGCTGCATGTGCCATGACTGCGAGCGAGAAAAACTCCTCCCTTGGCACTATTCACAAGTGCAAAAGGTAAAAAGTAAAAGCAAAGGCAAAAGCAAAGGCAAAAGCAAAGGCAAAAGCAAAGGCAAAAGTAAAAGCAAAAGCGAAAGGAAGAGCAAATGCAAGAGCAAATGCAAATCAGAATTTTTGGGTTTGGACAGATTGACGGATGGAAAGATGGAAAGACAGACAAAGGGCGGCGAGAACGAACGAGCCAGCGAGAGAGAGAGCACCTGCTGCCACGCAATTTTCCCCATGGCCCCACTCCACCACCCCACCCACCACACACACGTCTCAGGGCATCTCTGCGCCGCCGCCGCCGTTCATGTTCCAGAATTATCGTCTGGCTTCTGGCTTCTGGCCGGCCGTTTCTGTTGCGGGAGGCGAAGGTAGCCACGCTCCCGCTCCCATCCACATCCACATCCATCCACATCCGCCTCTGCCTCTGCCTCTAGCTCTGGCTGATGAACATGAGGGGTTCGATGCTAGCTAGGTAGCCGGCTAGCGCGTGCATCTGCAGTTGAAACTTGCGGGGGGAAATACCGTTTGCACTGAGCAAAGCAGAGCACTCCGTCTGTTCGCGGCAAATGCTGGCGCTTGGTGGTGTCTCCTGGGTCCTCTCCTCTCGGTGTCAGCACCTACATATGTAGTAGAGTACCGTAGGTACGGTAGGTACCATAACTACTGCAGGGAGCGCAAGAAAACTGCAGAAAGTCTCTCCCTCCGCGCTCGAGTCTCGCCTATGCAACCAACTATGTGAATCCCGGGAATGAATTGAGTTTCACGGGTGCTTACTGTCGGATATGTTTACCGGAAGATTCGCTAGCCAGTAGCGACCATCCATCCATCCATCCATCAATCTCCAGCCAGCCAGAGCATGATGCACGGGCTTTCTGCTAGTTATGATCGCCAACTAACCACTGTGCATCGTGGTGGATCAGATATCAGGTTTACATTCACGTTCACGCTCTCTCCCTCCCCCTCCCTCTCCTCTCCGCCGCATACGTAACTCGAGGAAGGAAAAAGAAAAGAAAGAAAACAAAAACCCGGTCTGGCTCCGTTAGCTAACCCACGCGCGCGCTCGCTCGCACCGGCGATCATCAGCATCCTGAACGAGCGAGGGTGTCACACAGTGCACACACGGAATCTGCAGTTCTCCTCACCTTCTTTTCACGTGGGAACTTGGAAGGGTTGAGGGACGGTTTCCATCGAATCCATCTTGAAAAGAAAGCCTGAGTCTTGATTCGGCTAGAGGGAGTGGCGGCGGGCGGCGGGAAAGTGCACGTCTGAAGACTTAGGTAAGACATAAGACAGGCTGGAGTAACCAGTTTGAGCGGAGGATGAGGAAGAGGAAGAGGAAGAGGAGTTGAAAGCGAGCTTTTAGTCGAGTGTTGGACTGACTGTACTGAGTGTACTATATTGACTGTATTGACTGACTGTATTAACTGTCTATACGATAGCTTTTTTCAGCATAAGGCGGTTAGGTTCGTCGTATGTCTATAGCAGAGCGTGAATGAGAGTGAGTGAGTTTGAGAAGTGGGAATGAGAGTGAGTGAGTGGTGGTGGCGTCGGCGTGGCTTTATTGTCCAGTCCCCTTCCTCTCCAGCCCCTGCGGGCCACACCATCTATCCACGTCCACTCCACGTCTATGGACGGAAGTGGTTCCCGCCAAGCGAGCGTCTGGTGGCTTGTGGCGCTCCTGGTTGTCTCCTAGTCGTGCGATATAAACGGAAGCTATTGACGTCTGAAGCGACATATGATAGCACGGTGAAGGAGAGAAGAAGAGCGAGAATAATAGCCACCGCCGTCTCGCGGCTTGCGGCTTGCGGCTTGCAGCGCTCCACCTCCCAGTTGCAATATAAACGGAAGATACTGAATTCTGAGGCGTTGCCGCTATCTACCTATGATAGCAAGGTGAAGGAGAGATGTCAAGAGCGAGAATAATAGCCACCGCCGTCTGACCGGGAGCCATTTCCACGACGTGGAGGTGCGCGCCGCGAAGCTCACGCTGCGTCGAGGGGGGGAGATCGAGGAGATCAACCTCCAAGGGATCGTCTAATGCGTCTACCATGATAGGAAAGCACTTAGTCAAGGATTCCGTCCGTCTTTTAAGCCACCGGTACCCGCGAAACGGCTCGGCTCGGCGTGGTGAATCCACGCCGCGTTGTGCTGGAACCTACCTATACGTCCGAAAGACATCCCACGAACATCCACATACCGAAGCTGTGGAGGATACATAAGACGAACTGCCTTCTAGAAAAACAGCAGAGTGCAGATGATGGTGATAGCGTTCGGTAATAACCATCAGTATAACTGCCATTCTCTTCACAATACTTACGATTCAAAATCCCGCCGCGCCTCTAGAATCTAGCCTGCAACAACTGGCGGCGGCGGCGCACGACTCATTACCTTCTTCGTCTTCTTCGAAGAAAGTTGATATGATTTGTGTACGACCTCAAGTCCACTGTCCACAAACTTTTTGCTTTCGACTTTCGGCCTAGCCAGCCAGCCCGCCGGCTGCAAACTACTCTAGTTGGACGTTGTGAACGCCCTCGTTTCCCCGCTCTCGTTTCCCCCGCTTCTTGCAAGCCCGCAACCACAAGCCCTCGCCGACAGCGAACGGCACACAGGACGCCCATTCCGTCTGGAGGACCGGTGATTAAACGTTAGGCCATGCCTAATCGGACGCCAGGCGACGAGAATAAGCCTTTTCTTATTGGTAGACGCCCCCACACGCCACGCGCCACGTCCGGCCATTCCTTCCTTCATCCCTAACCATCACAGACGTTGCCGGCCCGCGCACCCCCCCTCAACAGACTACAGACTACAGCCAGACCCTTGTAGATGTTTTCGAGGCCATCTCCACCATTTTTCCGAATCACATGCGTCGTCTTCCGCAAGCAGGTGGATGCCTGCCCGCCTGTCTATCTGCCTGCCTGTCTAGACGCAGCTCGAGCATCGCCTGCATCGACAGTGGTCAACGCAAAACGCAAAACGCCGTTCGCGTCGGGATCAATGCTTCTGGCTCTGGTAATTCCCACGTCCTCCGGGGGAAATCACGTCCTCCGGGGGAAAGGAGAAAAAGGTCAAAATCCCCCACGAGATGAGATGAGATGTGTCTGCAATCGGCTGGTGAGAGGTGAGAGATGGGAGCCAAGAGGACTACGGCGATGCGGTGCGGGGCGCTTCTCTCGCATCCTGTCGCATCCGCGGCGGAATGTATGCATGTACTATTACAGGTATAGCCGCGCTCTGGATACTGCTATGCAGTACGTACATACTATGAGCACACAAACGCTCTCGACGGACAAAAGTCCAGCTCGGCCGCTAACTATGTACTTACTTTTGGAATTTTAGTATATCCTAACCGGGCCTCTGGAGACTATGAGGAATCGAATTCGGAAATGGATGTATACTTCCATCCTTCGGGGTGAGGTCCCCTTCTACCAACTCCCTCGCAGTAGAGCTTAGGATTTACCGGTAGCGGTGAGCACTCAGTACCGTACCGTCACACACGAGGGCAAGTTCATGACCCCGAAAGACCGACTCTGCACCTTTATCACACTCAGAGCTGACGCAGCGAGGAGCCCCCCTCAGTCCTGTGGATCCAGCAGAAAAAGGCTCCGGCGCAAGGCAAAGCCCCAAGGTCTAAAGGGTGAGAGCGTGAGTGCGCATTTGGGAGAGTGGAAGCAGATGGACAGACAGCTACCATACGGTTCTCAATTACCGGTACATATACGTCCGAAATTTGCTGCTTTTTTGCACTGCAATCATAGTATGGTGGGAATAATTGCCAGTGGCCTCTGACATGCTGGAACGATATTCCGAGTTTGGGGATGGTGGGCGCTGGGCAGCTGGGTGGAAGGGAAGGGAAAATACGAGGATGGAAGTGCCCGCATCGACTGTGCGCCCCAAGATCGAACACTGCACAAATGTGTCGTGTCGGTCGCCGAATTGAATTAGTGATTTTCTCTATCCTCAAGTCAGATGGACGGCAGATGCAGATGCAAAAGAGCCCAGACGAAAGCCCTCGCGTTAGCCTTTGCGCGAGTGAGAGGATGTGCAGTTAACGGCTGCTAGTTGGGTCACTGGGTGATATTCCATGAGATAGTGGCCTGTCGTCCACGGTCGACCGTGATGTTATCGTGTTGGAGCTAGAGTAGATAGAAGCCGGAGAAGTTGCAATCGTCGATGATAATATGTACTGGTATTGTACTCTGCTAAGTGGCGCTGTATATCCAGTCGAGTGGTTGTCGAGCGTTTTCGCTTCCCAAAATCGGCAAGCATAACTCAGCCCAGCATCCAGAATGTTTAGGGTTGCTGTAAGTTTAGCGTGCTTAGGTTTCTTAGCGCCGCAGAGCCGCTGTGCAACGTCAAAAAATCACGCCGATCTCCCAACAGGCGAGGGCGGTTTTCCACCGTTTGCGCAACAAGGACAACACTCATCCTCCGCCCATTGTTCCACCGCCAAACCTCAGCAAATCCACCCAGCGATGCGTTTACTGATAGGCGACGATGTCGGTCAAGCTAAGGGTATGAGCGCTCTTCTCGCCTCCACCATCCCCCAATCGCTACTCAATCCAGCTAACAACATATCGCGAATAGTGATCGAGACTTCTGAAGGGATCGACACCACGCTTCCTTCGTCCGCGCGCGCAACGACTACTTCGTTCTTCCCGCCTTCTCGGACACGGCCAATCCAATATGCCCTGCGTGTGCGGTATATGGGTCGAGACGGCCTCGTAATTACCCACCCGCCACTCCCCCGATCAAATTCGAAATCTAACGTGACATTCCTTCCAAAGGTAGCAGTCCTCTCGAAAGGCGGACTCCTCCGCATCTTTGATCCCAGCTCGTCCCCCAGCAGCCCCGAAATCCTCTTCTCCTACACCCTCCAAGTCCCTGCCGAAACCAACACCGTCGCACTGGGCACCGACTCGGAACACGCCACGCTCTACGCCGCCACGGCAGAGGGAGTCGTCCTCTTTCTCGATCTGACCAGCGGCCACGAGCGGATCGTCCAAGTGCCCGGCCCCATCAGCACTTTCGGCGCATCACCCGATCTCACGGCAGTCGCCACCGGCGGAACCGGCAAGGACGTGGAAATCTACACTTGCGCTGCGAAGGGCGAATGGGCCTCCGCCTGGAAGGCGCGAAACGTCAAGCTCACACACCTCAAGCTCGAGGTGCCCGTGCACCCCAGCCAGATCCATTTCCTACCGGCGCAGCAGGGCACGTGGCGCATGGTGGTGGCGACCAACTACGGACACGTCAGGGTCTACGACACCGCCGTGTCGAGACGGCCGGTGTTTACCGCCGAGCCGTCGAAATCTGCCATCAAGGCGATGCGGATACACCCCGACTCGGAGATCCCGGATCCAGCGCTGCCGCTGGTGGCGACGAAGGGTCTGGAGGCTGAGAAGGCGTGTCTGGCTGCGGATCTGATGGTCGTCTACGCAAATACTTCGGCAACGTTTAGCACTTACAGTCTACGCGAGCGCAGGGAGATGGGGCTCTTCAAGGGACTGGACGGAACGGTCAATGGTATCTCGGTGGATACGGACAACGGTCTTGTTGCGGGTGTCGGCTTCGGAAGGTACCTGGCCGTGTACGATGCTTCAACGCGTGAGCTCAAGTCGCGGGTATTCGTCAAGACCGCGGGCTGCTGTGTCGTGGTTCTGGATGGCGAGGACGAGGCCGTCGAGGAACCGGAGAAACGGGACGAGGAGGAGGACGTGTGGGAAGCTATGGAGGAGGTCAAGACCGCACGGCAGCTGGAGGCGGAGGCGGCGGAGGAAGAGGGGGATCGCGTCATCAACGTCCGTGTCAAGAGGAAAAAGGATGGCGTGAGACAGGAAGCGGGGAAGAAGCCGAAGATTTCCGAGGACCAATAGGGTGGGCGAACTTGGGGGAATTAATTTTCGGCGTCTCTGTCGTTTCATTGTAACCTCTTGTCTTGTTTTCTTTGGCATCTGATTGCGAGACTTCAAACTTTACATATCATATCATGACTGCTGGCTGGCTGGCTCTGGAGACAAAAGCGAGGTGAAGACGGGCAGACATGTCACATGTGCCGGTCCGACTGTCGACTGTCGACTGTCGAATGTCCGATGTGACGCATGGGGGTGATGTATCCAAGAAGTAATAATTACTGCGTTCGATTGAACGGCTTTTTTCCATGGATTCATTGGTCCGGCTTGTTGGGAAACCTGCTCCACAAGCGATCACTCATTCCACCCATCAAGCCTACCTACCCTAGATCTTCCTTTATCCGCCAGCGTTCCGGACGCCGCGCTGAGGCGGTGGTGGAGCGTGACTGGGCCGTTTGTATGTAATTGAGCGCTGGCGGCTGCACAGTGCAGCGAAGTGGTGCTGGAATTTCCAACGGAGACGGATATGGGCGAACGCCGTATCCTCGTGGGCCTAGGTGGTATGTAGCAGGATAATCTACATACATTGACTCACAAGGTACGGTACTCCTCTCTTTGCCATTCGGTGCAAAGTGGTGCCTCAACGGACTGTTGAACGGCGAGGTCCCTCCATACGGACAGGGTAGGACATGACAGGACAGGCAATATTTTATGAACCGTTGGTGCGTTCGCCAAAGTCTATGTCTATAATGAAAAGGCCGTATGCGAAACAAAATCTATGACCCCCGAAGCGTTCCATCAACGTTCTGGAAACCTCTCAAACACCTACAAGGTAGGTATGCTTTCCGGACCGACAGGCGACAGGCGACAGGTCAAGGCACGGCATGGCATGCACTCACGCACGGCATCCACGGTCCACCCTACGCAGTCCACCATGCCGTCCCCCGACGGCCTACCCGCATGGACAGGGTGGCATACTCACTCTACATACCTACTCGCCTTGTCCTGCCCTGACGTGATATCCAGAAATCCTACATACCACGGTATACACAAGGGGAGGTGGGCGGTTCGGCAGCCACCGGGCCCGAGAACAGCCCTACGTACCTAGGTACTCTGCTATATACACACGTATGTACTTAATGTATGTACATGTGTAAGTACATGTGTATTTCCGGGCTTCTAGAAAAGAGAAAGAAAAAAAAGGTGATGTAACTAAGCACCGGCACGGGGCGGAAGGCTGGGAGGCTGGGATCAGCTCGTTCGAACGAAGTTATTCCCTTCCGGTAGCTAGGGGCGAGAGATTGTGTGTGTGTGGTGCGTGCGTTGGGCGCGTGTGCGTGTGTTAGAGACCGGGTTAGTGGGACGGAGGCGGCGGAGCGGCGGAGGTCGCTATGCTACTTACATGTACGTATTACGAACTGCCGGCCGGTGGGTGGGGTGCTTGAGTAAAGCAATGAGAAGGGCTCGGCGGGCTTGGGTGGCTTGGAAGTTGGGTGGCTTGTAATTGGGTGGAAGTTGTGTGGTCGTCTGTGGAAGTTGAAGGCTTGGAGCATCGTGATATCGCATGGTGGATTAACCATCAAGGCTAGAAATAAATGTTCCCCCTTCGGTCACCGATCATACGTTATAGTTAAGCCGTATGCGTAAAAACGGGCTCAGGCACATGCACAGGCACAGCCTCACAGGCACAGGTGGTTACATATCTCCACTTGATAACCCGCAAAACATCCGAAAGCACATAAAACCCACCAATGAATCTTCCCCGTTCCGCCGAGAAAGAAAAACTCAGATCGAGTGACGTCCCGAGATTGCGTGTGCGGTGCGCAAGTCGGCAGTTGATATTCGGAACTAACTAACGTTAGTTACCCCGGAAGTAAGCTGCGAACGTGAATGTGAACGCCGGATCTCCCAACAGAACCATATATTCCTGCACGCCGTACCTGCCCGCCGTACCACTACATACCTGCCCGCTGACAGGCGCTGACAGGCGGCAGCGGAAGCAGGTACACTACATTTCGCGCGGCATGTGCCAGAGCAGAAAAGAAAGAAGAAAAAATAAATCTGCGGGATTTTGCGAGTTGGCAGGATGTGTTGACGGCACCGAACGTGCAGACCCAGGCACCGGAGCTGCACATGGACGTCTGTCGGTCGGTCGGTCGTGCTGATCCCTGTGCAGCAGGCCGGATTCTTCCTCCCACGTAGAGTTAGTAGGTATGGCCGCGCACATGCTGGCACTCGTTGCGTGCTGCGTGTCGAGTGTGTGGTGTGTGCGCCCGCCCGAATCGTGTTAATCGATCATCGCGGCGACCTGATCTTCCCGCAGACTAGGAGGCGGGGGAAGAGGGGAACACCTTGATCGGCCAACCGGGCGCGCAGAAGATTGCCGTTAAGTTGAAGCCAGGTACTCTACATAGGTATGTAGGCGGTGGCTGATCAAACTCCAGAGTCCGGCCATGGCCGTGCAAGTCTCCTGTGCAAAGCCGTGCTCTCTTAACAAACCGTGGGGGTAACTACCTGGGTATATCCACGCCCAATACCGACACTTACGGGTGCTTCTAGAACTCCAGCTGTGGACCATGGTCTGATTCTACCGGCTCAGGGGTTCACTTCTTTCACATACGGTACCCACAGTAGGTGTCTAACGCAAGACATCGTCCTAGGTATCTAGTTACCAACAACTATATCTGCCGTGCACACGGGTCCGGTAACTACTCTACACCACTCGAGCACGTTTTTGCCACGTGGAGTGCACAGGAAGCTGGATTCTTAGCCGGGTGGAGACGGGCGTGGGTGATCGAGCGCGTGGGCAGTGGGCGGTGGGGCCGTAGTTACGGGGGGAGGAAACGAGAGGTTTCTTACGTAGTCCGTGTACAGGACAAAGGCTGATGATGACTGCAGTTTGACTTGTGGCTGCCGTGTTTCGGGAGAGTGTAGAGTACTCTACCGGTAATCTAGTTACTACATACCTAGCTGATATAATAATAATCCTGCGGACAGATTTGTGGCTGGTGAGCATGGCGTTGTCGGCAGGATTGTTTGATGAGCATTTGCGGGTCCCGACTCCCACCGGCCGCATCCGAAGTCAAATGTCTGAGTCGTAAGCCTGCCACCATCAGCATGGCCTGATTCTCGTCTCTTACCAGCGGTTGAATTACCAGAAAATTCCTGACAGGTGTCTGCTTTTTTTTTGTTGCGAGTGTCTCGAAAATCGCATGATCCCATCGCTTAGGTTTGCCAGGGTTGGTTGGTTTTGGGGGTGGCCATAAAACTGTCCTCCGTCTCGTCCGCCAGCCAGGGAGGCTAGCAGGGTAGAATCGTAGATCTTTCGTTAAGGGAAAAATTTAAAATATCCCGGCCGGTGTTGAAACTCCGCTGGTGGTTGTGGAGGCTGAATGAAATGCTTGGGGTGATTGTGTTCGTGACTCGACTGGCAGGAGGGCATCATGAGATCCGGTCTCCAGACTTATGGATAGTTAGCAGCTCATGTTTCTACGAAACACGGTGATTGACCAGCGAGGCAACTCCCAGTGTCGCTGGAGTGTTACAATTGCATTGGAAAGTACTCTACGTATTGTTGCGAGGCAAAATCTTCGCCGAGAAATTGTGTATGCAGACATGAGCTGACATTCGGTAATCCGTCCATAGCCAGGCCAGCCCCCCCACTCCTCGCCTGTAGGAGTTTCCGCAGCAGTCCGTTCGCCGCGCTCATCATCGAGCCTTTGGCGAAAGAAACCTGTGGAGGCTTCAGATCTACTGTCTCCAGAACCCCTAGATCTGCTGTTTCCACTGCCCTGTATGAGAGGCAACTGATTCTCTCGCCGTAACTAGTATGTACGTAGGCCGGTGAGGCGTGATGTAGCTCAAATTCACGACACGTGGAGAACGCGCGAGCGACTTGCGTTGCGGGTTCCCTGAGTGGATCCGGCCTCCAGTGTCCAGGTATATAGAGAATCTACTTTTACTATGGCTGGGTCTCGCCTGCAGACAGCATATTGGTGGTTGATTTGGTGGTTTGGGACATGCAAGTTATGTACGTACCCAAGCAAAGACATCTACAGAATATGTCAACGGATTCCTTACGTAGCATGGATCCCTGATGACAGTGATGTTGTGCGATGCGACTAGGCTCCTCAACCCGACATCGCAGCTCAACAGTGCTAGCATTACGGATGAGGCTCGGTGGTCTTTTGTTCTCCATCTACATGCCATATGTAGTATAGAATTTGGATCTTCACGATAAAAGACCACGACAAACCAAACGAACCACCCCGCGAGCTTTGACCGAAGATCCGCAAAACGTTAATTGATCATAATATAACTTGGCTACGACGGCCATTTAAACACTCCAAAAACTCAAGCGTGTCGTATTAATGGGAACTATAGAAACACCGCCGACAACGGTGCATAGGGGCTTCGGACTTTTGGCGGATGAACTGAACAGGGTGGTGTGCCGCAATGGTAGGCATAAATGCTGGAGGAGAGACATATACATGTATGAATGCCTCGATAAATAGATACTGTTAGTCTGTTTGAGCTGCCGGGACATTGACTGCCCGGATTTTAAGGGCTTCAAGGCACATCGTAGACAGTCAATACATATAGTAAAAGTCCGTGGCATTGGCCAATCCATCTAGAATATGGACGGTCGGTCTTCATAATGCTTCCGAGGTTCTACTCTACCGTCCGGAGAAGCCCAAAGGAAGGGAAAAATCCCCAAACACAAAGCCCGGAAAATGGGATAAATGGCGGGTACCGGACCAAGGATCCAGAAGCGAGTTCGATTCGTCGACCCAATGGGTGCAAGAGTATGGTAGAGTAACAACTACCGCTTGACTGCGTCAGATGCCGACCTTTCTCGACTTTCTCGTATGATTCCCATCTCAGGCTCCAGACGGGATTTGTCGGGAAAGCCCACAAGCGCTGGAAAGAGAGGCTCCGAGAGGTTACCGATACCTATAATGGTGGTTTTTAAAATTTCCGTACTGTGTGGATCGATCCAGCCGCTTTTTCGTTTCCGCACGGCTTCCGCTGTAGCTGTCATGAGTTAGGTATGCGCGCAAGGCTAGTGCTTGTATCTGTCCCGGATGAAGTGGCGTGTCCTCGGTTTCAAAGCACCATGGGTGCCGGATGGCTACCCCTGCTGTATTTTTTTTATTCCTAGGCTGGAGATTCCTCGAACGACATGCCATCGGTGCATCGGTAAATCGGTATCGTAGGAGCTCTCGAGGTAGCGTACAGTTGTACATGCTTAAGGACAGTGAGGTCGGCAGCTTATTGCAACAGCTCGTCCCTGTGGTTTTTTGAATCGCTCCCAGCCAACTATTCCGGCAAGCCACAACCGCACAACAAATAAGTCGTTTCCGATTCCGAGTGCCTACCATACGTACTGCCTAAAGACGGAATATAAACACTCACACGGCCCTCCTCCTTTTCTTGCTAGCCCTACTAGTCTCCCGCAAGATACATACTACATAGCTTTTCGCTCGCCATCTCCAATCTAATACATACTTGGCTCAACAGTACGAACATCCTCCTCGAGCAAAAGACATACCGCATTCATTGGACGTCCTCCTTGACTATCGATTCCAGTGGTGCTTTCGTTCTTCTCTGAAAAAGACGAATACTTTTGTATGAAAGACAACATGTGGGCCGACTATCCATTCCCGTTAATATCCACTCCGGCTGTTGACCGCGGCGTATGATCTCCTCCTCCTCCCCTTCTTCTGTTTTCCGGGCATATGGCTAATCGTTTTTGTGGATATTCAGTACACCGACCAATTCGTCAAATCCTCGTCGAAAATGGCATTAACGCACAACGTCCTGATCCGAGGCATGAACGCCATGTACCTGCAGTGCGAATACGTCACGCCCGACACGACCTACGACTTTCTGACGTTCTGCCAATGCTGGAGCGAGATGCTGCACAACCACCACGAGTGCGAGGAGATGGCGTATTTCCCGGTAATAGAGAAGGCCGTTGGCGTCGAGGGACTGGCGGAGTCGAATTTGGACGAGCATGAGGTGCGTACTCTCTCTCTCCCTCCCGTCCTCGGATTTCGTGTGTGTACAGTCGATGTCTGACGAACGTTTCCATCAACACAGGCCTTCATGCCCGGACTCCGTAAGTTCGACGACTACGTCTACAACGCCACGCCCTACAATTTCTCGGGCCAGAAGCTCTACCAGATCCTCGACTCGTTCGCCGCGGCCCTGCAGATGCATTTGACCGACGAGATTGTGTGGATCCTCTCGCTCAGCAAATACAAGCACCTGGACCTAGCCGCGATTGATGTCCAGCACGGCATGTACGTGAAAGCGCACTCCTCGCGCCTCCGGCTGCTCCCGTACCTCCTCACGAACCACGACCTCACCTACGAAGGCGGGATTCACTCCTGGTGGCCAACGGGCAACAGAGCCCGCGATATGTTCCTGCGGTATATCTGCACGCTGTGGAATCGGGGCGCGTGGAAGTACAGTGCCTGCTCGCTCGGCGGGAAACCGAGGCGGCTCCAGGGGATAAAGTGGGATAAGCTCGACGACGTCACGGTCGAGACGGCTATGGTGGAGCTGGATATCGAGATCGGTCCCAAGCCGCCGGATAAGGCGTATACCAGGATTTCGAAGGAGGTGCCGCATGTCACGCATAGCCCGAGTGAAAGCCAGTTCAGCTCGAGGAGTGTGACGAGGCTAGTTTGAGTGAAGATACGAGTTTGAGAGGGTCGGTTTCGTTGGCGTTTTTCTTTTCTCATTGGGGAGGGGTTTGTTTTTGTTTTTGTTTTTGGAAAAATGGGGGTGTTACGTGATATAGAAACTCAGCTTTGTGATAGACGGCAACAAACGGTCGATTTTTTTTACCTAAATAGTTACATATTTACTTACTATAATAGTACAAGTACATACATGAAAACGCAAGATTCGAAGCAGAAGACGACCACAAAATTTCTCCCGTGAAGCCATGAAGATGTGAGGATGATGTACCTATCATAGTAGGTGTGTCATAATCTTGCCACAACCGATCAGATATCATGATCACGAACATGCGCAGCAAACAACCGTCCAACCGTCCACTACTCCACTTTGGTTACGTGGGGCGCGGCAAATCCAACAGATAGTGAACGTATACCGGAGTAGGTAGTATTCCTACCTATGTACTTTATCAACACTCAGCCGGCGAAGCGCCCACTCCTTCCAAGTTTCTAGGAAAGACATCCCACTGCCGGATGGACTTCCCTCCTGAGAGCACGCGTAACAACTGGACTACTATATACCTATGAACGCCCCACGTTAATATAATGCGGCAGCATTAACCTGGTTGAAGGGCTGGGTGCACGTCCCTCCTCCGTCAGTGCCTACATATGGCCATCGGCCGGGACCATTGTTGAAATTAATGCTTGAGTTTATGATTTTCAGGCAGAATGTGCGGTAGGATGTACCTATCGGACCGAGATTCACGATATTGGGGCAGATGTGCTTGGTTACTATTTACCGGTACTAGTAGTAGATAGTAGTGCCGTGGTTGCGCATTATCTGTAGGTAACAAGTATCCATCAGGCCGCTGCATCGGGCACTCGGATCTGACCGATCTCGTCGTCCTCCAAGTTCCAGCCACGCCACTCAGCCTGTCATGTCCGGTCCCGGTCCAAGTGAAAATGGAGGAACAAAAAATCAAAATCAAAATCACGATACTATGATAATAATCATTCAAATGAACCTCCACACCGGTTTACCAATAAAACTAGAGCTTGTTCATGGACTAGTACTAGGTAGTAGTGCAGTCGGCCTTCATCACGGCTCGGAACAGCACTGCCACTATCTTTCTCGCCGCTATCCTGGGATACAGCCCTGCCGATATATGTCGATATAGCACATTCGGTCGCCGCCTCCAATAACAACCAGTAGATATGTAACTATTCACTAATGATAACTCATGATGGCATCGTTGCGGTTGAAGTCTGCATACCTACTAGTAGGTACTGGTTATCTCGTATGCGCTTGTTCGCGATGCCATCACGATCTAATGGTCTCTACTATAGCCGAAAGAAAAGGGGTGAAGACTGCCGCGTCACTCTCCAGGTTGCTGGGATCATGGCCATCACTCGCTCTCGGCGGCTCGGACCGGATTAATCAAAAGCAAACTAGTTCACCCTGGGCGGATCTGCACGGATGCTGACACCTGTCGTCAACTGCACAGGGACCCCACAGTGAATTCCTGTAGCAGCGGAAGTGAAAGCAACATCGATATCTATCTACATCTCCATACACCGCAGCAATGACCTCCTTCTCCCACCTCAATGACGCCGAAGAAAAGGCCAAGATGCTCGGCGGCGAGCTCTACCATGCCTTCGTCCCCTCGCTCGTCGCCGAGCGCGCACGCTGCAGCGCCGCCTGCCACGCTTTCAACTCGGCCAGTGGACTATCCCGCGTCGAGCGTGCAAACATGTGGAACGCGTATGTACATCCGGCATTGCCGCCGCCGCCCGCTGACGCGTAAAGCATCACCAACACGCCCGCGTTTCCCGCCGACACGCCCGAAGACGCGCTCGAGAGCGAGCCCTGGGTCGAGGCGCCAGTCCACATCGACTACGGAACGCACGTCACGTGCGGCGAGAACGTGTTCATCAACTTCAACTGCACCATCATTGACACGTGCAAGGTGACCATCGGCTCGCGCACCCTCATCGGCCCGAACGTCTCGCTGTACACCGGGAGTCACCCGCTCGACCCCGATGTAAGGAAGGGCACGGCCGGGCCCGAGTACGGCAAGGAGATTCACGTTGGTGAGGATTGTTGGATTGGCGGGGGAGCTACGGTTCTTGCCGGAGTGACGATCGGGAAAGGCGCGGTGGTCGGCGCCGGGAGTGTTGTTACCAAGGTGGGGGATTCGATTTTCGCGAGGAAGGGGGATGAGTAAGAGGTTGTTGTGCTGATGGCGCTGGGGGACTACAGGATGTTCCGGAGTACGCAGTGGTCGCTGGAAACCCGGCGAAAGTTGTAAGACGGCTGCGACCGGTCGAGGAGAGCGTGCCACGTAATGACGCGCGGGCGCTGGTGAAGCGGCTAGAGGCCTTGGAGGCGGAGGTAAGGGATATCAAGGGACAGCTTGCGGCTGCCGCCAAGTAAATGTCTCGGAGGTGGAGGAGGTGAGGGATATCGAGATTCGAGGGACAGCTTTGCGGCTGCCACGAAGGAGTAAGCGGCTAGCGTACTGTGATTCGGGGGCTCTTGAGGTGGAAGAACAATAGAAAGACATGTATATTCCGACGTGTGAAACCACTGCATCTTTTGGTATGTGGCGGAATAGATGGAACTCAGTCAACACATTTATTCTCCACTGCTTGTCCACTCATCTTTCCTCTAATCCCCATAAACCTTCAGTCATTTTCAATATCGCAAAACATGTCCGCAACCTCCAAACCCCATATCTTGATCATTGGCGCAGGAATCTCCGGTCTCTGCTTCGCCCTGCAGATACTCACCCACGCAAACAAATTCTATACCGTCACAGTCTTCGAGAAGGCACGCGGCCACCCCCCTCTCTCACCTTCATCGCACCGCTGACATCCCCCCACAGTCAAGGACCGCGGACCCATCAACCGGCTTCTGCATCATCCTTTCTCCGAATGCAATCCGCGTGCTCCGCACGCTCTCGATCGACCTTGTCGCGATCGGAGCAGCGCGTCCACTAACACACACCCGCTTCCACTCGCACACCGGCTCTCTCCTTCTTTCGGCCGACCACGTCGTCCCCGGCGATCCCGAATCCCTCCTCACCGTCGAGCGGGGGAAGATGGTGCGCGCGCTTCTCGACCGCCTGCAAGAGCTCGGCGGAGTAGTGGAGTGGGACCACAAGCTCTCCAGCATCTGCACGGACGAATCCACCTCCACCGTCGAGGCTGTCTTTTCCTGCGGGCGACGGGCGACAGGTAGTCTCCTCGTGGGTGCGGACGGCACGTGGTCCTCCGTCTGTCACAGCATCCCGCAGCCGCACGCGCCGCTCTCCCCGCCGTGGAGCCTCCCCATCCTGCGCCTCCTCCGGTCTCCACTCCTCCTCTTCCGTTCCAAGGAGGAGGCATGGATGCCCCAGCCCACCCGCTGGACCGCACTCTACGGCATCACCCCGCCGCTGCCGGACCACCTCGTGACGCCGTACGGCGCGCTGCAGCTGTACGTGCGAGACGGAAAACCAGGCGCGTACGCGACGTACTCGCTCGGGGGCAACCGGCTATTCTGGATATGTTACGAGAGCAGCCGGCCATCCGCCGCCGCGTTTTCGGGCGAGGATGCGGAACGGACGAGAGATGAGTTCAAGAGCGCGGTGTATGGCTCCGAGGGCGGGTTCACGCTCGGCGACGTGATGAAAGATAGTCAGATGATGAAAGTGCGCTTGTGGCATGCCGTGTTTGAGAACGTGCGCGACGGCAGGGTCGTCCTCATTGGCGACGCGGCGCATCCGCAGACTACGTTTCTTGGGCAGGGTGCGGGAAGGGGTATAGAGGAGGGAGCGGAGCTGCGGAGGGCGCTGTTGCGCAAAGCGTGGGGTGGGGAGGGGGCGGGGGTGGGAGTGAGTGGGTTCGTGGACGGTGCCAGGACGAGGGGGAGGGATGTGGCCGAGATGGGGTGGTGGGCGGGATGTACGGTCATGGGTGATTGGTGGTGGAGCAGGAAGGCGAGAGATTGGCTTCTGAGGTATCTTGCGTGGGACGAGAGGAGGTACAAGGAGAGATGTGCTAGGAAAAGGGAGGAGGCGAAGGCGAAGGCGAAGGATAAGTCGCCCGCGCTGGCCACGGTAAAGCCGGTGAAGCGGCAGGAGAATTGGCTGCTCGACTACTGTGTCCCCGTGGAAACAGAGGAAGATTTCTGGCTCGCGCAGAAGGCGAAGCTGAGAGAGGGCGAACAGGCAAAGGGATGGTGCAGTCGCTGTGGACAGGTGCTGCGAGTGCTAGCCTATGCACTTGTCTTCCTGCTAGGCGTCAAGTTCCTGCTTGTCATGAGGGTGGACGCGTCCATAGCGTAGAGTAGGCGTCGGTAATCGGCAATCGGATGGTTCGTTTAGTTTTACGGATATGAATGAATTTTAGCCATACCATCATCAACCCGGGTCCCGAAGTCGTAGGTAGTCCATTGGCTCATCGTTTAATGAAGCGGCGAATCGAAACGTGTGGCCAGGAATAGCCGCGACAGTCGTCGTCGCGGATGAGGGATCATGGATATGAAGTTTTTGTGGCGTGAAAATCAGTCAACATCCAGAGCTTTTGAGAGCGGGGTAAAAACATGGCGAACTCTATCGTGAAGAACCGCAAGAACTCTGAACCATAATCAGCGACGTGAGTTGTGATGTCGTTAGGTATGACTTACCTAGCTCGACCGCGAACAATAAACATAAATTTACGGCCTTTACACGGTAGTTACATAGCAGGTGGTTAAGTATGACACCCAGGCCCCAGGCCGCTCCTCCTCTTCCTCCAGGCTCCTCCTGGAGGCTGGCTCCCTGCACGTAGCCCCATGACACTCCGTAAATTCATCACAGATTCATAACATCATGCGTGCGCCATGGGTAGGGGGAGAATGTCTAAGAATAACCCAACATCAACATGGTCTGTGCCGTCTTTTATGCTATCTACCCCGCCCGACAGTGGGCCGGCTAATTGTGCCCGCACGACCGCCTCAAAAAAAACCGAAAAAACCGAAAACAAACCGAAAAGGAATTTTTAATCCTTTATCGTAATCCTCGTAAATTCCTCGGCGGCTATCACGGCGGGGATACCCAGCATATCCTGCGTGCTCAGTCCGCAACCGCAATCGATTGTGAATAGGTATCACATCGGAAAGGGATGGCGGGTGTTACAACAACCGTTGCAGTTGCGCTCCTGTCTATGCTGCTTGCTGCTTGATGCTTCTACTTTAAACTGCACGGTAAGCACTTGAGCGGCGGCGGCGGCGGGGAGAGAGGGGCAAGTAGGGCGGGGGTTGCTCGATCCACGTGCCGTCACTCGGAGACCAAGGGTGAACCCTTGTGGATGCAACCGTTTCTGCCTTGAATCTCATCCTTTCTATGATGAATGTACTGCTCGGGGGATCAGGGGTAAGTGCACATCGACAAGCGGTAACCAGAACTCTTCCCCTAAGTACTCACTGCTTCCGCGCGCAGTGTCTGCTACAGGCGTGGATGGCTGCTGCTTGTTGGTTTGTTTGTTCACTCGTTCTGCTTGTTTTGCTTCACTTCCGCGGACTGTCGATACTCCAGGTACTAGTGGTAATAGAAGTAGTAGTAGTAGGTAGTAGCGCATTGTTGCTTGCTACATAGCCAAAGAATCCGAACGGGCCGCATCTGCCCACCCCTGGGCCCTGGGTCATAGGCTTCAGCCTTCAGGGCAGGACTCGAGTCTTGGTCCAAAGTCAAGACACTCGAATCCATGTTTCCCAATCGACGCCGCCACTCAACACTCTGCAGAAAAAGAAGAATCCTACATACCTTACAGCACGGCCGGTAGATGCCATGCGCACTCTGATAGGCCAGATTACCTACCTAGACGGTGGCAGAGATGTTGACCTCTGGCAGAGATCGGAGGGGAGAGTCCCATTCGGGCACTAGCAGCCGGAGATACCGCGCCTACCTGCCATGATGCGCATGGGAATGGGGATTGTTTGTTGATACCTAAAGTTGCTTTTTTGCCACTTGGGTGGGGTTCACTGCATTGAAGTCTTTAACGATTGGAGGTGGTGTCGGAGACATTAGAGTAGGTATGATCTGTGGTGAGGTTGCACTATTGGCTGCATGTTGAATTCGCCACGATGAGCATTTGCAAGTACCGTGGGTATTCAAGTACCTATGCAAGAGTACATATCTCAATGAGAAAGAAGTACTCCCACGCGCCATTCACTTACCATCACTCGTGCCCTGAATTGTTCCCAATCGATGAATAATCGTCACGACTCACGACATCACAATTCGCTCGCTCACGACAAAACCCCGCACACGGCACCACAACCAACCGATGTTACACAGCATCTTTGCAGCACATCGGGGATTGATATCGATGACTGGCTCGCTTGGCTGCTTAAGCGCTCCGTTGCTGACGCTGCATGCAGTTGCAGTGCGCTAGGCAGATGCTAGGTAAATAACTAACAGGGACGGGAGGCTAAACTGATGTGGGGCTGAACCACCCCCCTCCCCCCTTCGAGGCGATGTTGGTGGATGATGCCAGTTTCTTCAAAGTAGGGATGGCGGTGCATATCATGTTGGATTTTCTTCTGCTTTTTCTTTCCTTTTTTTTCTCTTTCGGTGGTGAGTTGAGCGTGGATCTGTTCACCGGAGGTAGTTGTTGGGGGTGATATCTGGGCGTGATATTGGGCTTGCTGGCGGTAACGTCGTCTTGAACACCGAAAATGGGTGGGTGATCGATGGCGTGAATGCAAATCCTGACCAATCAACGTGGGGCTTGTTGAAGTGAACCTTCTTCAAGCAGCCTTCCGGTGGCGACGAACTTGCTGATTGGCTCTCAGAGAGTTTCTCTTACTCCCGACGGACAGCCGGTATGTATGTACCTTATGCACACGCCGCCGCCACTATTTACGAAAGCCCCTCGATCGTGAATACCTGAAGTTCCTACACGCCGTGAGAGGTTGAAACAAAACGGGAGACGTTTGCACGGTGTGGTGGCGTGCTCGCATTGCGTACCTACATGAGTGCTCTCGACGGCGGCGCGGCAGGCGGCTTTGCGGGGAAGATCGGGACACCAAGAAGCTTGTTTTTATTTTACCTAGGAGGAGGAGGCTGGTGGATCGGGCAACTTGGTCTTCGTGGGCAGTGCTACCGTATGCGTTCGTCTCCCGAGACCTCCGCCGTCTTCGGAATCTTCACCATCTGGGCCGGCCAGAATTCCTGTGGCTGGCTGGCCAGTGGCCACTGCGGCCTACCGTGTTGCACAATACATATAGAGGCAATCCTTCAGGCTGAGTTCAGCGCTTCGGTTTTTGCAGCATAACCCAACAGTCCAACGATCCTTCAGGAAGACACCTCTCTACATACCTACATAATTACTCTAGATCTCTTGGGCCTTCACACGCATATGCATCTCTTCACATCCACTCTCCAGGCACACTACAATTTCGAGGGGATTTGGATCTTCAAGATGGGGCCAATCGATGCCTATTTTTAGCTAGGAACGACGGAGGAGGTAGTACTATATTGTAGAGTACATATAGGTAAGTAACGACTCACGAGTGAGTCTGGCAGCTGGTAGGAAGTTCCCTGGCCGTCATTGTCGGTCTGTCGTTCTTCACAAATCTGTAGATACCTCATACTCTACATCCTATACCTACTCTTCTTACGTCTCTGCCCTTTCCTCCAGAGTTGCCTTAGGCCTGTCCGTGCGGTCGCTCCCATGCATCATGCAAAGCTGGAAGTTCGCCAAACAACTTTTTTACAAGGGCTGGGATGCAGTTGGGGTTGGGCGAGTCGGCGCGTAGAGAGTGAAGCGAGTCCGTCTGATTGGCGGAGCCCGGTACCGCCCCCACGAGTCGACAGGGAAACAAAGTGGCTCACGAGCCATTTAGCTGCCCGTCCCTAAGTCGAGCAACTCGTCGTGCCTATCAGTACGCAGATCTCACTCCCATGCACCACCAAGCTTGCAGAACTTCTCTGCCGAAGTGTGGAACTCACCCAATCGCTGCTCTCCAAGCGCTTCCTGCGACCCATCGAACGTTGGCTTGGTGGCCCCCCCGCCTTTCCTACTCTTGCACGCCGCTGTAATGCGATGATGCTGTACGTTTCTTGTGGTGGCTCAGGTGGGCTGGCCCGCGAGCATAAAGACCCACCATCTTCCCCCCATTTCGAGTTCTCTTTTCCTTTCTTCCCCATCAACGAGCAAGTCTCTTTATCATTCACTCTTCAGGTATTCGAGCTAGTCTCTTACCTTTTTTTCTCGCTTTTAGTTTATTCCCAAAGACCCGGTGTCTTAATTCTTTTCACTCTACCTATTCAAACTTTTTTCCAAGTCTGCAAGCCAGCAAATCAATATCATTAATTTACCCAATCTTCACGTTTACTAATAAATCCCCCCCACCTAAACCTTACTCATCATGTCTACCTCTGCTGCCGGAACCACTTTCAACCTCCGAACTCCCGCCCACATCAAGAGCTGCCACGTCACGGGCTCTTGGGACAACTATGGCAAGCGTTACCAGATGACTCCCGACCCCGCTGCCGGCGCCGGATACTGGACTTTGACGCTCAAGTTCGGTGCCACCATGGCTCCCTCGCGCTACTTCTACTACGTATGTCATCTCGACGATCTGGAGACGGGCCTTGTCCTCCCTACCCCCACGCTCGTGAACATCCCCGCTAACGCACCCCGCAGTTCATCCTCGATGGCTACTTCGAGTCCCACGACCCCAACATGCAGACTATTGTCGAGCCCAGCCGCAAGCTGACTCTTAACATCCTCGACTACGGTATTCCCTCCTCGCCCGCTTCGACCACCTCGTCCCGCTCGTCCCGCCGTTCTTCCCCCTCTTCCGTGTCCTCGCCCACTTCGTCCGTGCGCTCCTCGAAGCGCTCCGGAGGTGTCTACGACCTGCCCTCCCCGCTCGCGGATTCGTCCGAGGACTACTACCACCACTCCAACCATGGCCGCACTCGCTCTCCCCACCGCCAACAATCCGAACTATCGTACCTCGTCCACCCCCAGCCCCGCAACCCCTTGGCTGCCCACAAGCTCACTCTTGACACCAACTACTACGCCGGCCGACCCGTCAGCGTCATGACCCACGCTGCCACCACTGCCGGCGCCGGGAGCCCGTCCTCATCTCGCTCCGGATCTTCTTGCGGGTCGCTTTCGTCCCGCGGATCTTCCCCGCTCACTCCCTACGACAGTGATGATGAGGACCGCTACGTGCGCTACGCCCCGGCCCCCAAGGGTGCTGATGAGGACCTGTCCTACCGTCTTGAGCGCAGCCTCCGCATGTAAATTCGTCACCGATAAATTTGAATAGTCTCAGCGCCACTGCGCCGACTGTTTCTACCCCGACGATAATACGAGCTCAGGCCCTACCGACTGACGAATCTTATACGATTATTTTGAGTGTGTGTGTGTGTGTGTGTGTGTTTGCGGCGTGCATAGCGTGGAAAGGAGCATTTGAACCGGAGTTTGGGATATACGGATATATGGGACGATCATTGCGGATACCGAAAGGAAATACCTACCAACTAGTACTACTACTGCATAGCGTTGCAATACAGACCTCGCGGACCAGCCATCGCAGCGACGAAGAACCAAAAAAATTTGTTTTTTCATGCGCTTGCTTTTTGTGTTGTCTGCCTTTTTTTTCCTTTGTTTTATTTTTGATGTCATTATTACTGCCCCTTGAGGATCTGTCGGGATTTGGGTTCGGTGTTTTGTTCGGTGCGATGGTGGGGTCGCGTTCGGGGACGCCTGGATGTTGGTCTTTCTGTTGTGGTGTGCGGGATCCGGGTCGGGTGTCGGCGGGGAGAGGGGGAGGAACGGGCATTTATGTGTGTCAGTGTGTTAGTGTGACAGTGCGCCTTATGATGAATGGAATGAGATCAAGTTCGAACATTTGGACCGTGGCGGTGATGTGAATCTAATCGTCAATAAGGCGGCGCGAAACTGCGAAGTTAAGCGGCAGGACAGTTCCGTCTGACATCGAGGAGAATTCATACGTCCCTGTCTGAGGCAGGTAGACGACAATAGATGGATGGTAGACGGACACTTGAACACAGAATATCGAGCTGTCTATAGTAGAACGCCAAAAACCCACCCAAAGCAACTAAACTCTCTCACTCCGACGCAGGAACTCTTCTGACGCAGCACCCTCCGCACTCCCCGGAAGCCGCGGTGATGGTAGATGAAACAGTCGTACTCCAGCAATTTACTAGCCGCGCCGCGCCGGTGCCAGAACCCCCCCCTTTCAGCGTATCAAAGTCCCCCTTGATCAGCCCACGCCTCACCAAGCGCCACATCGAATCCTCCATAAGCACAGCTCGCCAGTCAGTCTCAACCACACTCACCCCGGGCGCGGCGCGGTTGTACTCGTCCTTTGCGACGAAGACGACGTTCCCGCTGGGATTGGGATTTGTGCACGCGACGAAGACCAAGTGATGGCGGCGGAAACCGCGGCGTAGAAGGCCTCCGCTGCTCGCTGGCCTGGCTGACGCAGTCGCAGCAGTATATATGGAAGGTGGCGGGGAAGTGTTATGGCTGTGGTGCTGCTCGCTGAATGTTCGTTGGAAGGATTCGCTGTTTTAATGGTGAGAATCATTCAACGTCGGTCACGGCATGAGGAACCTCTGACGGGACTCAACTAAAAGGGGTGGCTTGGATCGAAGATACTGTGGAGGGACTATGAGCTCTACTAGTGTCTATTGAGATTGATTTGCGCAATTCATCTGCCTACCTAGCTAGGGATGACGACTGATATCGAGTGACCTTTAATAGTGGGAAGTAATTGAATAACCGAGTGCAATTGGATGAGTCGCTACTAAGATAGTGGGGTACCGTATATACTTGTCGGCCTGACAAGTCGTTCAATCGCGCAGACTTAATCCAATCGCCGGGACCTTCAAAGCCATAAACTGCGATTTCTAAAAAGCATCTACCTATTGACCACCCCACTAACTACAACAATCAAGTGTATATCCATCCGCATCCTTCTCTACAGACCTCCCTTCTCCAACCCCTCCAAGATGAGATCGTAAACGTCCACCGCATTCAGGTGCAGATTCAGAGCATGTCCCATCTCGGGAATGACGTACGCATCGTAACCTCCAGCATTGGGAAACGCAAGTCTACCTGCCGCCTCTACAGCCGTAGCGTTACAGTGGCCACCACAGAACACCAAGTCGCGGTTACCCGTCAAAACCTATCCGCATCAGCAACTGTCACCGGCTTCTCCGGGGGGTTCTCACCTGAACGTAACCAGTGAACTTGGGTGCGCTTAACGCCACCGTCGTGAGACTCAACAATTCCCCCACAGTAAACGCACTCTTCCTCGCCTCGCCGTCGAGCAGCACCTTCGGGTCGAAGTTCGGATAGTCAAAGAACACCAACTGGAACTGTGTTGCGCTAGGCCACGCGAGGTACCCATCGCCGAGAGCAGCGAACCTTCGGGGGCTAGCGAGCCTTGCCAGCTGCGAGCTGAACGCGAGCTGCGCCGCGACGAATTCCGACAGCGTGAAGCTGTGCGCGAAGCCCGTAAGGATCACTCCGTCGGAGAGTGCGGGCCAAGTGGCCACGAGCACGTTGGTGAGTATGCTGCCCAAGGAGTGGCCCACGTGGACTACGCGGCCGGGCGCGGTGAGGAGCTTGGAGCCGCCGCCCGGAAGCACGCCCGCCCGGAGGTGCTCGGTCAGCGATTTGAGGATCGCTAGCTCCACGCTGACTTGCACCTCGAGGTATGCGTCGGGCTTGGACGACCCGCCAGTCGTGATACGGTCGTAGATGAAGGTGCTGTAGCCTCGCTGGATGGCCGCGTCGACGTAGGAGTACTTCGAAGGCTCTTCCGGCCAGTCCCAGTAGCTGATGTCTCTATGTATCAGCGGGGACATATCTCGTAACCCGAGTATTAGATCAGGGGGTACCAACGATTTTTCACACCCAATCCCGTGCGTCATGATCTGCAAGATATCCTTCCTCTCCCCAACAGCAGTGGGAATGCAGTACCGCGCGCTGATGTAGAATGTTTTATCGACCCGGTGGTCTGGCAGCGCGGTGTAGTTCCAGGCGAACGCATCGGACCGCGTGAAGTTGAGGACGAGTGCTGCGGCCAGGAGGTTGTCGGTCACTGGTGCGACGGGGAAGATCTTGGTCATGGCAGAAATCTTGATGGGGATTTGGAGATCTTCGCAGGTCTTTGCGGGAGGAGTCGAAGGGGCGCCGACCACTCCGGTGGCGGCGGTGAGAGCGGTGAGGATGGCTGCAAGTGTCAACTTCATGTTTTGATGATGAATGAGATATTGATTCAAAGCAAAGAGCTGGTAATTGCCATGTATTTATGTACATACTGGATCTCGCGATGCTTGGTCCGCAAGTCAAAGGTGACGTTTTGCTGCGGACCGTGTGTACCTTTCTTGATCACCTATCGGCGTAGATGATGCATTCCAAATATCTCGTATCGTTCATTCCAAATACCACATCAGGCCGTCAGGTACTGCTGGCCCGATTACTTAACATGGACGGCATCTTCCGGTGAGTAATCATGATGGCTAGCAGTAAGTTCGTTTGCACAGCCGGTTTCTGCAAGATTCACTGGATTAAATATGAAGAGATGTAAAGACATCTCCTTCAGAGCTACGTGAAGACTATCGCCGGGAATCGAAAGTCGAAGGCCTAATACCGGCCGCTTCGACGTGCATCGCCGCGAGGGGACAGGTTCTGGTTGGTGCACATATCTGTCTTTGAGGAATCGTTATTTTTTAGATGCAGTAGGAATCTCTAGGTGCGGATGTACTGTCAGAGCTGGCCGAGTAGGTAGGCTTGTCAGTGCGATTGAGTTCTTGCGACTTCATGCTATCGTCAGCCTACTACTGCATCATGATATATCACCAATACTGAAGCCCCGCACTAGACAACGCAAGAAATAGGAAACGGAGAAAAATTACGCCGCGATAGTCTAGATAGGCTGAATGCGAGTACGATTGAACAAATAAAGGACCAACGCAACAAATTGGGAATCTCATCGACCGATAGTGAACCGCACGTTGGTGCGTTGGATCAGTTTGGTTTTAACTCCAGCGGAGTACCGCGGCCAGTATTCCAAATACCACCTAACATACATGAGTCGTCCGATATGTATCCGTGGCGACCGCTAGTCTCCAGGACAGGGCTTGCACACGAGTCCGCCTTTGGGCTCACCTCGTCTCGAGTCACGACGTGTCACCGCATACTCTCAGTCCCGAGGTCTCCAGATCGAAGGCCCTATTCCGCAGCGGTAACTAATGGAATTACACGGTGAGATAGGTAATGTAGAAGTGAATCGGACCCACAGGACTCACTACTTGTCCGAGCCATGGGCGCGAACCGGCCGCGCGGAGCGGAGTGAACGGGATACTAGAGTACTCGACGGCAATGCCGCAGATAACCCAAGGAATGACATTTGGTAATAGTTGCGGCTAGGTTCCTCGCCATACGTTTTGCTTCCTCCCTTCGGTATTTTCACTCCCACGGCTGGTGGCAGCGTGAGGCGTGTCACGTGATACTACCGAGTGATATCGAATTAGTGCTCCCTCTCTTATGCTAAAAACAAAAACCTACACTACCCCCGGTAGGTGGCTTGGAAACCCCAAGAGCTGAATGCAAAGGTCTTTCACCCAGGTTTGAACCCGGACCTTTCCCTCAGCTCGCCTCGCCGATTGCGTGGCCCTAAACCACTAGACCACGCAGGGGTTTTTTCCGTGCTGGAAACATGAATTCGATACCTATAAAGTGGTGGGTGCCCCCGCTCGGACGGACAACTTGCTACCCACAGTAATGTTAGCATGGTATTCATTGCGCTGCCAGTTCTGTATCCGTGGCGAGGAGCAGTCGGGAGAGACGCTCTCCATGACAAGTCCACCGGCAGGTTATTCGCGGCGGGGTCAGTGCTGTATCCACAGCGAGGCCAGCAAGCTACTCGTCGTCACACAGCTGGCAGGCATCGTTTTCCTTCGCCGTCCTTCGATGTGTGATAGTCCCTGGTCTTCCTACAGCCGGTACGCCTTGTCATCCTATGCTGTCCTACAGTACGACTCCTCACTCGCCGCGGATAGCACACTATCGCCGCCGTGGAGACTAGCAGAATGTCTATTGAGTATGCCGGCCAGCCATATGAGCTCCTAAAAGCTATATAATATCAACGCCAGTTGATCAACTGTGCCCCTTTAAAGCCTATCTGGAGCCTATCTTGAGCCACAGTTAGTGCCGAGCCAGTCTAAACCCGTGACCATTCATTTTAAACGCGCCATTGCCGTAGTTATTGTGGCTTAGGGATTGGAAAACTTGTCGCGCACAGAGATGTAGCCCGGTCATACGCAGGCTGGACTTCCTCGGAAGCACCAATGTGGGTAGAAACGCTCTAGCGGCGGAGGGCGGTGCACGCCAAGTGGGGCGTTGGGCAAAGAGGGTGGGGTGAGTTTGGGGTCGGCAAATGAGGGGTGCTTAGCATTGCGTTTTTCATGATAGAAGGGGGGTAGGATTCATGCTATAGATGTAATATGCGCCCACGATCGATTGTTGTACGGTCGTGGAGCATGCCCTGATACGATACCAACTGTATCCGCCTGGCGGGAAACAACGTCTTTTTACCCCACCTTGAGCTATAATACGCAATTCGATAGAGAAACAAAAAGAGAAAGGTGGGGCGCATCTATTATTATTCACGAGCACACCCTACCTCCTACATACTGGAGGAGAAATTATTCGAAAGAATCGAGCCGTAGCCGGGCAATTATGCAATGGGGAAGGAGAATTTAGGTATGTAACTCTAGGTGCGGATCTCCGTTCCTGCATCGGTAGAGATATTAGGTATATTTGCTTATGTACATACGCGCTATCTTTGAGTCTATCGTTGAATTCACGTGGAACACGTTCCCCACATGCCGATCTCACATGTGGGGATTTATAGTGGTGTTTCGCCCCACGGACAATACCTGGAGTTGGAACGGATTTACAGGGCCCACGACCCGGTAGCGATCTGGAGAACGATACCTACGTAGATACCCACCGCTAAATAATCAGAGGTAGTATTGAATATCCTCATAATTGTGCTGCCACCCCACTATACATACCACCAGGACGTACTTTGGTTAATGGCTGCGAGTTTAGATTCGACGGGGCCACCGTTACCACCGTATCCTCGGATGGAACTGATACCCGCAAGGCTAAGGCAACTGGCCCTGAAAGGCAATATATCCAAGTCTCATCATTTAATAAAGTTGTTTCCAGTCGATAGAGCATGGGGCTGTAGCCTTTAGCAACGAATGCTAATAGTATATAATTTCACATCTTGCTCCTCATCTCCACCAGCACGCTCATTACCGGAACCAAAAATGTTCGCTCCAACAGCACTATCACTCTCTTTACTGCTGTCGGTAGCATCCGCTACCCTCATCAGCGGCGCGACTCGATGCCAGTCCTTCGGCGCCAGCCTGAACATGTCCGACGTAAAGGTGCTACACACGACGTACTACACCGGCAACGAAACGATCCCTCTCGATGACTTGCTTTGCAACAGGCCGGGAGCTACGGTGGGAGTCCAGACTGCACTGTGCCGCATCGCCTTGCTGGTGGATACCTCGGCTACCTCGCAGGTCCAACTTGAGGCCTGGCTCCCGGATGAATGGTCCGAGCGTGTAGCTGTCGTCGGAAATGGCGGTCTCAATGGCTGTAGGGCTGCTGTGTATTCCCCCTCTGAATAATCCGGACTGACACTACTATCTATCAGGCATCGATTACAGTAACCTCGCCTACCTCTCCTCCTTCAACTTCGCCGTCATCGGCAGCAACAACGGTCACAACGGCAGCAGCGGTGACGCATTCCTCAACGCTCCGGAAACAATAATCGACTTTACGTACCGCAGCGTACACGTCTCATCGGAGCTGACTAAATCGCTCTCTGCGGCATATTACAACACGAGCCACAAGAAATCCTACTACTTTGGCTGCTCGACCGGCGGCCGTCAGGGTTTCAGCTCGATCCAGAGGTACCCCGAGGACTTCGATGGCGTCGTGGCTGGTGCTCCCGCTTTGGATTTCAATCACCTCGCTGGCTGGGATGGGATCCTGTCGGTAATGAATGGCGCGCCCAGCGGAAAACCCATCATCTCGAGCGAACTATGGGAGGCGGTCAGGCTCGATGCACTGAGACAGTGCGACGCCATCGATGGCGTCAAGGACGGCATCATCGATAATCCGGATCGGTGCCATTACACCCCCGAGAAGTTGCTCTGCACCGGCACCGGCGGGAACACCACGGTGTGTTTGACCACCAAGCAGGCTGAGATCGTCAACTTCGTCTTTTCGCCGCTGTACGGACTCAAGGGGGAGTTGGTGTTTCCACGATACGACCCCGGAACGTCGTTTGCTGGTCTAGCGATGATGGTTTTTGGCGGGCAGCTCTTTCCGTTTACTCTGGTATGATATGTGCCGTCACACCTTGGTTCGACGTTCGCATGCTAACCAACGGAAACAGGATTGGTGGCGTAACACAGTCTACAACGACACGACGTGGACGGGCGAGGGCTTTAACCTGCAAAACATCGCCGATGCCGACAGGATCGATCCTGGCGGCGTTAGCACCATCAACCCGGATATATCCGCGTACCAGAAGAGGGGAGGAAAGGTGGTTCACTACCACGGTATGCAGGACTCGGTGAGCATAACTCCCCCATGGTCGGTCACTCGCATCTACTAACGGAAACCAGCTCATCCCCTCGGGGAACTCCCGCCGCTACCACGCCTCCGTCCTCCGTACCCTAGGACCGAAGAAGCTGAACACCTTCTACCGATACTTTCCAGTACCGGGTATGGACCACTGCGGCGGCGGCCCAGGGCCCAACGTGTTTGGTCAGGGCGGACTTTCGGCCGAAGGCGTTCCTAAGGATGCTCAGAACAACATTGTGCTGGCAACGGTTAAGTGGGTCGAGGAGGGTGTGGCGCCCGAACAGCTTATCGCTACCAAGTGGAAGGATGACATAGCGGGCAATCTGCAGAGTCGACGGACGATCTGTGCGTGGCCGAAGACGAGTGTGAAGAGGGGGTCGGTATATGTGTGCGTGTAGGATAGGCGGGAGATGGTACATACGTATTGGTTCCATATCCTCATGTAGGCTGAGTCGCGAAACATACCTGTACGGATCCTGTCAATAGATTTGATTGCTCCTGTCACTTCCGAGGCGATGTTGTTGCTCCTCTGTCCGTAGCGGACTGACCCGACGCGTGATACCATGCCTTCATTGCCACCACGTACATGCGGAAAACCCGGTTGTGTTTCGATTGCTCGTCGTACCGCTGTCTACCGGCGATGCGAATTACTTCCCATCGTGCTAAATGAAGCCTTCCATAATGAAGGTTGGTGTCTGTCCGGGCGGAATACGGAGGAAGATGGGTGGGCCGGTCTCTTTCCGGGCGCTAGTGACCATGATGATGTGAGTGATAGTTGCGCATGCTCGCGGAAGGAATGTTGATTGTAGGTGTGTAATGACAGTAAGGAGCGTACAGCTTAAAGGGTATGGAAGGAAACAGAACAAAAAGCTCATATCGTATAATTCATGCCTTGGTGACGGAGACGATAGCTGACTGAGGATAACGATGGTCGAAATGACTACCTGACCTAGTAATTCCCAAGCAAGGCGACAGCAGCAGGAGGCGTGGCGTGAATGGCTTCGACTTACAAGTGCTCGTTGAACGTTGACCATCGAATTCGCGTCAAGGGCCGGGGGTGGGGAGGGTGCGGCACCTCGCAGGTCTGTGCTTTAATGGGTATACACCGATGTCGTAAAGCATCACACGTATTACGAAGTTGTAGATACCGAGCTTGGACGGGTTCATAATCGCGCGCAGTAAACTCACAGCACGGAAAAAAACCCGTGTAGCCCAGTGGTCACGCACCCGGCGAAGTTAGCATGGACATCAGTCCATCTATCGGGATTTCCAAGCCACCCACCGGGGGTGGTGAAGGTTTTTGGTTCAAGCCACGGTTGCGGTTTTTTCTTTTGTTTAATCAGGAAGTGCTTGCGGCCTGGGTAAATCATGGCAGATTACAAGTCTGTTTCAACCCAACCGTTGGCACCGACCGCTGGCCACGAGCTCGATACCAGTTCCCCATCACTCTCCGCTCAACCCTCCCCACTCAACCCTCCCCACTCAACCCTCCCCGCTCAATCCCAAGTCCCACCTCGGCCTTCCCCGCCACCCCTAACTCGCAGCCTAAGCATGCCTGCTCGACTTTCCCCGCGGGGATCATCCGTTCCCAGCCGCGTATGTAGCCGGAAACTCGCCGTGATCGTATGGTGTCAGCCGGACTTGCCGGGTCGAGTGACACCGAACGTTGTAGGCAGCGGAACGGAGCCGTATTAGATGGCTCTTCGAAGTTGAATACAACCTCAATTTCTTCATCATCTTTCATTTTCGCTGTTTTCCTTCCAGGATTACGTCACTGGCATCCTACTATCTATGGGCTCAGTCGTGATTCATGATGTGAACGTGAAGAGCTTTTGTTGGAATTGGCAAGTAACTACCTGCCGGAGGCGCGCTGCGCGCCACTATGAAACGAATCCATCCGATGATACTAGGTGGTTCAACTTCTACGTATCTACCCACTATAGTACATCGCCTAAACCTACACCCACAACTACACCAAATACCTAAACCCGCCATCATCCTGCTCCTCCCTATCCAGCTTCTTATTCTGCCTAGTCAGATACCACTTCAGTATGGTAGCAGCAATGATCGCCAACGCGGCGGTAGCACAATTCATCGCCATAGCCTCCACATACCGCGGCGCGCTCGTCTTCGGGTACGCGTACGCGGTCCAGATACTGGTCGCATTACTGACCGCATTGATCGCAGCGATGGCGGCGGCGCGCTTCGCGGGCGGCCGCGGTAGCGTGTTGGATATCCACGCGAGCGCGACGACGTACCCGGCGTAGACGGAGGGCACCATCAGCATCATTGATAGGTACCGTGGGGCGGTGGTCGTCGTTGCGGCGGCGAGGATGAACGCGACCATGGAGAACCATAGCGGAACGGTGATGTGGAAGTACCGCTCGCCGGTCTTGTCGGCGTGCAGGGAGTTGCAGAAGGTGGTGATTACTGCGAGGGCCTAAACGGGGGGTTAGTTGTGAAACGCGGGGAAGAGTGCGGATGACTTACGTATGGAGGTGCGGTGAGCAGCAGGGAAATGATCCGGTTGTATCCGAGGGTCTCGACGACACTGTAAATCACTCAGTATCAGCCTGACATGCTTCCGAAGAGGCCTCGAGATTTCGCATATGCACAGAAGACGGACCTTGGGAAGAAATTTGTGACACTCCCGCTGGAGACGATTCCAAAGACGACGCCCATGAGCATGTACGTTTTGATATCTGTGAAAGCGAGCTTGAGGCCGTGCGTGAGGTTTTCCTTTTGACCGCCTTCCCAGTCGGGTTCGCCAATATCTTCCTCGAGACGCCATATAGCCATGTCCTTCTCCTGCACCGACAGCCAGGTTGTGCTCTTGGGAAAATCGGGAAGGATGAAGAAGGCGCTTGCTGCGATCACGACGGTTACCGCGCCTTCGATCAGGAAGAGCCATCTCCTGGAGGGAATGTCAGATCGTCACGGCGAGATTGTGGGAAACGAGGGGGCGAAATTGATTACATACCATGCGAGGAGCCCACGCTTGCCGTCCATACCATCGGTGATTCCCGCCGAGATGAGTCCGGAGAAGGCACCGGATATGAGCGATCCGGAGTACAGCATCGCGGTACGGAAACCCAGTTCTTTACGCGTATACCACATCGAAAGAAAGAAGAGACATCCGGGGAAGTAGGCGGCTTCAACAATACCGAGTATTAATCTGTACGCTGCGTCAATAACGTTTGGAAACACTATAGCACAGCTGGCAGGGAGGAATTCTATGCACATACCGACACGCCACCAAGCCTCCGAAGCTGCTGACACCCGCCGTGGCACCAGAAATGATTCCCCAGATGATCATGCAGGCGGGGAGATATATCGATGGCTTTCCGATCTTGTCGAGGAACATGTTCGACGGGACTAAAAGGATACATTAGTCGTTATATTCCGTAACCGGAGGGAGGGGAGGCTGCTCACTCTGCATCAAGATGTACCCGACGAATAGGATCGAAACACTCGTCTATGGCACAATCACAGGGGGTCAGTTCGAGGATGGAAAGTGGACGGCACCGGCGGAACACACCTGATACTGCGTACTCGTCAGATTCAGTTCGTCCTCCAGTCCGGCCAATCGTGCTGTTTCCGAATTAGCCATGTCCTACTACTACTTCTACTTCCGCTCTCCTCGCAGAGCCTGGATACCTGCTTCGACCTACATACCTGCGGCGATGTTGTTCCGGTCGAGATAGTTCATGATGTACATCAGGATGAGCATGGGCATCAGCCTCCAGTCGATTTTCCGCACCAATGCAGCCTCGAGCTGACGACGTTCCGCCTCGCCCAGGCCACGGATCGACTCCGGTGGAAGTCGCTCGTTGTGAGCGCCGCGGGCAGATTTGATGCTGTTGGGGGCTGACATGGCGATATTCATCTGGATGGTGACTGAGTACACTCTACACTCTACTCCCGTATCTCCCTCCATCCCACGCGGGGAAGCCAACGATTCTTATACTCCGCTAATTCCGAACAAGGCAATATATTTCCCCTCGGCTAAAGATTGACAAACAAGCATTTCGCATGCACAGTGTGTGGGGAAAAAGGTTGCAGGGGAGGGCCGTCATCATCATGGCGCCACCGGGGAGCGCTATCGCTTCCCGGGTAGGATCGACGGCGGAACGATGACCGATGTGGAGACGTTCCCGGGCCCGATGCGCGATGAACGGTGGTACTCGATCGGAAGAGGAACCGGAGCCCCGAACGCGAATGCGAACGGATGGCCGGGGGCCAATACTATCCGGACGCAACTCGCGGCGGGCTTCAACCCCACTCCACACGCGATCCATCACCTCCCCAAAGAAGCACGAAACAATTACCGCCGACTCGTCGTGATTCACCTGCGCGAAGCACGCCGATGACCAATGCCGTGTCCACCATCACTTTAATACCTACCCCCCAGCCAGCCAGCTATGAGCAACACGGCGATTATGTTTCGCCGCCCTCGTCGGATTCGTGGTGTGGTCCCCTGGGGGTCTGGACGTTGACACATTCATCCGCCAACGCCGCTCTCTCTAGGTATGCGGAGGGGTTAACTAGGCACCTGGGGGGTATTGAACGGACATCTAACCGGTCGGTCTTGCAGTGTACGTACAGTCTGCAGTTTGCAGTCGGCGATGTGCAGTACGATTACAACTGCGCAGATTGTGCTGCTTGCGTCACAACACGGCACTGCAGGTAGTTAGCCGTGTAGATTGGCCGACGGAACACTCCCGGCGCGCGTAATCGGTTTTTCCGTTCCGGAGCATGTGTGGGGTAGACCCACTTCACAGACGTGTGTTGATGCCGACCATCTTCGCCAGGACACGGCAATGTGCGATGTACCCATGAGTACATAGGCAGCCCAATTTACACACGGAAAAATTGGGTTCGCGAAACGTCCTCCTCGACATGGAATCTCGGTTGGTATCGTCGCTACTAACTATATATAGGCAGCAAGGCGGCAATGGCGAAGAGGTGCGGGGGTGCGCATTGCTTCGCTCCGTTGAGTCGATGTTAGAATGAAGCAGATTGAAGGTGGGTGCGAACAGCAATACTCTAACTACGGTACTGTACTCAGTGACTAACCACAGTCGATGCAGGATGAGAGTCCCTTATATGGGTACGTACCGTACTCAAGTAGTCATGGAAACAACGCGCTGATGAATGGGCTATCGTTCGCTTCCAAATTCACGCGGGAGGTGGGCTAGTAGATGTTGGCGCGCTTAAGACACGTCGAAGATCGCGTTGTCGATGGTGTTGTCTGTAGCGCGCCGCCCTTTGGTGTTTCTGCGGCTCTTCAAACCTCCTGGTTCCTGGCCCGTGTGCTGTCGACAAGTGACTAAGGCCCTGTTCGCGCACCCATTATCTCATCCTGCTACCACACAAATCTGAAAACCATTTTTGCACTCATAATTTGAGGTGGCAGGTCTTCGCTACAACCCATTATCTCACCCATTATGTCAAGTTGGGCTGCGCCACAATAAAAAAAGGGGGAGTTTCCAACCTCAACCTCAACCACTACCATCACCACGATAATTCAACTGGAACAGCAAAAAAAATTATTGAAGAGACCGCACAAGTGTTTACTGCTGCCTCGGCAGGAAGCTTGATTCCTCGGCAGAATTTGGAACTTCTGGAAGCTGAAGACTGGAAGCGATGGGTTTTATTACAAGTGTCATCCGGGAAGCATTGCAAGAGTCAATCAACTCACACAGTTACAGTATTTGAAAGAATGACTCTAGTAATTGGAGAAATGACTAGTCAACGAGCAGGAATGACTGACGCGACTCCCAGCCATTTTTCCATTGCATTTGAGGCTGAGGCCCCTATTGCATAATGATTCACTTCCGCTCGCTCCACTTCAACTGCTCTTACTGGCTAGCTTCTATGTAGCACCTGCAGTAGATGTGGCGTCGCAATGTCTAGCTCAGAAGTCTGGGCAACGGAATGACATTCTGCTAAAACCATGATGTCGCGTTAGATGCTTGGCACATCCACACATTGAGATGATGGCGTGCGCGAACAGGGCCTAAGGCAGCTGTGGTTGCGGAAAATCCATCACAGCCGTCTTGCAATGGTACCAGTAGTTGACGCAACCCGGCAAAGGGAACGGCGAAAATGAAGAATGATGGAGAAGTTGATGTTCTATTCAACTTGGAAGAGCCATCTCATGTGGCTCACCTCCGCTGCCTTCGACGTTCAGTGCCACCCGATCCGGCTAGTCCGGCCATTACCACTAGTCGGACCCACCCCCGGCTAGCCGCTTCTCTTATCTTATCTCGTCCATCTCTCGTGATCTCGTCCCCCATCTATCCTACATATCGCTCCTCTCATCCCTTCCCTCGTCAAAATATTTCAAGGCAACAGGGGGCGAGTGGGGGAAAGTGGAGGTACTCCGAATTTGGTTACTAGCAAGTAACAGCCCATCAGCCGGCTGAAGAAGGTTGGCTTGTGGTGCGGGCATAGGTGGTGCGGCGGCGGCGAAGGCTCCCTTAGTCGGCCGCACAGTCGCTTCACCATACCACTTGACATCAGTCCGACATCATAACCTACACACAAGTTGCCTCCACCCACCTGTCTCTCCACCCCCCCGTGCCGTAGCTCGGGGCGCTGGAAACAATCAAAGGGATAGTGGTGGCGGACAACAGGTGGCCCCTGGCTTACTGATCCGTGTGCTGTCGACTGAATTCGGCGGTTAAGGTTGCAGAAAATCCATCATGTGGAAGACAATTCCAATTCCATGCAATCGGTTCAGAAGCACGAGAACTAAACGCAGTTCATGTGCCACTCCCTTCTCTCCACCAGTACATATTGCCATGATCTATGGTAGATGGACTGTTAGAAAATCTTGGAAGACCCAACTAGCGTCGGAAATCGTATTTCGAAATTAACTTCATAGTTCACACATGCAATCACTCGCTGCTTAGGGCAGTTCATTCCTATTATTGAGCTCGACCACTACATAAGACCATACATACCTGCTCAGATATATGGAACACGTATATGAACGGAGAACGCTGAGAGGTGTGAGCGAAATGGAATTCAAAAGTAAGAAAAACGATACATTTTGTGATGGAGAGCGAACCAAGACGTCATTGACCGCTGCTCGTCACCTAATCTCTGGCGAACCTTCCCGTCACCAGCCCCAGCAAGCATCCCACCATCAACAGACCCCAAACCGCGATAGTTGCGACCCCCAAGACCTCATTCATAATCGTCAGGCCCCTAGGCCAATCAAACGCCCTCAAGAGCTCGTTGCTCGCCAAAAAGAATGCCACTGTTTTCGATCAGCCTAATTCTAGGTACGCGCCGGTCATAGACAGGGAAGATGACTTACCGTGAGCGAAAACGACAATGAAGCCCTCCAAGATCTCTCCGCCGGCGCGCATCTCGTTCAAACCACCGATACACGCACACGCGGCAATGACGAACCACCACAGCGCCAGTCCCCAAAAGACCAGGCCGAGTGTCACACCAACATAGTACAGCGCCACGCCGCCGACGACCAATTCCGGGGCACCACCGGGAGCGGTGGATGGAGTAGGGAAGTGTCTGAGCGCCTGCTGCGCAAGTGCAGTCGAGGCCCATGCACTAAGCGCTGCCGGGATTGACGTGAGGAAGAGTGATGGGCGCTCTCGTGGGTGTGGGAAACCGTCGTTGTGGAGACGTGCGATGACGGATGACTGGTATAACAATGATACGAACACTCCCATCCCTTGAAGTGCGACACCGAAAGCCATAATGCCGAGTGCCGTTCGGTGTCGGCCGACAATGGGGAGGTGGGCCAGAACCGCAGCGGCGGTTGGGCCAGCAAGTAGGAGAGGAAGTGTGGTCCCAATTGAAGCAGCGGAGAGACTCTGTTATATATGAGCGAACAATTTAGAATTCAAAGAACGAAAAGGGAATCTTGCCATTGCAGGACGATTCTGAGCACCTTTTGCAAACCTGGAGTTATGAGTAACGAATTGCAGCACACAAGACCGGAAATACTCACTGCACAAGCGGAGTGCCAATACCGAACACCAATGACAAGATGATGTAAATCCAGAAGAATGACCGCATAGCGTGACCATTGTAGCCGTGCATCTTCTCGGAATATGTGGCACCATTGAGAATCAAGATACCCAGGGCTGCGGGAAGCGTGGAAACGTGCAAGCCTTCGACCGGATGGCAGATGCTATTCGGGAGGAGGGATGGCCGGACGATGAAACGTGCAGCATGCACCAAAAGGGTAATTAGGAAGAGAATCAACGAAATAACGTAGACTATGGCACCTGGGAATTGTCAATATTTTCTGTCCGTTACAATTGGTTCGGAGGCCTACCCAGAACCCACAGCCGGTGCACTCGGTAGGGGAGATTGAAAATGAGCAAAGACACACCACCGGAAGCGATGATCACATTGTACCAACTGTCCGTCTTAGCAATGCACCAAACAAGAGTTGTGATGATAGTCATACGCCCATGTCATTTTATTCTCCAGAACATGTCGCCAGAGAGGGAGATCCCCACGTTCTCGGTTGTATCTGGTCCCCGCTGTTGTTCCCAACAATGGCGTTCGATCGCTACGATCGTTAGCATCGATGCGTGGTTCGAGTCGAGACATGTCTGTTGCAGTGCTTAGGAAAGAAGATGATTCCTCAGTCGCAGACGGCCGGGGAGGCCTTTTTGTTTGGTTGTGTTGTGGCCATGACGACACAGTTGTGTGACCCACACGATGTGTCGATGACGCACCACACGTCACAGTGGATGGGCTGCCGAGTCAAAGCGTCTCGAAGCGTCAGCGTGAGATCACCCTGCGACAATATTCCATCGCGTTTGGACGATCGGTTGGTGGGTGCGTGGCCGGCCGAGCATCTCAGCGCTGAGTCGGATTCCGTGCGCTGGACGTCATGACTTGGGTGTTGACATCAAAGACCTCCGATTTCGCCGCTTGAGATCCGTATATATATGTACCCAAGTATTCGCTATCGATTTCTCTCCTTCCTTGTCTCATCACCAAACCTTACACACAACCAATCCACACAAATTCCCATCGCATTAACAATCTTCAAAATGCAAGACTCCGCCTACACCAAGTCTTCTCGCCTCAATCGGTCTCGCGACGCTACCGGCGAAACGGAAGCCCCGTCAGCTACCTCCATGAGTAGCGGACAGGCCAGCGGCATTACCGGACAGTCTGGTGGTCTTACTGGCGTTCGCGGCGATGAGCGCGCTGCGAGCGGTATCGACACATTGCGCGGCATGGGTACGACCGGTTCTTCGAAGGGCAGCATGGATCCGGCTGTCGGTGATACGAGCTTCAAGAGCCACGCGAAGCCCGGCGGCAGCATCCTTCCCGAGATCATCCAGAAGGCGGTCCCCGAGAAGATCGAGAGGATGGTCCCCAATGCCATCCACGATACCGGAGACAAGAAGGTGTTTGAGAAGTAACCTGCTTGGTATCGGCCTTCGGTTGGATCGGGAAGAAGGACAATCGATGTAGATTTTGTTGGGAAACGTTTATGGTTTATGATAGAGGAAATGTACATAATAGTATCAGAAAATTAATGCTGGTTTTGACCGTTTGAGTGTGCAGACTCCAGAAGGTGCTTTCGCAGAGAAGACTCACGTTCTTCGAAGACATACCGAAGGTTTCATCCCGTCCTTTTGCCAGTGTTGGGGCTCAAAATCGCGCTTTGAGAATACAGCATGCTGGTGTATAAGCGGCGGCGCCGTGTGTGGTGAGGGTGTCAAAGCATGTACCGTAAAGTGCGAGGCCTGACAGTAAACCGTCGCATGAATTGTAACGTCTTGGCTGTCATGGTACTGTGCGACACGTCACCCGCATGACTGCGGATATTGAGGTTGAGTGATTCTGCTGTTATTTTTTGTTGAATCATCATTGCATTTGACCTTAATAGATTATGGCAGATTACACAACCTTTTTCCACCCGACTATCCCGCACCATTGGCCACGAGCCCGATGCCGGTTCCGGATTTCTCTCCACCCAGCCCTCCCAACAAGTCAAACAGCACCGCGCATCCATCCTCGCTCAATCCTCCCGCTCAACCCTCCTCGCTCAACCATTGCCGCGCAGCTATACCCGCTCAACTGTCGCCGCACAACCCCCCACCTCCGTCCCGGCGCAACCCCGTTCCCGGCGCATCCCAACAGAAAGAAAGACAGAAGGAAAGAAAGAAAGATAGAATCATCCCCGCTCAATCCTCCCCGCGCAACCCCCCTCCCGACGCAACCCCCCTCCCGACGCATCCCAACAGAAAGAAGGAAGGAAAGAAAGAATGACAGAAAGAAGGTATTCGGTACTAGTTAGTCCAGTTCTCATCCCGTCTAACCTCCTGTGAGCTCCACTAAGAGGGGTGCCGGGCTCACAGCTTCCCTGGCTTGAGCGATTCTGCTTGAACAGCTGGGACTACAGCAAATGAGTTTCTGTAGTCAGATGGTGAGAGACCCGAGACGGGGATACTATCAACAGAGAAGTGTGATGAATTACCTATCCGGGTGGTCTAGGTATGATCCATGATGTCTGATATGTTGAATAAGAGACGGACCGACAATACCGTACGAGTTGCTCTAATAAGACGAATTGAGTCTCCAACGTGATAGATATGGACAGTGCACGGCTAGTCACCGGACGCGGGAAGCCGCGGTCATCCAGCCCCGCTATCAGCCGCACTTAGCCAACCAGCCACCACCACCACCACCACCACCACCACCACCACCACCAGCCACCACCAGCCACCACCAGCCATGCTCGGTAAATAATTATCGTCCCGAATTACGCTTTACGTGACAGGTACGCGGCATGACATGACTGTCATATTATTACGGTCGACATCCCCAGTGCGTGCGACCAGGAGAGATGACCGTACTACGAAGAATGTTCTCATTCGCTATCCCACTGGTTATGATCACCCGCACCCTTGTTCTCACGTGAGGAGTGACAGGAACTGCTTTTCCAGCCATACCCCAGATCCGTACGAAACCATCTGCCAGGTGGGGGTTCGTGTCGGCTCCCGGAAATCTCCGGTAGCTTTCGCCCGACAGGGTCCCTGGATAGTAAAGAACGCACCCCAACTCCGGAAGACATCCCTCGAATAGCGAGCAAGATGGTTATGTGTTCCCCGAACTCTGCTTGCTATCGGATGACTCTAGTGTACATAACCGTCCAACGGCGACACCGCATCGATCGCGAATATTTCTCCGCGGCGTATCAAACGTCTGCAAGTTACTCTATGCGGCCGAAACACAACGTTGTCGTTTTCTTAAATACCCGCTGTCGCAGCCTATCAGCATAATAGAAGGTAGCAAGTAGGAAGCAGCACCAACCGATAGACACCTTCGGACCATCTACTAGTTATGCATATATATTCTGGATTCACACACGGCATACTGGCTCCTTCGCATGGTCATCTAATTGGGTTTGCGGAGGGGATAAAAATAGCATTCCAGTTGCAAACTTGCGATGGACCGGTGGCGGTACGGAATGATCGTGAGTTCTTAGAGGCATGCAGGCACTTGAGATGATGACGCTTCTCCGACGAGTCCTTGGTTGTGCGAGAGGGGGATTCCAGGATTGTGCGTAACACGATTATTGGCACGCCTTGGCCTACCTAGTAAGTAGATTTGCGCAGTTTTGAGCCCAGGCTTTGGCATAATGCGCCTACTAAGCACTCGGGCGGCGAAGCACTACTATATTATCCAGATATGTCAGTGTGAGTATTGCCTTACAGCTACCTACATAGTACTGTACATGTATCTCCCACCTGGCACCCCCGGCCAGTAGATTAGGCCATCGCCATTCAAGCATAGGGTACGGTATGCAGAGGGTCTTCTTCACACGTTACAACGTTCCGGCTCATCCATCATCAATGCGTCCAAGCATCTGGGTCGGCCGTCCAACCAACGCATTGGTATGTCCGTCATGCATGCACATGTAGCGTGGTACAGGCTTTGGTGGCAGGTGCAGATACGAAGGATCTACCACTAGTCAGGCAACAGGATTTTCGTCAGGGATGGAAATGAAGTTTACTTGGATGTCGACGTGCATCGGCCGCAAAACGTTCAGCAGCTGGAAAGAACATGCGGACGGAGATCCGGTAGGTAGTCTATCTATAGACACCGTGAATTCGGAGTCTAATAAGGCTTTCTACGCCGCACCGAGTCTCCATTGCGGGACTCGCCGAATACATAAATCATCTTGTAACTGGAGAATCAAAAGCTACTGTCCGCGTTAAGATGCTACATAAAGGTGATTGCATCATGCCGACACCTGTAGCTACGGACGAAGTCGGCGAACAATGTACATACGGCCCTGGGTGCGATTCGGGAGCTCCGCTAATGTCTCGAACAGCGACCCTCGGCGAAAGTAACCATGAAGGTTCCTGGAGACGGGCGACCCTCGAAACACCATTTCACATCTTCACGATCGCCCTCTGTTTCTTCTTCGTCGCCGTGATCGAAGTATTGCTGCAGCTGTCGAAGCGAAACGGAGCACTGCTCTTCCCCGACCCCAAAACCGACGAACTTCCCACATATGCGGTGTTTTGTTTCGAGTACCTACCTATAATCATTGCCGTTATGCACAATGTCCTTTGGATGACGGTGGACCACGATATCAAAAGAATCGAGCCTTTTTTCCAGCTGTCAAAGCCTGGCGGCGCGGAAGCCAAAGACTCCCTCTTGCTGCACTACCCCTACCAATTCGCCCCATTCGTGCCGCTCACGGCGTTCCGAAAACGAAATTGGACGGTTTTCTGCTCCAGCACGGTGGCGCTTCTGACCGCCTACGCGGCAACTCCGCTGATGAGTGCCATCCTGACGAAGGAAACGATCGAGCGGTCGATAGACTTCGATGTCATGAGCAATGCCATACTACCAGTGAGCCAGCAAGCGCAAAGCGTGAGCGCGTTGTTCTCATATCTGGTGTATGGTTACAAACTGTTGGGGGATCCGATGCCAGCTTTCTCCACCGAAAACTTCGGGGTCTTGCCTTTTGCTCCAGCCATCGATCTACCGGTGAGTGTTTCGTGGAGAGTATGGGAGCGGGAAGAAGTTGCTAAACCCTTGATATCACAGATATCGCGCGGAGAATGGGTGGTGAATACGACACTTTACGAGGCTGACCTGGATTGCGTGGAGGCTGTTGAAAAGCGAACCGGAGGTAGGGGTAGTCAGCTGACTCTCAGCAATGGCCGCGACTGCGAGTTCACATTTCTGGACTACGACAACCTCGATCAGGACGATCTCTTGGATATCCGGAACGAGAGATTTTTCACCGAATTTCCGTACATGGCGGTACTCATGAATTACGACACTATGAACCAAGCAATTCGCGAGAGATCACTCGGACCGACGCCGTTCACCTTGACAAGCAAGCAGGCTAACTGCTCGAATCCTCACCAAATCTTTGCATTGTGGAATCGCTCGGATGGCATGACCGTCGACGGGCTCGATTGTGGAGCGGAGGCTGACGGGTCTAGTTGCACCCACGAAGGAGCCGACCGGGGAACTACTCCGGAGAACTTTGCCGCTGTGTTCTGTGAGCCAAAGTATTTCGAGCAATCCGTGCAAGTAACGGTGGATGCGGTGACCGGGCGAGTGAACGAAGCACTGAGACTAGGATCGAAACGGCCGTTCGACGCAGGAGTTGATAGCGCTTTCTTTGAGAGTTTTGCGACATACGGGAAGCTTGCTGCTTCGACGCCGGCATTGAACGTTGCTCGAGACTATGCCCCCAATGACAGAAATGTATTTGGCGCACCCGATGTCCGTGACAGGATGGCGAAATTTCCACAGTTCCAGATGGCCGGCACCTTCGACTCGTCTAAGTATGGACGCAACACCGGAATAGAAGCCTCCATCAACACGGGGCTTCTCTACTCACGGTCGATGATGGGGATAGCCATTATCGACCAGCAAAGCCTGGATGATCTGTTGGACCCGAGGATATTGGCGCGAAAGCTGCAGGAGATGTACAGATTGTACTTCTCCTACGCAGTGACATCGGAGCTTTCGGCGCCGAATAAAACAATGCTCACGGCCCAATGGAAGTTCAAGACACAAGCCTACACCACCGATCCCTTGTGGGCGGGGCTCCTACAGGCGACATTCTCCGCAATGGCAGTGCTGGACATAATCCTCACCTGTCTTCTTTACAAGAGAAGGCTTAACCTTAACAGTGATCCCGGCTCGCTGGCAGCGCTTCTGTCCTCCATAACCAGCTCGCAAGCCTTGCTCTCGGACTTCCGTGGATCAGAATTTCTCCTGTTCAAGAAAACTGCTACGAAACTGGAGTCGGATGGAAGTCGCTACCACCTCCTCGCCACCAAGGAAGGCGGTCACCGCATCGATAAGAACGCGTCGGTGGATGGAGTCGAAACGAAGCTACAGCCGGTCATCCCAGCTCTGTACGATGAATCAGTCGCTATCAAGTCGGCGAGGCCCTGGGAGCTTTCACTCATCACCGGAGTGAGCATTATCGGGTGTTTATTATCGCTAGTTGGTCTGTTTATTGCCCTTTTTGAGTCCGGGCAGAGATACAATGGTATGTCCTATAATTATCCCGAGAACCATCATGTGCATACCAAACCTTAATGCCGATCTTCTTTGACAGGCTTGCCTCGGCTCAGCGACAAAGTATTCCTGCGCAACATGGTGTTTTCGTATGCTCCAACAATAGTTTCGACACTCATAGAAAACTTCCTCCTGGCGATAACCCGCTTCGTATGCTTGATCATGCCATATCATGAGATGCAGATGGGACCCACCCGCAGCAACCTGTCTCTCGCAATTCATTACGAGAATCGACCGCCGCACTTTCTTCTGATCAACACCCTCAAGAAAGGACATTACCTCCTATCCAGTCTCATCGCAGCTGCTATCCTCGCCAATATCCTCGCAGTCTCTTTGGGTGGCATGTTCTCGCCCACCACCAGAGAGTTCGTTCAGTCATCTGTTGCATACTCGGAAATATACCACCCGCAGATCAACCCAAACCGCATCACGACTCTCCCGAAGATGGACACCATATTCTATGCCGCAATGCGTAACGCCTCGGACGAAGATCCAAAGGTTCCTTGGACGATGGCAGACTACTATTTCCTCCCATTCCAGCCGAACAATGCATCTTCCGAATCATCACGAATCACGCTATCCCGAACGGCTGAGACCTGGGCATTCAAGGCCAAAATTAGCTGCACAGCGCCGGAAAACTCGCAGCTCAACTTCACCGACCACGAAATGGATTCGGCTAATGATGTGTACCTGAGCCCTATAAAGGACACCTTCTTGCGCCCTGGTGGCAACTGCAGTGCTGCTCAACTTGCAAAGCATAGTCACGAGTCGATCGCCGCAGAGTCCATTCGCCTTTCACCCGATCCACTTCTTGGTTACGTGATCACTAACATAGTCGATGCAGACGCCGGTGAAGTCCTGGGGAATTATACCAGGAGGGTTATTGCGGCGGGCGAGGTGTACCACGAAAAAGCGGTTCCTTTTCGGCACTGCGCTGGCACATTCGGTGCCGCTTGGGTTCGGTATGGGGTCAAAGAGGCTGTTTCGCCGGACCTCGATGTAACAGCTTTCGGGACCTTGGCACCGGAGGAAGCTGTATACCTCATCTGTCAAGCGGGGCTTACCGTCGCTAGACATTCCGTCACCGTAAACGACCAAGGATTCGTCCTGTCCCACAACCAGACCGACCAAGATGTCGCCGAACTCGACCGTTTCATCGATGAAAGTGCGGTTCCTTACAATCACAGCACAGTTGACTACCTCGGCATGGCCTTCCAACAGTTCATTCTCCCCACGGAACCCGCTTCCCCCCGCCTCGACCCGCGACCGCACAATTGGATCTCCTTTTTGATACAGCAGCGGTCGCCGGGCCTAAGTCTGGTAGCCAATGTCACAGCAACAGCGGATGTTTTCGAGAAAGTCTACGCAAGGCTATTTCCCATCTTCTTGAACACATACTCCGACTCGCTTTTCACGGCTGCGGATGACGCCTCACTCACCACCAGCGGCAGCGCTGCCGTCAAGGAAGACAGAATGATGATCTCCACTGCGATGATGATTCTCGGCGTTACAATCCTCGCCGTCTTCGTGCTGGTTATCGCAGTCACATACCTCGTCCGACCAGGTGCCTCGATGATTCACATACCGACAACCATCGCGGCCACAATAGCGCTTGTGTATGCGAGCAATGTCGGCGAGGATACCGCCTCAACGCACAGCGGGGACAAGGAGGGGAGTTTGACCGAGCATCCGAAACTCAGAGACGCTCAGATGTATGGATACGGCTGGTTTGTGGGCCGGGATGGTGAACATCACCTGGGCGTGGATAGGGAGCCGGTATACAGGACTGGTGCTCGGACGCTGAAGCGACGATGGCTGTAATTGAAGTGATAACCGTAGATGTTTGGCTGCCGTTTTGTGTTCTCGTTAATGTCCTGGTCACTTCAATACTGGCCTTAATCACCGTGTATATTATATCTTTTTCTAGCCAGTCGAACTTAGCGGCGAGCTCACCAACCGGCGGCCGTCGCGAGAAATAGTGACAGATTACGTGGAGAATATTACGCTCAGTCCCGTCCGGTCTGGGTAAGTGAAGTGCCGCGTACTAGCCAGGTCCGTCGCGTCGCGAGTATTTCCCATCCCTGAGGATATCATTGGTATGCAGATATCGGAATCTGGTTCTCAGAGCTTGCATTTAGTAGATACTGTATTACATATGCGCGCTCAACCCATCGTTGCTGCCCTGTGAACGCGCGCGCCGTCTTGGTTGAGTTAATAGAACGCGCTTCAAGGCCTGCTCCATCACGCTCTAGAGCTATTTTAGGTTAAAGCAAGCCATGGGTCGGCAGTTTTTTCACTCCGAGTGAACGCGTCGCTGGCCATATGCTTATCACATCCGTGCGTATAGTGAAAACCAAAGTTTTTTTTGGTAGATAAAGGTACATTGAGGATATTGCGTTTGTGCAGAACTCCTCCCCGCCACTCCGATTACGTCGCCACCGGCCATCCAGTGCTAAAGCTGAGCACGCTCCATCCGAAAGTCTTTTGACCATCAGCGTATCCGACATTCGTGTTGACTTTACTCGATTGTCAGCAATCATCACTTCCTCTCACATTCGATCGAATCCAGCTTGGCCCAGGAGGGGGGGGGGGGGGGGGGGTGCAAACCGTAGTGGTAGTAAAGAACAGAGCCGAGGCTAGGATCGGTGTAGACACCCTGTCCACCGGGGCCGTAGAGCCATCCTTGACTTTGCAGGACGGTGGTTCCTCCTCCACTGGTGCATGAGCGTCCACTGGCGTCAACGTATGGTCCACCGACAGCGGTCGAACGGCAGACGTTGATGCGGTACTCTTCACCCTGAGCCGGACGGCTCGAGTCGTATCCACAGCACACTCCGGCGCTGAAGAAAAGGTAGTAGTAGCTACCCTGCGCGTAGACGAAGCCTCCCTCGACGGCATGGCTGCCGGTGCTGTTGTAGGCAACCTGGTAGGAGGTGGAGCCGGATCGCACCGAGGTGGGAGGGGTCGCCATAGCGACCTGGTAGAGATCGCCCCAGAAACTGCCAAAGGTCATGTAGTAACCATTCGAGGTGCTGACGAGGTTGCCGTCGATGGCATTGTAGGCACTGCCGGCCTGGGAGGCGATTCCAGTCGCACCGAGATCTTCCCAGCTGCCGTAGTCCATGGTGGTTGAACGAGCAACACCGATAGCGGAAACTTGGCTGCCGAACTACGCAGAGGGAAGCGGATTGTGTCAATAGCAGTCGATGGATCTAATGGGCGGGGGAACACGTACAGTGCTGACGGAGTAGTACAGATAATAGTAGCCACTGATGGGGCCGGTGACATCGGGAGCCCACAGATCTACCATCGGCGGTCCAGTCAATGAGCCGTTCTCTGTGAGCAATAATCAAGCATTGGAACATACCGGATGAGCCCGAGATTCCGATCTTAGAACCGGCCGGGATAGCGGCACCCTTCAGTGTCCAAGGTCCCTGAAGGGAGGACGAGGTGGCAATGTTGATCTTGCCGCCGGTGCTGAAGCGGAAATAAGTACCATCACTGGTACGGCGTATGATGGCGGGGTCATGGGAATATCCCTGGCAGGTGCCGGTACAGGTACCAGGAGTCACAGCGGCGACGAGGCTGCTGATAGAAAGGATTGTCGTGAGGACGAAGGAGAACAACTTCATCGTGGCGATGGTTACTGGTTGTATGTATTAGTGACGGTGGGGAGAGGTAGTGACGGAACATTTAGTGGATATGACTACGGTCTTTATATACTGAGGCAATACAGGCATTCAAGCGGACATCGGGTTTTTTTTGAGCGAGTGTAAATCGGCTTTTTTTCGTTACTTCCTTGATGGTCCGTTGTAGACGGGTTCCTGGAAGCTATCGCCGGAAACTGGTGAGTCGGTACTTGCATAACGACAATTCGCCGCCGGTTGAGATTATCCGCGAGCGAAGGTCTACAATACCCGGTCTTTACATTGGAACATCCTCTCGCTGATCCTCATGAGGGCTTAGAACATACACATACTGACGTGATCCTCTTCCTCCTCAGCTGGTATTCCTCCATAACCTTGGCGGGAAGTGCCGGACAGCGGGGAGTGGATATTATTCCCAACTTCTTTGCAGCGAGAGCAGCGCTGAACTTAGCCAGGAAAATTCCGAAGAGAACCCCGCAATGCAGAAATATGTTTTCCGCTGCTCACCAGCAATAAGTCAAGCAATCTGAGGATGGGCGCCCGGCTTCTAGCAATAATGGCGAACGACAGGGAGCATCACTACTTGCCCCCTGAGCTCAGAGTACTATCAGCTTGGGTAGGTGGGTAGCTGATTCGGAATCTGTTGCTGGAAGCTGGTCCCCGGATATGGTTGTGGCAACGGTAACGGGAATCTTATGAGTATTGGCAAATAGTGAGTATACACTTCGGTCTCCAATTTATCACCACCCATCCGCTGGTAAAAGATTTCTTTCATCCCAACTGCGGTAACATCATGCCCACCGTGGTGATAGTAGTCTACCTACTGTGGTGAGGACCCGGGTATATGATGTACTCTAGACCCATGGATATCGGCCACCTCATTGGTGTACATACGAGTAGACACCAAATATCTACAGTGGTGTAGACATCTACTCAATTATCCGGCCTACATAGCCTACTATTAACCGGGAATTCCTTCGGGCTAAGATGGTGCGCGGGGTGCATATGCACCCCAGACGTATACCGGTACCAACACCGACGTACCCCGACAATTACCGCCAACGTTAACATTGAGTCGCGTTGTTTGGAGGGCTTTCCCCGGCTGTGCGACTGACGACCATGTGTCGCTTGGATATAACCAGCGTACGGGTGTCAGTCGATCCGGATACGTGTGGACCGCGAGAGGAGGCCGTGAAGATCTTATGTACGTATGCCGTATATACCGGGGTCCGGTATTGCATGAGCATCCTTCTTTTCTCGTCCAGATTGTTACATAGCGGGAGCGACAACATCGGGATTCGGGCTACGTACATACCGTAGTATGTAGTAATCTTCGGTCAATGGAAGGGGCAGATTACCGCAGTAGTAATCTTCGGTTCATCCTAGATGGCACCCGCCGCGCATTACCTATTACACGTACATCCAGATGTACCTATGTATGTAGAATGAATTCCCCGCGCCATGCGTAATGCAGGTACTCTACTGCAATGTGGAGTAGAGTACTGGCATGTATGACATGCTACTGACACTCCGCCAGCCACATGGACACCTCCTCCTTGCAGTAGCTCCGAGAATCCTTTTATTTCTCCGTAGGCCCGAGCATACTACATACTGTTAGCATCACACCGTCACCGGCGCCACTATAACCGAGACGGTTCAATGCAGCGGATGCACGGAAACCTGTCCGCCTCCAAGCGAATTCGAAAAGCTGTGGCCGATGGCCGGTGGCCGGTGGCCAGTGGCCTGTGGGTGACTGATCCGTTGGATGTGTAGTGTGTAGGCACGTGGAGTAACCAAGTATGTGCCGGCTTGGATAAATGCCTCGGATGAATAGCGCGCGAGCTGCACTGCGCTCCGCGGATGCGCCCTGGTTTTCTCGCCGTTCCCTAGAATCAAACAAAATCGCGGGGGATGAACGGTCGGCGGAAAATGGGAACTTGAAGTGCTGTGTACGGTACCTACCTTAGGGCATTTGTCGTCGTATGTATAATGATCTCGGCCGGCTGGTGGGCTAGAGGCAGAGAATATGATGTCGGCATTCCCCAGGATCAATATCTAAGGTACTAGGACGTGGATTCAAGCTGCCGGTATTAGGCTATGGCTAGGGCGATGCTAACTACTCCAGAAGCCATTTGATGGGGCATTTTTGGTTTTAAAAGCGGTTTCCTCGGGGCATTGGACACGACGGGATGCCCGGAGTGACAATGCCACGCAGTTGCATGCGGAAGCCGGCTCCTAAATAGTCTTTCGGCAATCGCAGTTGAATGGCGGCGGGGGGGGGGGATTTAATCAATACCTACTGACCCACTGAGTGTCGGGTATTATTCAGTGGCTAGAGTCACTAGTGGAAGCTGGGGTAAATTTCCTAAGGCCGACCCGAAGTTACGGTGGATGCACTTAGACATGATAATATGGCTACGATAAAAAAAACAAATCCCAGAGGCGCCCAAGGGTATCCACCGGATATTTGGAGACCCCCGAATCGAAATCCTGGAGTTAGACATAAATGAAGCTTTAGGCGTCCCCTCTTTCCGTGCACAAACACGGCAGGTGGGATTAGGTAACAGATGACCGATCGTGTCCCAGCAGTTAAGTCTCTCTCCTAACGGATGATTCGGGTTTTCTTCGTTTTTGCGTATTTACGTACGATGTATAGGCCATAGCAAACCGCGTTCGCCTGTTCCACCCCTATTACCCTGGTGTTGCACGAGTTTTGACGTCGCCCTGCGTTAGTTGGCCCGGTTGTGCGTAAATTTGCGGACAATCAGACCATATGTACGTAGTTATTCCCGTTAATCGAGTGAGGGGAAAGAGAGGGAGATGTTCAGTTTATTTTCGCATGCAGCCTATCTAGACTATGGCGAACCGTCGCACTCCTTTTCTACCCACTCTGGCCGGCCGGGGGTTGAGACCCTGCTACCAGCCAGCACGATGGGACGCCGCTGACGAGTGAGGGGAAATACATTCACCTCGCGGACCCAATCTTCGCAGCGGTGTACTCCGGAAGCACAATTTCACCGTTCGATCGTTCCGGGTGGGCGTTGGAACCGCCGACGATTGTAAGTTTCACGAACGGGCAAAAGACTAGGCGGACGGGCCACATTGTGCTCGATAGAGCGGGTTGTGTGTTGATTTATTTGCCAGATATCTGTCGGGTCGTATCGTGAGAGGGATTCTCCTCGGTGCTCTCCATCTTCCGGTCCGGACGGCCAAAATACCGGACAGTTGCAAAGTTTATCCGTCAGGTCCGAGCGGATCGGTCTCCGTCCGACGGTGGAGGACGACCGTCCAGGTCACGTGAATATGATTCGGCTGATTGATGATTTCTTAGCACCGGTATCTTACGCACCACCGCGTGAGTTCATCCCGCACCGCTCCACAAGCTGTGAAAATTAGCAGTATTCTGACTCGGACGCCTAAGGTGCGGCGCCTGGCCCCTGTCACAGCGCTCAAGGCACTAGATCTCACTTGGCCACCCAAGTTCCACGCCCCAAATCAGGTTTTTACTCAAGGCTCGGACAGTCGGGAGGCACGCCGCCCATCCTCATTCGAGGCTCAGACAGAACGGACCGGGCGATGGAGAATACTGATTCTCCTAACTGGGGGATGCATGATAGCTTGATGTGGTACTCGCCCGCATTGAACTACATGTACAGGGCTTAAATGTTCGGTTGATAAAAGTGATAACGACGTGCATCTCTTCTAATTTGATAACGACTGTAGGCATTCTAATCGTTTGTCTCGTCAGTCCAAAGGCACAAACACCGACGCACTAGCAAGAAATGGGACCCCCGGCCCCAATTTTCGAGTCAGAAACGTTCTTGGTGAAGGGGCACACTGACGCGGCCACATTTTTCGCCTGATAGCATAGCACGACGCCATTTGCGTCTAGCGACGATAGCGAGGCACCCTCTCCGTCCAGGTCCCGCAGCACGACGCCATCCTTATCAACAGGCGGCGTATTCGTCACTGCATGGGCGGCACGATATCCACAACTTTGCCGGCAGTATGTCCTACGAGGAGGACGTGAAAGCCCCTGCCCGGGAAGTAAGATATCTCTGATGAAGCTGGCGCTCTATTCACGGTGTTGTCACTTCTGTACATAGTCTGGACTGCATGGACGGGCCAGTCAGGTGTCAATCCGTGGAGAACTTGCTGAGCGGCGACCTCCAGTACCACCAAAACAGCGATTTGGGAATCCCCAACCCAGGAGCCCCCTCAAATAGCGGTCCCACAGGGGACTTTATATAACAAGAACAATCTCTGTCAGCGTGGAGATAGAAGACGTCGTGATCCGGTAGCTAAACGATGAGAATTCACTGAGCGGCGCCCTCCAGTACCACCAAAATAGCGATTTCAGCCACCACCAGCCCAATCGCACCATCAAATGGCGGTCCCACAGAGAACTTTGTATGAAAACAAGCATTCTGCTGTGCATAGGAATGGATGGAGTTGCGGTGCCCTGTCATTCCGTTCAAAACTCGTGGCTACAATTGGTGTATACCACAAACCAGCGAGTGATAAATGAAGACGCCGCACAACGGTGACAGTTGATGATGCCAGGTGTACTACGTGATATTTTGTGATGAGGAAAACAAAATGTAGATGAAAGAAACCGTGTTACACTGAATAGACATTAAGTATACTGTGACACCCCGATAGGTATCGGAGGTCACGACGGTCGCAAGAGACGTGATTAGATAGTTCGGGTGATTAGAATAGAGTTGCGAGCCGAAAGGATAGTTAGAAGCGATCAAGGACAAGATAGGAAGGAGGGAGCAAACGGATTCCAGAGTCTAGACAGTGATCGGAGATGCGGGAGATCGGGATAACAGTACAGAGGACTTTGAGATCTCCGATCATAGGGCCCCGCAGTAGGAACTCCGATCCAGGAAAAAACTGTTATGACGAGAGAATCGAACATCGACCGATGGGGGCAGACAACTTCGAGCGAAGAACTCTGCCGGCGCATGAGGGAGATAATTGCTCGGAAACTCCGATCTATCTTGGGCGCGT